CCGTACTGCTGCAGTGAGGACCAGCCTCCAGCAGTACAGGGCTCAGCGGGAATCCATGCAGTTGGAGAGCTCAGACTTTTTCCTCTGAGGGAGTAAGGGAAAAGACACACACTCTCTCAATGGTTTCCTTCTGGCCTTCCTTTAATTTTCTTCTGTATTTTTATTTTTTCTCCACATTTTCCCGGGTGGTTTCATTCTCTCATTCCTGATATTTTCTTTCTAACTTTATTCTCTCCCTTACAGCTCATATACCACCCCCTGCCCCACTTGCGCGCGCTTGGGAGCCCGCAAAATCTTTTTAGCAATATAAAAACTACAATGTGGTTACATTCTATTTTTCAAATGAGTGGTTACAATAATTACAACCAAAAAAAAAAACCAGCATGTTTTCCATATCCCTTACCTGAATAAACATTTTATTCTTGTCCCAAGAATCCACATATGTTCATGTCTAAGCAACTTGGTATAGAGTAACAGAGTGTGAGAAAGCAAGGTATTTTTCTGGGCCAGATCTTTTGCTGGAAGGCTGCATTTTTCTGTTTCAAAGAAATGACCAATCGTTTTATTATAAATCTCAAAAGGTAATCTTATGTACAATCTTAGAAGAATCATAAACCTACATCTGTGAAAAAGACCCAGCCACTTCTATTTTAAACCCTTGGGGTACATACCCACTCATCAGTAGTGTTTTTACATCAGGAAGCTGAAGTTAGAAATGGCACAAAGAATTAACCATTGCCTTCAGTCACCAACACATCCTAGCAAGAAGCGTACATCAGCTAATGGTAATTGGGCTGTCTTGTTCTTGCTCCCTGACTAAACGAGTCCCTCCCTCCGCTGTATGCCTTTCTGAACTTCAGACAGTCTCCTTGGGTTTTTCATGTCAAAGCTACTTGATAAAAACATCTTAGTCTAACTTTGTTATTTTCAAAGCTTTGTTTCATCCGTGATGCACTCTGAAACCTGTGAACATATCTTCCAACATTAAGATGAAAAGAATTTAAGTCATCTGGGCTATTGGGACTCAATTGTTTTCTCCAATAATTAACCTAAGCCACAGTCTACATGGCTCCTTAACAGAATTCCATGTGTTCTAGCTGTGTGTTACGTCCTTGCTTTATTTTTTATCTTTTGTAGTCTCTGCTTTATCAGAAGCGGGGGCAACATCTTATCCTACCTATATCTATGTTAATATTTCCACTAAACTAACTTCTATCATAATCACTACATTCATTTAAATCCTCAATCATCAAACTTCTACTGAAACTGACACTGTTGTATCATTGCTTCAGTTAAACAGTACAGCTTAGGAGGAAATAATCTTCATCATAATCCACAGTAAGAATGCCCAGGAGAACCGAGTATTTCCAAGAGATGACCACACTAAACAAGAGCAGAGGGATCTCTCCACACCCATTCACACTGTGCCAGATAGCAGAGACAAATAGCACAGACAAACGTGCAAAGACACAACAATGGCAAGAAACATTCTGGGGCTAAGGCTTTGTGGCCACGGCTCTTTCTTAGACCTTGTCTATCCAAGATTTCCCACCAGGGTTTTGTTTCCTGGTGGGCTGATCTCCTGAAGTCAATTGCCATCTGCTGCTCCCCTAACACGGCCACTGGCAGACAGACACACATGGCAGAGGGAGAGAAGTGACTCCTGCAAGTCGTCTTTGACCTCTCTACCTTTGACAAGGGTGGGCGCGCACGCACGCACGCACGCACGCACGCACGCACGCGCGCGCACACACACACACACACACACACTAAAAAATTTAAAGTATAGACAATACAAGAAAAAAATATAGATATACTGGATTTGATCAAAATTAAGATGGGCTGCTCTTTGAGCACCAGTTTTGAGAAAATGAAAGCAAATAAACCACAGATGGGAGTAAAATGGCAGCTGAATGACCTTTATGAATATTCATAGCATCCATACTGAAGGCCTAGGACAGAGGCCTAACTTGAGGGGTTGTCAGCAGACCAAGCTCTGCTCTTTACTGTAAGGGTCCAATCAGAGATGTGGGTGATGGTAACATTTCAGTGCAAGCACTCTAGGAACAGGGAGACTACCATCCTAGTTTTGCCTTTAGGGGTTAATAACAGTTCCAAAATTACATAGGGGAAGGAACAAACGTGAGGCTGGACATGTGCTTCAGCAGTTATGAATGCTTACTGTTTTGCAGAGGATGGGAATGTAGTTACCATCACCTATACTGAGCAGTTCATATCTACCCGAAATTCCTGCCCCAGGAGACCCAACACCCTCTTCTGGACTCTGCAGGCCCCTACACACACACACACACACACACACACACACACACACACACACACACACACGTATTCACAGTTTGTATTTGTTTGTTTGTTTGTACACACAGGTTTTATTTATTATGTATGCAATCTTCTGCCTGCATGCTGGCTCTGCAGGCCAGCAGAGGGCACCAGACCTCATTCAAGGTGATTGTGAGCCACCATGTGGTTGCTGGGAATTGAACTCAGGGCCTCTGGAAATGCAGCCAGTGCTCTTAATCACTGAGCCATCTCTCCATCCCTGTTTTTGTCTTTTTAAAGACTGCCTGTTGGTTGGATCTTGTGATACATGCTGATAATCCCGGCACTTAGAAAGTGGAGTTAGGAGTGAATTTGAGAACTTGTTTCAAAAATGAAAAATAAAAAGGAAGAAAGAAAAGCAAATTGCCTGATTCTGCACAGGCTTATGGTAGGAATTGTATTTACATGTTTGTTTTATTTGGTTTGGTTTTGGGAAAGGGTCTCACATGGCCTCCAACTTACTATATATCCAAGGATGACCTTGAACTTTTAATCTCTCTGCCTCCATCTCCCAAGTGCTGGTATTATAGGCATGTGCTACATACCCAGCTATATTTTGTGTGTGTGTGTGAGTGTGAGTGTGTGTGTGTGTGCGCGCGCGCGTGCGTTTCTTTTCCGAGACAGGGTTTCTTTGTGTTCTGGTTGTTCTAGAATTTGCTGTGTAACCTAGGCTAGCCTTTAACTCAGAAATCAGCCTGCCTCTGTCTCCCTGAGTGCTTGCACCACCAGCTGGCTTAATTTATACAGTTTTAAAGGACCATATTTTATTATTTAGTGTGTGTGTTTGCATCTGTGCACTTGGGCATGCATGCACTGACCAGAAATTAATGTTGGGAGTTTTCTTCAACCACTGTCCATTTTGTGTTTTGAGTCAGGGTCTCTCCCTGAACTTGGAGCTCACCAATTTGGTTAGACTGGCTGGCCAGCAATCCTGAGAGGTTTTCCTATCTCTGCCTCTGAAGGTTTGGGATTGTAGGCATACACTGTTTTTTTTACATGGTTTTGGGGATTGAGCTTGGGTCCTGTACTTGCAAAGCAAGAGTTTAGTCACCTCCTCAGCCCCTAGAAGGTCATCTTCTAGAAAAGAATACAGTTGGGACTATGTGTGGCCTGCAAAGTCTAAACATTGACTAAAAGCTCTCTGTTCTGAAAGATTGTTTATTCAAGGGTCATGGATTATAAATAGGCAGAGAAACAGTTAAAAAAAAATTGTATAGTGATCCCTCTTAATCTTTGGGTGAATGCTGACCTTCACAGGCATTTCCAGGATGCTAGATAAAATGGATGCCAGACTACTAGAACTTGAACAATTCTTAGAGGTCACATAGTCATGGGTGACATCCAACCAGGGAGGAAGCCCTGCCACCTGGCAGTCAACAGAGACTCCTCATAACTTAACTGCTCGTATCCAGACACAGGTCACACAAAGAAAAAATAATCTCAAGTTGATAAGAGAGGTTAGATGTCTGCTAGATTTCAACATCCTTGAAGGATAACAACACAATCCAGTCAGCAGTGTGATATTCACAGTGTTCAGTAGTCATTTGATATTTTTGGAAAACATGAAAAAGCAGCAAACTAGACAACCGAGGGAATAGTCAACAAACCATTAAGAAATGAGAGCAACATGAAATTAGCAGAGGAAAAGCTTTAAATTGCATTATTTTGTTTTTTATGATTTCATACATTGATACACTGTACTGTGATTATATCAAACTTCCAATATGCTCTCATCTGTCTCCTTTGAAACTCTTTCTCCTCCTCAATGATTCATCCCAATGGCTCAATAATACTTTGTGGTATTGTGAGACCAAAATAGAAACAATATACCTTGCAAGTTAGTGGGAGACCAAAATGGGCAGATAAAGTTAAGGTTTCTGTTTATAGCTAAGGAATAAGTTCCTGTTTGTTCTCTGTTAAGTCCTTGCAAGTGAAGTTTTCTATTTGTAAGTAAACATAAGTCCTTGAACCTGGTGGCTTAATACCTTTAATCCCAGCACTTGGGAGGCAAAGGCAGGTCGATCTCTGTGAGTTTGAGGCCAGCCTGATCTACAGATCAAGTTCTAGAAACATAAATCCTTACTCCTTTGGGATAAATATCCAGCAATATAAGTACTAGAATGTATGGTAATTGCATTTTTTATTGTGTATTAGACAGCCAGTGAGCTTTCCAGAGTGGCCATGCTTATATCCCCACCATAGCTTGTGGGCAACCCCTTATCTCTGCACATCTGTCAGCATTTAAGGTTGTTATAGGTTTGTTTTTGAAACCCGGATAGGCTTGTACTGATGTCTCATTGTGGTTTTAATTTGCCTTGTACTAATATGGCTAATGGGTCTTGAAGATCTTGCGGGTGTTGACTTTTCAAGAGGGTAGCTGCAAGTGTCCAGCCTGATGCAACGGTTATTAACATTTCTGCGAAGGAGTTTTACTGTTGATAACAGACCACCGGGGAAGGGAGATCTGGGGAAGGGCCTGGTCAAGCCTGAGAAGCTCCGTTGTGCATCCTCTATCACGGACACTTGTAGGAGAAGAAGGGGCTCCTAAGCAGTTGCTCTCTGCTCTCTGCAGCCAGGGAACCTGGCTAGTTACTATCTGGGTCACATCCTGCCCCGTGGGTCAAGGAGGAGGTCCAGAGCCGGGAAGGGCTCCAAAAGTCAGGTCTGAAAGCAGCCGCGTGATGGAACCGGTTTCCCCCAGAACTGTGCGCAGCCTCGGTAACCGCCATGAGGAGGCTCAGAGACAGAGGCCAAGGCCTTCGTGGTGGTATGGCCTTTCCCGGCCTCTTGGCATGGTTCATGCTGCTTCAGACGCTATTGGGCGAGGCCCGGATGATTCCAGGAACGCTGTCCCTCCCTCCTCTCCCCTTGGAGGATGGCCTCGATGACCGGAGTGCAAGCCCACAGAAGTCACTCACAGGGACACCTGGGACCTCTCGGGACCCCGAGCCTGGAGGGAGCATGATGTCTCTTGATTCAGTGGCATTTACACCCGCTCACTCTTTTTCAACCATGACTCTGTCACAGGAACGGTTTCCAACATGGATTCCAACCACTTCAGGTGAAGTTTCTGAGTCATGGTCTGCCGCAGAGAACTGGCCTGGACCTAGGGGGATGGGACCCTGAAGTATAAGAGGATCTTGGGTCCTTGGGTGTGGGGTGTGGGCTCTGAGTGAGCCGGAGATCTTGGAGGACAGTGCTTTCCCTGATGAGTCTTAGGCATCCACACCTGCCCTGGGATTTGGGAGCTGTGTACTGCGGGTTCTGAGGATCTGGCTGCTGGTAGAGCAGCCACAGCCTTACCTTGGCCCCTCCCTCCACTAACGTGCTCCAGGTTGTGGTCACAGAGCTGCAAGGATAGTTGGTGGAAAGGTCGCGGCAGAGAGGAAGTGGCCCTGGCAGGTGAGCCTGAAAGTGCAAAACAATCACATCTGTGGTGGCTCCCTCATCAGCAAATGGTGGGTGATGACTGCAGCCCACTGCGTTTTTGGGTGAGTGCCGGGGATCTGGAGCCAGGTTCTATGGCCTGTTGCTCTTGCTTTCTATGGGGGTGGGGTGGGGAAGGAGCATTTAGGAGACTAAGGCAGGGGGATTACCAGGGGCCAGAGGCCAGCTTGGTCTACATAGTGAGTTCCAGGCCAGCCTGGGCCACGGAGTGAGAGAGAACCCAGCCGCCTCAAAACTACAGGGGGTGGGTGAGAAATGACCATCCTAGGTTTTGGTTTTTTTAAGTTCAGTTTCTGCTGACACCTGAACATTTGGATTTCTAACACAACCCTAAGTGATAGTGATCAGAGACCATGCTTGGAGAACCAACTGGTAGCTGGATGGGGTGGTCAGGGGTCCTGGAGGGAATATGGTTAGAACTGAGGGAGGTAGATGCTGGCTGCCTCAGGAGGCTGGGACTGGGCGGGGGGACCCTGTGACTGTGTGGAGGGGAAATGTGTAGACCCTTCAGGATCTCTTTGCAGCCATCTGGATTACGTAGTGTCGATGGGAACAATTGACCTGTGGTCCCATAAAGCAGTGGAAATTCCAGTCCAAGACATCATTGTTCACCAGGATTTCTCTGTGATGGGAGTAATTGTGAATGACATCGCTCTGGCCCTGCTGGCCTTCCCTGTGAATTACAGTGTCTCCATCCAGCCAGTGTGCCTGCCTCACAGGTCTTTCATGGTAGAACCTGGGACCCAGTGCTGGGTGACCGGATGGGGCAAAGTCGTTGAACAAGGTGAGCTTAAAGTAAGATCCCAGCAACTACAGGCCAGGGAACAGACTACTTAGTAGCCTGGGGTTGGTCTACAAACTAAAGGGAGGGATGGGGAACCAGAGTTTCTAGCAGGTGGATAAGGGAAGGGAAGAGAGAAGGTGTTCCCAGGGAGCAATTTCTATAGGTTTGTCTCCACTTGAGGACTTAGGTACCAAAAATGGTGGATACTCACCAGGGTGGATTTGAGCTCACGGTGAGATGACCTATCTGTAAGCTAGGTAGGGAGCTTCTTGTATGTGAGGAGAGGCCAGGAAACTCAATGAGTCTATAAGGCAGAGGTTCTCAAACTGTGGGTTGCATCCCCATTGGGGACTGAATGACCCTTTCACAGGGGTTGCCTAAGACCATTGGAAAACACAGATATTTACATTATGATTCATAACAGTAGCAAAATTACAGTTAGGAAGTAGCAATGAAAATTATTTTATGGTTGCTGGGCACGGGGGGGGGGGTCACCACACATGAGGAAGTATATTAAAGGGTCGCGGCATTAGGAAGGTTGAGAAGCACTGCTCTAGGGTGTCCTGTTCCTGGGAAGAATGTAGATGGCATTTGGAGGTATTACCTTTCTGAGAGTTTGTGACCGAGTCATAGCAAGATGCCTTTCTGACACACTGGACATGATCACTAGTGTTAATGAGAGCACACCACATTCTTGTCACCTCTCAGGCTGACAAGATTTTGCCCTCTCTCGGGCTGTTTTTCCTTCTACTTCCTTGGTTTGGATTTTGCATCGTCTTACCCTCTCGGCAAGGTTGGACCTCATTTCTGTCAGTGGCAGGCGCGAATAGCAGCTGATTTCTTTGAGGGTACCCGTGTGTGACCACTGTATTGAGGCTCAGAGGAGGTACAGCTGACCCCTGTCATTTCGACTTTAATGGAGATCTGCTCTCTCCAAAATTATCTGCACGTAGGCAGGTCATCGAGAGAGCTTCGAGAGGTTGAGCTAAACATTATTCGTCATGAGGAATGTAATCAGATTCTCAAGAACAAAGCAGGGAAAATATTTAACCTAGCCCAGGAAGGGGTAGTCTGTGCCTACAGTGACAAAGGCGGAGACTCCTGCCAGGTAAGTCCTTGGGTCCCTTGCTCCTCTGCCCTGCTGCCCCCTCCTCAGAAGTTCCTAACTCCCAGACAGCAGCTGGCCTGTACCCCTCATCCTCCATTTACTGTTATTGAAGCTATTGGGCTGTCAGAGCAATAGCACAGCTCCTGGGCTAGCCTGACAGGATCCTCCAGGAGAAAAACAGCTAATGCTGTCTGCAGTGACTGGGGGGGGGAGGGAGGGGTGAGTTAGGGAGGCAATAATACACACTTGGTGTTTTCACGGCCTTCTGTGTGATACTCCATGCACTTGGGGTAAGAGATTTACTCATTTCAGAAAAGAAACATTATGTTGGTTTATATTCAGTTCATCTATTTACTTTTTCAAGATTTATTTATTTATTTATTTTAAATATGAATGCTCTGTCTGCATGTACACCTTTATGCCAGAGGAAGGCGTCAGATCCCACTAGAGATGGTTGTGAGCTACCATGTAGTTTCTGGGAATTGAACTCTGGACCTCTGGAAGAACAGCCAGTGCTCTTAACCTCTGAGCCATCTCTCCAGCTCCAAGTTAACCTCTTTTAATAGATAGAACTGTTGATTTGTTAAGCAAACAAATTTAATTCCAGAATCTCATAGAAATTTAGGACTTGCAGGCGCATGTTTGGCTTGTACCGATCTCTCCAGTGGGTGGGGTGGAATCTGATGTGCCACAAATTAATTTCATTCATGTCATTTTTTTTCTCTTTCTCCAGGGAGATTCTGGGGGGCCCTTGGTGTGTGAACTCAATGGAACATGGGTGCAGGTGGGGATCGTGAGCTGGGGCATTGGCTGTGGTCGAGAAGGCTTTCCTGGGGTTTATATGGAAGTGAGTTACTACAAAGACTGGATCATTAGAGAACTGAGTCGAGCTTCAGGTTGGAACTTATCAAGCTTGCTCATCTTAAGCATGTGCCTGGTGCTTTACCTGGGTCTCCTGGTGGCCCTGTGATTCCCGCAGCCCACTGCCTCTCGTTTCTGAGCCCCTGCTAGGCTTCTCCTCTGACCTTCTTTCCCTGTCAATGCCATTTCTTCAAGTTCTACTCGGAACCCATTGCCTCTGTGGAGCGTGACAGGGAGTTCGGGGCTTGCAAAATGCCCTGAGCTGGTGCCTTGGTCATCTGTCTGTCCAGTTACCATCGTACAAGGGCTGTGCTTTGCCTGGAGTGAAGAAGAGTGAGACCTTTCCAGACAGAGGACCACCTGACCTGCCAGGCGGACGGAGAAACTCGTGGAGCTCTTGGAGAACATCTACAGAGGAGAGACATCATCAGTGTTGAATGGCCACTGGACCTCACCAGCTCAATAGCTCTTACCCAAGACTCTGCTGTACATACCAGTGAGTCCCGTGATCGCTCACAAAGAAAGAGACAGGAGGCACAGCACATTTCCGCAGAGCTGTGAGCCTGGGACTTCTACATCTGGCTCAGTTGTGGTTGGCAGCAATTCCCCAGCACCCCAGTGGGAATCCACCTTCCAGTACAAAACTTTTGCTGCACAAGACTCCTGGGAGTAGTCCCTCTCCCTCAGTACCCTAGCAGCCACTTCCAGGGCCATCCTAAGTTATGCTGATGCAGTTTTGGAGAGGATAGGTTTTAGACGTGAACTGAATAAATGTGTCTCATATGTTATGGACCTTTGTCTATCTGGAATATTTGGCTGCTGATAGCATACTCTAAAGAGAAATGGGCCCCCATTTTTTTTAATAGATTTTGCTGATGATTTTATGGTTTCAAAGGGCCCCAACAACTTTGTTGAAATGTTGCTTAGCACGGGACATTACTTCTGCTTGAACTAATAGATCCCTAGGACATGAAGCAAATCTTAGGTACATTTCTGAGGAGCAAGTCCAGAGATGATTAGATCATGAGGGCTGGAAATTTATCCATAATATGGCGGTGTTTGTTGGGACGTGGGGAAAGATGTCATGGAGGGTGTGTCCTCAAGAACCGTATCTTTCCCTACCTCCTTCCTGTGTTCCCATTGCCTGCTGCACACTGCCTCAATGTGAGCTACTCTGCCATGCCTTTCCCACCATCTTAGGCTGAACCCTCACAGCCTGGGAGCCGACATGAATAACTACTCACCTTGAATTTTTTCTCTCAGGTATTTTTTCCGTAGCAGTGATGAACTAACTGGACTACCATGGTTCTGAAGGGTCAGAAGTGATGTGACTTGTGGGAAAAAGGGCATTTACTGGAGCAGCTTCCCTCAGATATTTAGAATGCTGGTGCCTGTGAATCCAGCCATTTAACAGTGCACACACACAGGCTGTTGGATACGATGGCTGGTTGATGAGAGTATTTTCAGCAGCAGAGGCGTATTGGGACCTAAGCCTGTCTTTCTCATAGGAGCAGTGCATGTGCTGTGCTCACTGGGACAGATGGCTCCTGCAGACGACGATACGCAGCTGTCTCTCTCTCTCTCTCTCTCTCTCTCTCTCTCTCTCTCTTTCTCTCTCACACACACACACACACACACAACTGTACAGGTGAGTTGGGCAATTCTTGCTGCTCCAGTGGGAGTGCAGGTCTGCCCACTTCTGTGAGGCAGTTCCATCAGGACTACGATACCCATAACGGTCTTGTCCTGTGGTGAAAGTTACCTGAGGGTAGAGCAGGGTGTTTCTGCTCCCTGGTAAAGGGCTCTCATCTTCCAGCCACTGGCCTTATGGCAGTGGTCCAGGCGGATGGAAGCAGGAGCTGCCAGACTCAAGAGTTTCAGAGGCTGGACAGCTTTGCTTCCATGGAATTCTGTTTATCCAAAAATAAGTCACAGTCAGTCAGAAGGTGTGTCTCAGTTGGTAGCGTGTTTGCCTAGCAGGTGTGAAGCTGTGGGTTTGATCCCTGATGCCACCTAAAACTGGGCGCCGTGGGGTACACTTGTAATCTGCGTGCTTGGGAAATGCAGACAGGAGAAGTACAAATTCAAGGTCATCCTTGGCAAGGTGGAGGCCAACCAAGATTCCATGACACCCTGTCTTAAAAAATGGCAAAAAATCTTAATGCCAAATCAGACTTGATGTAAAATGAATTTGATTTCTTTTTCCTTGTGTTGTTTGATTTGTGTGAGGGGAGGTGGTGTGGGGGTGCAGGACCTCACCGTGTAGCCCTAGCTGGTCTGGAGATCACAGAGATCTACCTCTTCCTGCTTCCTGAATGGTGGGATTAAAGGCACATGCCTGGCTAGTTTAATTTCTTGGTGGGTAGAGACACAATATGCTATACCCAGCTTCTCTAACCTATCACACTGAGGATAATAAAAGGTTCTTAACACCTCTAACTCCCAATATTATTTTCTCTCTCTCCTCCCCTCTGGCTTCTCTTCCTCCTCTCTGAAGTAGTAGAGACCAAACCTTACACAAACAAGGCAAAGCCTCTACCACTGTGCTACATCCTTGGCCCCAGTCTCCAGAATCCTGATCCCAGCTGTGACTGAAAGAATGCATGGAATTATGAGACTGCCCTTTCAACCCAAATGAATTACTCTCTAGGTTAACTGCCTGCATTGTCACAAAAGGCGGCCATATGATGTTATGTCTCTCAGTGGCAGAATATAGCATTACTTCTCTTGTTGACAAAGAACTGAGCCTGAGTCCAACTGTGGATGTGCAATTGTAGATAAGTAATAAGTGGAGGACGCAGAGGGGCAACCTGAAGCAAAACTCACAAAGTCCAGACTGTATGAGACCACAGGTCAGGGTCCAGGTCTTCCACGGGGGACACTCAAGGGACTGAGTTCAGTGTAGCCATGGTTCTAAAGGTACATCAGATGCAAAACCTCCTACTAGAGTAGGAGGCAGCACCCAGGGAAACATGTTGGAGAACTAGAACCAAAGGCACAGGAGTAATGACATAACAGTTATAACTAACATTTCATTGAAAGCAGTATGGAATTGTGTTACAGGAGGCATGTGGGAAGCTCCCTGATCGAGGGGCATGCCCTGATTGCAATACAAGAAGTGGCATTGTACATTGTCCACCAAAGCTGTATGTTTGCTTTGTTTGGATTTGTATGCCAATTTTATCACACGAATTAAAAAGATAATGCTAGAGCTCATTAGTGACACTACTGTTGTGTAAGACTCCGTGGGATGGGGCCAAGTAGATTTTGCTATCATATATTTAATGCATATTGGTCTGCAGGCATATTCCTTTGGCATTATTGATATCCTAACATCTTTATGTGTGGTAATTAAATGTATTTCAGCGGCTTTGCTATTTTCTATGTGGAGCAGATAACAAACTGTGTTCACTTACTATGTTCAGTAAGTTGTATTATATGTGTGTACATGTGCAACCATTACTGCATTTATTTTATGGGTCTTTTGCCTGGGTGAATGTCTGGGTATCCTGTGTGTGCCTTGTTGCCTGTGGAGGTCAGAAGAGAGTGTCAGATGCCCTGGAATCAGAACTACAGGTGGTTGTGAGCCACCACGTGAGTGCTGGGAACTGAATCTGAGTCCTCAGCCAGAACAGCAAGTGATTTTAATCGCCAAGCCATCTCTCCAGCCCTGTGTTTGTATTTTAATGCAAGGTTTTGCTGTGTGGTCTGTGTAGGTGTTAAAGCTCTGAGGAGAAAGGTATCTCCAATGCAAGAATTGCAGCTCAGAAGGGAAAGGTAACCAGCAGTTTGGAGCCAAGGAATACCATAAAGTCATACCACACAGCAAAACTCACAGAAGAGATGTATTGGGGAAAATGGGTAGCTACCTCTGCTTGGGAGAGAAGCAGCAAAGAACTGAGCAGGAGGCAGACTTTCTATAGGGTTTCTTGGGGGCAGAGCTTTCCAGGGTGGCCTGGGGTTGGTGGGATTTTGTAGTCTTATCTTGGACATTTTACTCTGTAGGGCAGAGTTTGCCACCTGTGTCTTGAGGGGCTGGGTCCAGCAGTTATGGTCATTAGAGAGTCTTGTGGGTGGAGCCTGGTGGTTGATGGTCCTCAGGGGCAGGCTCTGGCCTCTAGGGGTTTACAGTCTTGGCTGGTCTGAAACTATCTAGATAGCCCAGACTGAGCTCGGCTTCCTGAGTGCTGGGATTGCAGGTATATGGGTGTTCTGACTGCATTTACCACTTGCATGCAGTGCCTGCAGAGGCCAGAGGGTATCACATTCCTGGAACTGGATTGCAGATGATTGTAAGCCACCATGTAGGTGTTACAAATTGAACTCAGGCCTTTTGGAAGAGCAGTAAGTGATCTTATCTGCTGAACCATCTTTCTAGCCCCTCTCCCCTGATACCTAAGTACACTATCATATCATCTACAGATTTTAAAACTTTTTTATTTTTAATATGTATATTTTGCTTGTGTGTAAGTGAACCGCATGTCTGCAAGTGCTCACAAAGGCCAGGAGTAGTGCCAGATCCATCATGTGGGTGCTGATCACCAAACCCAGGTTCTCTGCCAAAGTTACAATTGCTCCTAACCACTGAGTCATCTCTCCACCTCTTATTCCATAATCTTGAGAAGGAACCTTTAATAAGGCAATACTTAGCTGCAATAAAGGTATTTTATTTATCTTTTGACAATTTCATGCATGTGTACAGTGAATCTTGAGTCTGTTCACCAATTCCTGCTCCCCACATCCCAAAATATTCCCTTACCACTTTCATGCCATGTCCTTCCTCCCTCCCTCTCTCCCTTTCTTCCTTTTTATTAGTCACCCACAGAGCTCAAGGATTGCTGCTTGCAGAAATGCACACTGACCTTGTCATCTTGAGCCTGGCAGCCAACCAAAGCTTCAGTGGATTCCTGAGTGCACAGTGGCCATGACATATCCCTTTTGTTTACATTTGGTTTTTTTTCAGGGATGTAAAGACAACAATGTACCCTTTCCTGCTCCCTGCTCCCTGTTTTGGCTTCTTTCCTATGTTTGCAATACAATTTTAGCCACAACAAGCTGCCCATGGCCCCCTCCTTCACTGACCTGTCTGTCAATGGAGCTGATTTTCCTCTTGAGCATCTTGGTGGCTTGTGCAGGCCACAGCTCGGGACTCTTCATGAAGCTGCCTATCATGGTGCACACCTTTAATGGAAACGCTCTAGAGGCAGAAATAAGTGGATCTCTGTGAGTTCCAGGACAGCCAAGACTATTGAGAGAAACCATGTTTTGGAAAACAAAACAAAATAATCAACAACAAAGTCAAACAACCAAAAAACAAACAAACAAAAACTTAGTCTCTCGTTCATCAGGGTTTATTGCTGCTGTTGCTGCTGTTTGGTTAGTGACTCCTACATCTTACTTCCCACCCATGTCACACATAGGATGCCAGTATAGTCAACATCATCCTCAGGAAGAACCTGTCTCTTTAACCCTCCAGGTAAGGAGCTGTTTCTACCTCCCCAGCTGGACTGGGCTGCCTTGTAACCTCTCAGACAGGCCTGTACAGAGAGCCCTGGCACCAACAAGCAGTACTTGGGGAGCTGACATTGGATCCTAAGACTCTTGCTGTGGCCCCCATGGTAGGAGACCCTGATCTTGGAGGGGGTTGGAAACACAGGAGTTGTAGGATCTGCAATTGTTGGGAATCTCAGGTGATTCCTCAGTTCTGGGGTCTATAGGCTTTCAACATTTCTCTGGATTCCCCCTTGAGGCTTCTTACCGTAGGAACAAAGCTGCACCTGCACAGCTAACTGCCCCCTCCCCTTCAATGCCACCACTATGGTCTCCACCATCCCAGCCAAGCACTGTGCAGCCACACCCTCCTCAGACTCCTTTGGGACCCATTGCCCCAGGGATCACCTCAGTGGAGCATGGCAGGGACATTGGGGCTTGTAAAATGTCCTGGCCTGGTGCTGTGGTGGGCTGCCTCAATTACAACTACACTAGGGCAGTGCTCCACCTGGAGTAGAGGAACATGGGCCAGTGGCAGACAGAGGGAAGTTATTAGGCTCTAGTAAAGGGGCACGGTGGTCGGGTGGATCACTCTCTAAAAGAGGTGATGCAGGGAAAGGAGGAGGTGAGTGGCAGGCAATGAGTTCTACTGAATGTAAGGAGTAAGGTTTTTCCACCCGCTGCCGGTCTGGTCCCGCCGCCGCGCCAGCCCCAATTAACAACACTGAGACTCTGTATTTGATATAATTCTGTTGGCCCATTACTTGTTTCTTATCGGCTAGCTCTATCTTAAGTATTAACCCATTTCTGTTAATCTAATATTTCCACATGGTCTTCTCACCAGGGAAAGGGGCCAGTGTCTCGCCTCCCCAGTCTCTCCATCTTGACTCCTCCTTACTACTTCCTCTTTCCTCATCTCCTAGTCCCGCCTATCTTGCTTTCCTATTGGCCAACAGTGCTTTATTCATTAAACCAGTATGAGAAACATATTTATAGAATCGCATCTCCCATCAACTGAACACAGTAGATTTTACGAAAAGTGAAACATAACACACAAATAGTGCCTGCAGTCTCTGGTACAGATATCGATGACCATTTCTAGTGCCCGGATTTTGGGATCTTGAAACACCATTTCCCAAAGAGAGGGCTTGAAAAAATAAAATCTATAGGTATGAGTATGAAATGCCTAAAAGCAACAGACTATTCCAGACAGCAAGATCACTACTAAAGACCACTGGGTCAGGTCTGGAGTCGTGGCTCAGTGGTTAAGCTGCTCTTGCAAAGGACCTGGGTTCAGTTCCCAGCAACCACATGGTGGCTCATAACCACCCTTAAAAGTCCAGCCCCAAGGGATCTGGTGATCTCTTTTTACCTCCATGGGCCCAGGCAGCCAAAAGACCCACACAGATAAAGGGAAAAAAAATGATATTAATTAAAAAAGGACCCTGGGACCCTAACTGGATGAGTCATAGACTGGTCAGAATGGGCGTGACAGTGTGTTGGATGTGACACTTGCCTCCAGCTTCTGAGAAACTGACCCAGTGTTGGCCTCTCAGAAAAAGCACCTGGAACTGCCCCTGAGATATGATCTGTCAGGCTCAGCCCAGAGAAAATCATTGGCATGCAGAAAGAGGGGGCAAGGCCCAGCCCTCTAGGTTTTGTGGAAGGGCTTCCCGCTGGTGTGGCCAGTGGAGACCTCAGCCACAGCTGCTTGTAGCTCAGCTCCCCTGAGTTTCCAGTCCTGCCTCGCTTGGTCTCTTCTCTGGTGTCTCTCAGTGACAGCTCACTTACCCCCCAGCCCGCCGCACTCATTGTTTTCAAGACTGCTTCCAGGAACCATGCTTGGCAAAAATGGAATAATACAAGCTTCAGGAAGAGTCTGAGAGATCCATTGTTGGTGCCATCACATTCCAGATTGAATGGCTTCACACTGTGCAGGGCTCCTCCATGCTCAACGTCTCATTGGGGCTCTTCACAGAACAGTGGAAACATTGAGACATCTGGTGCGCATGCTCCGCCAAAAAGCTCCCCCAAAAAGCAGGGTGATGTCCCTGCTTCCTTGGGCTCTCATTTAAACAAGTGTTTACTGCCACATTTCTCTTACATATTTGTGGCTTTTGCTAGTATTTTTCTTTCAATTTCAAAGAGCCTCAACAATAATCTGAGATTCTGCCTAGCATTCCTAGGTGCAAGAAAGCTATGATGTTCCGTTGTGGAGAAGTTTCCTTGGGACAGCTTTCCTTAGGCACGGGTTAAAGTGCTGTGGTCTGGGAGTGCAGTGAGCTAGCAGTGGGTGTGATGAGCTGCTTAGAACATGCACACTTAGAAACGGGTGACAGACTGATGGAGAGTACTGTGAGCAGAGGCTCACAGGCACATAAACCTGGGTTTCCCACAAGAGCAATGCTTCAGATTTGCTAACTCGACGCTTATGATGTCTTTGTAAAGCATAACACAGTGTCCTGGATGTTTGGTCTGGATGCTTCCATTTCCTTGAGAAGCCTCGCATCCTCTAGCAGTTCCAGGGCCTTAAGTACAGTGTCTAAAAGCATGAAGGCAGACACTTTGAGAACTACGAACAGAAGTCGCACAGCTTTGCTTCTGTTGGTAGAAACAGATCACAAAGTCATCTTAGCTTCAACAAGGGTGGGGGAATGAGGCAAGGTCTTGCTTTTTAGCACTGGGAAGCCTCAAACTCATTACATAGCCCAGCTAGCCTTGAACTTTCCTTTTTCTGCCCCTCACTTTTTTGTTTTTGATTGTTTTGTTTTGTTTTTCTTGTTGTTTTGTTTTTGTTTTTCAAGACAGGGTTTCTCTGTATTGCTTTGGAACCTGTCTCAGCACTTCTGTAGATCAGGCTGGCCTCGAACTCACAAAGATCTGCCTGCCTCTGCCTCCCAAATGCTGGGATTAAAGGTGTACACCACCAATGCCCAGCTTTACTGCCCCTCACTTTTAATTATTGGCATTATATACAGCATGAGCCATCACACTTGAATGAATTCCATTTCTTGGTTGGTAAAGATGCAAAATATTGTGACTGAGTTTTTAAATCCACCACAGTAGTGACAACAGTTGCAATTCTTTAAAGCCTGTAAAATGTGTTGATATCCAAGCTCTTGATAAAACTTCCCCAACTGACGAGCAAAAGAAAAATGCTACAATTATGAAATCACTATTTTTCAAGGGATTAGTGTTTCTAGGCAAAATCATCAAACCATTTGTAAAGTCACAAAAGAAAACTATGTGGAGCGGCTGGAGAAATGGCTCAGCAGTTAAGAGCACTGGCTGCTCTTGCAGAGGATTCTGGTTCAGTTCCCAGTACTCACATGACATCCGTAACTCCAGTTCCAGGGGATCTGGTCCCGCTTCTGGCCTCCATGGGCACCAGACACACATGCAGTACACACAGGCAAAACACTCATACACAAAATTAAAATAAATATTAAGCAAGGCGCTGGTGGCACATGCCTTTAGTCCCAGTATGTGTAATCACCTTGAGCGTGCCTGGTGCCCATGGAGGTTGGATCTGCTGGAACTGGAGTTATGAGTGGATGTGAGCCACCATGTGGGTTCTGGGAACCAAATCTGGGTCTTCTGCAAGAGCCGCTGGTGCTCCGGCCCCCTTCTTGCTTAATATTGATAAGATGTAGAATGCCTTCAAAGTCTCCCCCACGACAGTGCTAACCAGCTAGCTTTCTGGTGAATGCGTCAGGATCAGACGTTTTAGGCAGATGCTCTGGACTTGCACGCGCGCGCGCACACACACACACACAAACACACACACACAGCCTTCCTGTCCACACAAAGGCACCTGCGCGAGCCACTGCTGGGGGGCGGGGGTGCCAGGAGAGGGATTGCCTGAGCCCAAGGCCTGGATGGGCAGCTTCCTCAGGGGTGACAGGGGCGGCTTCCTGGCCCTCCTGGCCTGGCTTCAGCTTCTTCAGCCTCTGTTCAGTGAGGCCTTGGCTGGGGACAGGGGTCCCGGGTGGTAGCAGTGGCGGAGGTGTGGCTGCATGGAGTTTGGCTTGGGTGGGCGTGGCCAAGGTGATGGTGTTGGCGTTGGTGCAGTTGGGGCACTCAGGCCAGCAGCAAGCAGCTGCGCAGGCGCGGGCACGGCTCAGCCTGAGCTTTTCCTAAGTTGGTCTCTTCCTTAGGTGGTACTTACAGACCCAGGGAGGGTTCCAGAGTGATGCGCACAGGTCTAGAGACCCCAGCACAGAGGAACCACATAAAACCCCTGAGTATTTCAGATCCTTCGGTAGCTCCAGTGTCTCCAGACCCAACTGGGACTCCAGGGCCAAGGACTCCTTCACCGACCACAACCCAAGTCACCTTGAAATCCAGTAGCAGGTTTCCAGGAAGACCGTTTTTCCCAGGTACCCTTACTGGTGCCAGGGCTCTACAGGCTTGTCTGGGGGGTCAAAGGGCAATCCAGTCGTGCTGGGGAGGCGGGGTCAGCTCCTGCCCCTGAAGGACTGGAGAGACAGTCCCTTCCTGGGGATGACCTTGACGATGTGTGGAATTGGATGGCGGTGTGGAGGAATGACTGCACTTTTAATCTCTCTTTAGAACCATGTGGCCATAGAATTATGCAGTTCAGTCGCGGAAGGCCGTCTGCAGTGAGGAAGTGGCCGTGGCAGGTGAGCCTGCAGAGCAGAAAAGAACACATATGTGGAGGCTCCCTCATCAGCCGCCAGTGGGTGCTGACCGCGGCCCACTGCATATATGAGTGAGTGACTGGGGACCTGGTTTCGGGCCCTGGATCCAGCTGAGTCGGGTCCCCATCTCAAGACAGTGGGAGCACACACCATTAATCCCAGCACTCAGGAAGCAGAGGCAGGTGGATCTCCAAAACACACACACACACACACACACACACACACACACACACACACACACTTACTTTTCGTCCTCATCTGTAAAAAGAATGCCAGTCCAGGATTCTTGTCTAGTCTCAAGTGATCCCTGAACATACTCGTTTTTAGCAAGTCTCCAGGTGATAGTGGTCTAAGAGCCACACCTGGAGCACTGCTGGGCAGGCAAGGCTGGCCTGGGCTCCTAGAGAAGGGGGTGTGGTCTGGAGCGGGGAGGGCTGATACTTGGCATCCATTCAACACTAGGCTGAGAAGCAAGTACCGTGTGTAGAGGAGGTGTGTAAACCCGAGGGCCTCTGCAAAGGCCATGTGCTTTCCTTGCAGCCAGGAGGAATACGCCGTGTTGCTGGGAGACAACATGTTGAATCCTGAATCTGGAAATGGGACTCTGATCCCAGTAAAAGACATCATTTATCCTTCCAATTTTGACCTTCAAACCCTGCAGAGTGACATTGCTCTTGCTCTGCTGGTCTCCCCTGTGAATTTCTCCTCATTTATCCAGCCTGTGTGCCTTCCTGGGAAGCCCTTCCAAGTGAAGAATGGGACATCGTGCTGGGTGACTGGCTGGAGCCGCCAGAGTGAAAACGGTGAGTCCTGAGTCGTGCGGGTGCGCGGCCTGCAGAAGAGGGACCGCCTCGTGCTCTGGGGTTGGTCTACAAGGGCAGAGGCTGGCTGATAAAGGAGGGAGGACAATGAACTGACAGCCAAGGACACTGCAACTGTGCTAGGATCTTTATTTTTGTGTCAGGACCTGGGTGCTTGGGTGACAGGTGTGATGGTTTCTGTCAAAGTTAGATCTGGGCCGGGGTAATGTGACACTGACCAGAATGAGCTATTCTTCCCCCAATGGGTTGAGCGTCCTCCTTCCTGGGCTAAGCAGAGTACAGGACCTTTGACCCTCTTACCACTGGCAGATGCTTGGTTGTCGTTTTCTAGCTGGCAAGATGTTTCTGGTCTGTTTCCTGTGGCACAGGTATCCAGTGCATGCCCTGTCTTTTTTTTTTTTTTTAGGTAAACACTTTTAATTTTTCCTTTTATGACTTATTTTTATGTATGTTGGTATTTTTGACTGCATGCATGTCCACGTGAGGGTATCATGTCCCCTGGAACTGGAGCTACAGATAGTGTGAGCTGCCATGCAGGTGCTGGGAATTGGACCAGGGTCCTCTAGAAGAGCAGCCAGTGCTCTTAGCCCCTAAGCCGTGTCCTTAGCCCCCATGGCCTGTCTGTCTTAAGGGGTCAACTGTGTATTCACACACCCGGTGGTACCAAGAGGATGCTGGTAGTTCCTGCCGTCTTCGGGTACAGATCCTACCTTGTATTTCTGCAGACACGGCGTTCGCTTCAGTCCTCTTGCAGGAGGCTCAGGAAAGCATCCTCCTGCCGAAGCTCTGTAATCACCTGCTCCAGAGACAGCTAAAAACATCAGAAGACCTGGTGATGAAAGGGATGATCTGTGGCCACCATGACAAGGGACAGAGTCCTTGCTGGGTCAGTTTACGGGCCCCTTAAGGCCTTTCGGTATCTGCCGTCACCACCTCCTTTATCAGACAGGGTTTCACTGTGTGGCCCTGGAACTCACGATGTGGATTGGGCTGGCCTCGAACTGACAGAGATCCTCTTGCCTCTGCCTTCTGACACTGGCTGAGAAGCAGGAGCCACTATGCCACACTGCTACATCCGGCACAAAGCCCTTAGTTAAGGTTTATGGAGTGAGTCCTCAGGTTTCCCACGAGTTGGCCTGGCCTGGTCCTTCTAAAAGGTCTAGCCTTTGCTACCTGGAGACCCTGCTAAAGCATTACATCTGCGGCGACAATGCAAACAGTATTTTGCCCTGAGTTTTATGTGGCCCCTAACCATGCCGATGTGAGCATGTGCCTTTGTTATCTTAGTTAACCCATATCGTAGCTTTGCAACCCAAATGTTATAAATCTCTGGAAGGCAAAATCCAAGGAGATGAGTTGAAGACCTTTCTGGACCTCTAGGACCTCAGGTCCATTTCTCTCCTCTGCATAAGGCTGCACTCTCAAGGAGTGTGGGACTGTTAGTGGATGCACATTTGAATTTCCTGGAAAGGGGAAGATATCATTGTAAAGATGGGACACAGGCATGTGTAAGGGCTCAGAGCTGAAACTTGTATGCATTTGGAGCAGTGAGACAGCAAGTGTAGTCATTCATGTGGTTAGAGTTGGAACAGGGCATGGTGGCACACTCCTTTAATCCCAGCATTTGGGAAGCAGAGACAGGCAGATCTCTGAGTTTGGGGCCAGGGTGGTCTACAGATCGAGTTTTAGGACAACCAGGGCTACACAGGGAGAGCCTGCCTTGAAAACACAAACAACAAAACAAAAAGCAAATGGTTAGAGTTGGAATATATGCAGTCTGAAGTGACATGTCAAATTTCTAGACTGGCCCAGGACTAGGAGGTGAAGCTGAGTAAGCATGGCGAGAGTTCCCTCGGGTGGGTGGACGGTGCCTGGATGTGAGTAGTGAGGGAGGTGTGTTTGAGGTGGTTGGTTATAGAGCCTTGGGTTTAGGGTAGGGCAAGGGCATGCAGAATTGTGCTAGTAGTGGAAATTTGATGTGTCCTGTGCTCTTCGAGGCAGTGCAGCTGACCAATGGAGGAGGTTACTCAGTGGGGTTAGGGCAGAGAGAGTTTTAAGGCTGTGATAAGGATGCCAGCACTTCCGCGCAATGATGATGCTCAAAATATTTAATGCTTTTGAAGACCCAGGACTGACCAGTCTACCTAGACACTGGCCTGATGCTGGAGTGGGCTCTGGAGGCTGCAGGCTACAAACTGTAGAGGCCAGGGCAAGCACAGTTACAGGGTTAAACGTTCATCAGAAAGGGTTTGGTGTCTGTAGATGTGGGACTGCCAAGGCAAATTCCCATATCTGACTGCTCTCCTGGGTTGGCCTGGCTCTGCATCTGTGTCAATGTTCCTGATCACTGCAGAAGGTGGATCATTGCCCAGAGGATGTTAAAGTTTTCACATGAGCTTTTCATGTTAAATCTCAGTCATTAAAAGAATCTAGGGCCGGGCGTGGCAGCACACACCTTCGATCCTAGCAATCCAGAGGCAGAGGCAGGTGGCAGACAGATCTCTGTGAGTTCGAGGCCAGTCTGATCTACAGAGCGAGTTCTAGTTCAGCCAGGACTGTTACACAGAGAAACTCTGTCTCAAAAAACAAAACAAAACAAAGGAACAAAAAAAACAAGGCAAAAGAATCTAGGCCTGGAAGAGTCTCTGGGTGTCTGAGGACATCTTCCCAGCACCATGCAATGCAGCCAGTCTGCTCCCTTGTCCATCCCTTCAGCTGTTTCTTTCTCCTCTTTTCCAGGGAGATTCTGGGAGCCCCCTTGTCTGTGAATCTGACAACAGGTGGATCCAGGTGGGGATTGTGAGCTGGGGCATCAACTGTGGTCGTACCTCTATTCCCTCAGTTTACACAGACATCGCTGAATACAACGAATGGATCAAGTATATTTTAAGTCAGGCTTCCTGCATGGATTGCATGGGAGTCTTGATCCTACACCTGTCTCTGATGCTGCAATTGGCCGTCTTGGTAACGCTGTGACCTCCTTAGCCTACTGTCTTCCTGCTGGTTTTGAGTCTCCCACTAGGTCTCTTCTCCAATCTCATTGCCCTCTCTTCTGCCCTTTCTTCAGATTCCAGGCAGAATCCAATGCCCCGGGGAGAGCCATAGTGGACTGGGTAACTGGGGACTGCAAAGTGTCCTGACTGGTGTTCTGGTCACTTGTCTCCAACACACCCATACCTGATTGTTCTCTACCTGGTGGGAAGGAGAGTGAACTGACCCTAACTGGAGGGCCAGCTTGACAGCTAGGTGGAGCAGAATGACTCACAGCATTTCCGAGGACACCAGCCAAGAAGAGAGACCATCATTGGGGGGACCAGCACTAGACCGGCTCCGTTTGCACTACACAGTTCAGTGGCTGCTGGAAGAGAGGAGGGAGGGAGGAAAAGGGCCCTGCTAGGACTTTCCTTAGGCTGACAGAAATTCCCCTATACCCCATGGGTGTGTGTGTGTGTGTGTCTGTCCGTGAGTGCACAACCTCTGACTCACAGGTTTCATGAGAGGACAGTCCCGCGGGGCACCCCCTTCCTTGTTTTCCTGGTGGTCACATCCAGGGTCACCCACATTGTTTTGAGGCAGTTGTGGAGTAGGGGGGAAATCTCAAATATGACAAATAAATGTTTGGAGAGTGTCCTGTGTGTCCTAAAGCTCTGCTTACCTGGGATATTTGGCCACCCACAGAACTGACTCCATTTACCTAGGGAAGTTACTTGCAGTTCATATTCTAGCATAGAGATGAGGCTGGGCTAGCTCAGACCAGAGTCCTCCAGGTAGTGTTGGCAGGCAGCCCTGCTCCCTGAGGGCCTGGTGTAGTTACGAGCCATCAGAATCTGGATGGTAGCTTTACCAAAGCTGTACCACATTCAAAGCTGGGAGCAGGGGCTCAGGGCAGGCAGGGACTGGGAGAAAGGAAGAGGCTGGGGCTGGGAAACGGGCTTTCTCTTCTTTTATTATCATTGCTCGACTTTCCCTTCTTGCCATTCACCTGACTTTATTTCCAAAGGCCGTGTTCCCAAAGCCAGGAGGGTTTTCAGAGAGTCAGTATGCTCCATACAGCTTCCTCATATAGGGTCTCACTGTGGATGTGCTCACCAGCCTCCTCCAAACTCCCACCCACAGTATCCTTTGTCTTTCAGCCTCTGTTCTCCATGGCTTCAATGGGCATTAAGTTTCAACTACTGCCAAAGAACGATTGGACCTGACAGTTTACATCAACCCCAGTCCCTCTCCACTTTTCTGTTGTTTACTATGTAGCCGGTCAGATCCAACTCTTAATGAACGCATACATCACCAGTTACTTTGAGAAACTGCTGTGCCCAGAGCACATGAGGTGGTGTTTGTGTCTGTATCCCCAGCAGTTGGAAGGTGGAAACAAGGACAGCCCATTGCTCCTTTGCCACAAATTGAGTTTGAGGCGAAGCTGGGATACATGAGGTGCTGTGTCAAAGCAACAGCAAAACTCCAAACCCCTCCACCCTCCAGAAACCACTGGCTCTTCACAGACTAACAATACAGGCTTATCTTTGTCTGTATAACAAGCCATCCTATGTCAATAGATAGACAGCTCCACTCAGCCTCATAGAGCATCCCTCACCCGTGTGAGCATACTCTGAGGGCTTGTTAAAACCGCACATTCCTGCCAGGAGCAATCACACATGCCTGTAATCCCAGCATTTGGGAGGCAGAGGCAGGAGGATTACTGTAAGTCCAAAGCCAGCCACGGCTATACAGAAAGGGACACTGTTTAAAAAGAAATATGATCCATGCTATTGGAAGTTTTCAGTCTTGGAGGTCTGAGTCCAGAGCTTGGCGATGAAGGTTTCTAGCACATTCTCAGGTGCAGCTGCTGTGGGGACCTAACTTTGGGAACCAAATAGTGTCAGGAGGGCAATCTTCTCTTGCCTACCTTGACACAGAAGTAACACAAATCACTCATTCAAACTCAAGTAAATGCCAAGCTGGGGGACCGGAGAGATGGTTTGGTGGTGAAGAGCTTCCCACAGAACCTGCATGGTGGCTTCCAGCCATCTGTGACTCCAGCCCTAGGGGATCTGATGCTGCCTTCTGGTTTCTGTGGGCATCAGGCACAAACTGTGGTTCAGACATATCTGCAGCAAAAAATAAAATTAAACTAAAAATTTTTGTTTTTCAAGACAGGGTTTCTCTGCGTTTACAGTCTGGCTTCCTGGAACTCACTCTGTAGACCAAGCTGGCCTCAAACTCACAGAGATCTTCCTGCCTCTGCCTCTCCAGTACTGGGATTAAAGATGAGCACCATCGCCACTCTTTAATAACAACAACAACAACAATAATAATGATGATGTTGGCTAGGTGGTGGTGACACACACCTTTAATCCCAGTACTACAGAGACAGAGGCAGTCAGATCTCTGTGAGTTCAAGGCCAGCTTGGTCTACAGAGTGAGTTCCGGGACAGCCAGGGCTGTTACACAGAGAAACCCTGTCTCAAAAACACACAGACAAACCATGTTTAGATGCCAAGCTGGGTGATGGGATCCCTAGAGTTCCGCTGGACACCTGGAACTAAACAAAGAAAGCGGGAATTTTGGTGGTTAACGCGGTTAAATAAGGATCAGGATAAACAAATAGGCCGAATAGATGTTTATTTAGGGAGAAATAACTTACAACCTAGACGGATGAACACCAGGAAATTCAACCCTTAGGGAGAAATAACTTACAACCTAGACAGATGAACACCAGGAAATTCAACCCGATCCTCTCCTGTCCGAGTCACGCCAGAAAGAGCCTTTCCTGGCCCCCTCCGACCTCCTTCCACGGGTCACTCCGCCCATGGCTCCACCCCCAATGGGCGTGGTCAGTGCCACAGAACTATCTCGAAATCTCCTCTAGGCTCCAAAGATCCAAAGGGCTCATCCCTCCGTGAAAAGCCCTGTTTATGTCTAAGGCCAGGCACAAACGGACAGTTTTCAGTGGCGACAGTCCTTCATATTGCTGGTCTATGGAAGAGGACAGCTGCCCTTCTTTACTCAGCATCCTGTCCCCAGCCCTACCCCGGCCTTGATTTAGTCTTAGATCTCAAAACCACCTTCCCTACCAGTATTGTTATTTTCTGTTCTTGGGCTTTCCCGGTCCTTGTCAATACTGACCATGAAACTCTTGGCGCAGCAGGCCCAGAGAACAAGAGGCTGAGGCTGGACGAAAGGATGCCGTTCCGGCCCAGGGACTAGGGTCTGCACGCACCATCATCCTCTCAAAGCACTGAGGGAGCTTTCATAGATCTGCAGTCTGAGGTCCAGTCTAAGTCAGGGGATCTGAAATCATCGTAAGGACTAGATTGGGTCCAGGGGCGAGGAACTTGAAGGCCCTGAAGAGGCATGGTCAGGCTCTCGGTGCCGTCGCGTCACTTGTGTAAGACGTCACCACCTACGTCACCACGCACAGGGTGTGGGCACGTGGCAGCACGCTGGCACTGTCTCCACCGCCCATGGCTCCATCTTCATGGCTCCATCGTTGTGTGGCCTGGGCGCTTGGCCTGGATCCTTGCGGCGCTGGCTCCTAACCTGTTTTGTGACACCGTTGTTGCTGCTTCTGCCTTCAAACTTAGGTGAGGCAGGCACCTTCTCTGTTGTCCTGTCTGTGTCCTCCCCAGTCTTGCGCAGGTTGGCTATTTCTTTCCAGCCATTTGGAACTTGTGTGCGCCAACTCCACCTCGCTGTCACCTCTCTTCTGCTACCCACTCCTAGCTTCCTCAGGTCACAACTGCCCTGGGGTCTCCTGCAGATGGCAGCAGGTAGCACCCCTGGCCTCTCCCTCCATGCCCAGGTGCCTCCTGCATCCCCATCCTCTCCAAAGGATGGCTTCTTTCCATCACCAGCCGGTGAGTGCTGTCTCTTCAGACTCAGCTGGCCGCCAGCCCCCCAGCCCCCAGCGATTCCTCGATTCCTCCCAATCTGACTGCTCAGTAACACTACCCATACCCACCCGGTCATCCTCAGCGCATTCCTTCTCCTTATTGCCCCTGGTTCCGTTTGTTTGTTCGCTGTTTCGTTGTTGTTGATTTTTTTTTTTTTTTTTTTTGTTTTCTGCTCTCTCTTTTTTTTTTTTTTTTTTATTTTTATTTCTGTGGCTCTTTCCCCATACCTCCCCCTTTTTTTTCTCCTTTTATTTGAGGAGGGGGGCAAGGTCTCATGAACCCTAGGGTAGCCTTGGTCTTTCCTTGCAGCTGAGGGTAGCCTTGAAGTCCAGAGCCTCCTGTCTCCACCTCCTAAGAGCTGGCACTTCCCCGGCTTCCTGATCCCTCTGTTTCAGGAGAGTCCCTCTCCTCTGTGCCCAGCTCAGACCACCAGCTCTGAAGGTGCCCTTTGATTCCTTGCCTCTTCCCTCTCCTCTGCTCCCTGGGTGAGCTCAGTTGCCCCAGGCACTGGGCTGCAGTTATGACATGCCACCTCATAAAACAATGGCCTGAAGGTGCACACACCTGCTGGAGGCTCTTCCCGAGCCATCCCAAAGCATCTCATTTCTTTGGTGTCCATGCCAGACCCTCGTTTTTGAAAACTGCCTTTCATAGTTGTCTGTCTTAGTGAATGGCAGCCGACCCTTCTCTGAATTCAGAAACCAGTGTCATTCTAGACTAAGCCATGTCCTTGGCCACCCGCCAAGCTCATCATACCTATTCTCAGAGCCTCACTCAGATTCCCTTGCTGCTTCCCTGATTTCTGTAGAGACCCAGTAGAGATCTCACTCCATACGATCCGCACCTCCAGCATCAGCCTGGCTCACGTGAGCCTCTCCAGGTGGCCTCTGATGCTTGTATCCAGACATTATTTACTTTTTTTTTGGACATTTTTCTTTTCCACCACAGACATCATTTTCATCCTCCAAAGGCTCTGGAATTCCCTGAAGGATTTGTTTTTTAATCAGTTTTATTTGTTTATCTCCTCTCAGCTGTCTCTTACACCACCACCTCTTCTGGAATCACCTGACATCTCTGGCCCTGGCCTTTTTCCTGGTCTCACATGATGGCAATGTGTTTACTGTCCCATCAGCTGGGCAGTGTATGTCCCCAGTCAGGCTCTGTCTGATAGTTGTTTCCCAGTCTGTGACTTCAGGCTGGTAACAGCATTAAGTCAGGGATGATTTGGTAAAGGAATGTACGGACTAATTAGTAAAAAGCGAACCCCTTTCCTGCAATCCCACTACAAGTTATTGCTTCATGTCTCTCCTTTTTTTCCTTCAGGTGATGAAGGGAACCACAACCAAACAGGTGGGTCAATGGGTTCCCGTGGAAGGGAAAGTCCCAGTCCTGAAAGTCTTTGCCTAAATTGCATTTCTGGTTTGGTAGGGAGCAAGTATTGGATGTACTTCCTAAACAACACGTGTAGCTGTCAGGACACAGCCCTAACTAGAAGAAAGAGCACCTGGGTCTCCCACGGGAATGTAGAGCTTTTGAACCTCAGGCACTGTCTGCAGAGCTCCTGGGGCTCCCTGTCTTTCCCCTTAGATCAGGAGGTGCATGGCTGGGTCATAGGCCTCCAGGGTCTTGGGTTCTGTCATTGGGTTCTGCCAGGGTTCCACTGAGGTTCCCTATTGACTATGTGGTTGATTTACTGTTCTTGCTTCTGTCCAACCTCACTGCTTTGTTTTCCCTCTGTAATTGAGTATCATTGAAAGATTATATGCGTGTGTGTGTGTGTGTGTGTGTGTGTGTGTGTTGTGCACACATGTGTAGGTGCACAAGCTTTTGTGTGAGAGTGCGGATGAATGCCCAGAACAAAAGTCAACCTCAGGTGCTATTCCTCTGATGCCTTTGTTTCTGGAGATAGTCCCTCATGGGTTGTGGGCTTGCTGATTGGGAGAGACTGGCTGGCCAGGCACCAGGGATCTGCTGGCCCCTCCTCCCCAGCACTGGGATTACAAACCTGTACCAGCATGCCTGGCTTTACCCTGTGCTGAGGACTGAACTCACATCTTGGTGCTTGCATAACAAGCACTTTACCAACCAAGCTGTCTCCCAGCCCCTAAGGATGTTTTTATTTGGACATAAAATTGTTTTTGTTAATTTTTATTTTATGTGCTTGAGTGTTTGCCTGTGTGTATGTACGTGCCAAATCTTCTGGAACTAGAGTTACAGATGACTGTGAGTCAACATGTTAGTGCTGAGAAGCAAGCCTGGATCTCTGGGAGAGCAACAGGTTCTCTTAACTGTGCAGCCATCTCTCTAGCCCCCTGCTAATTTTTAAAGTTAGTATGTAATCATTTTATTTTTATTGCAACACTTTGAAATATGTTTGTAATTTTGCTTTGTCGTATTCTTCCTCTACCACCCTTTCTTTTCATAAATATTTTGAGGTTTTCTTTCTCTTTTGTTTTTACTTTATTATTATTATTATTATTAGAAACAGGATCTCTCTACATAGCCGTGACTGTCGTGGAACTCACTCTGTAGACCAGGTTGGTCTTGAACTCACAGAGATCCACCTGCTTCTGCCTCCTGAGTGCTGGGATTAAAGGTCTGCGCCACCACCACCCACAGGCATTTCTCTTGGAACTCCTGCTATTTCTGCACTGCTCTGACATCGGCGTGGGTTTTCCTGTGTGGCTCTGTCTCTCTCTTCATGCTGTCATTTATGTAACTGTTGTGTTTTGTCTAGGTCAGTGCCCTTGGGGTCCACTATCCTGTGCCCCTCAGTGTCTTCTCTTCGAAATGGGGAGAAGTCCCTGATGGTGCAGTGCAGCCATGCCAACCTGACCCCAGAGGGCGACTTGTCACTAGCCCTTCTGATTTTCCTCTCCATGGACACTGTGCTCTCTGTTTAGAAGTTTGTGGCAAGCCCTGGTGGCCAAACAACTTGAAGGAGATCCGCCATTGGCCCTGGGAAGTGAGCCTTCGCATGGAAAATAAGCACGTGTGTGGAGGGGCCCTCATTAATCTCTTCTGGGTGATCTCTGCAGCGCACTGCTTCCAGAGGTGAGTGTGCCCTCATGGCTCTAGGACCTAAAGGCCTAGAGCTACTGTGGGCTGGGCCCAGCTTCCGCAGGAAAGCCCAGGCCCCACCCCAGGAGTGACACCCACACCTGACTCAAAGGGACTGCTAATGAAAGGGCTGGTATATTTTACCTCGAGTGCCCCAGGCTGCATTAATCCAGAGAGAGTGGACAGAGCATGTCAGAGGCAACTTCAGGGACAGAAAAGGGTCCTGAGAGGAGGCGGGGCATAGCTGTGCAGGAAACTGATGTCTGCCATGTGGGCTTCTGAATCTCCCATAGCAACAAAGAATACTCAGTGATGCTGGGTAGCAGTAAGCTGCAGCCCAACAGCTCTTCCAGGGCCCTGAAGATCCCCGTGGGTGACATCATTGTGCATCCCAAGTACTGGGGCCGGTGGAACTTCATCAGAAGCGATATTGCCCTTGTCCGTCTTAAAACTCCTGTCACCTTCAACAAGTATGTGCAGCCCATCTGTCTCCCAAAGCACAACTTCAGCTTGGAGGTCGGGACGCAGTGCTGGGTGACTGGCTGGGGCAAGACTAAGCAGCACTCCTCGGGTGAGTTAAATGGCTTTGGTCATGTTCCTTTGGGCCTTTATTGTCCCATCCCTCCTTCCCTACCCCCCTTCCTCCCTCCCTCCCGCCTCCCTCTCTCCTTCCCTCCCTCCCTGACCACAACTGAAACAGCTGCCATAGTCTGAGCCCTTCGGCATTGGAAAGCAGGCCCTGCCTAAAAGGGAGTCACCGAGTTGGGGATGGGGATAGATGGTACAGAGGCTGGCAAAGAAAGTGTTGAAGAAGTCAGGTATATTGATGAATGCCACCAGCAGTAGGGAGGTGGAGCCAGGGGGCAATGAGTTCAAAGCCAGACTCAGGTACATGAGACTGTATGAGACTGTTAAAACAAAACAAAACAACCAAACAAGGCAAAGGTCTTGTCAGAGGACATTGAGGTCAGGCTCAGGGAATCTGAGCTGAGCTCTGAGTAGATAGATGAACGGAAATGCAGCAAGAAGCAGCTGTCAGTTGGAACTAAGGGATCAAATGCTGTGGGAAGAAAACTCACAGGGCTGGGCTCCCAAGTTGTAAGTGGCTGTGCTGGGGCTTGGAAGCCCCTGGGTTCAGCAGCAAAAGCTTCCTCGAGAGGGGTCTCCTGAACCAAAGCCTTGCATGGTGAGGGTTCTCTGTGTTAGGTCTATACTGCCAGAAAGACCGCGGGAAGGGAGGCACACAGGTGTGGTGGGGTAGAGCTTGGCTGACTTGCAGGGCTGAGCCAGGGCTGGGTGGAGGGACCGAGGGGTCACAGCTTATCCCTTTGCTCCATGCAGGCAACCTGACACTAACCCCAGAGCTTCAGGAGGCCGAGGTATTCATTATAGACAACAAGAGGTGTGACCATATTTTTCACCATAAGTCCTTCTATCCCCGAGTTATCCACCTTATCCGGAAGAACATGATCTGTGCCGCCAGTTATGGAGAGAACGTGTGCTATGTGAGTTTCTGGGGGCTTCTGGCAACTGTCTCCCTCTGAGGGTAAGTCCTGGGGTGGGGACCAGTCCCGTCTCCTCGTCCCCCAGCTAGTGACCCCTGGAGGAGTGATTCTCTCAAGCAGAACTGAGGGAGCAGGCCTTGGAGGTCCCGTGGTCCCAGCAGAGCTGCTTTGTCTTTGCCTAGGGGGATCCAGGGGGGCCATTGGCTTGTGAAATCGATGGAAGATGGATTCTGGCTGGGGTGTTATCGGGGGAGAAGTCCTGCAACAAACCTCAGAATCCAGGCGTGTACACTCGCCTCACCAAATATACCAGATGGATCCAGGAGCAAACGAGCCATGGGGCAGTGCTAGGGCCCTGCAGGGTCCCCTGCCTCCTGTGCCTGTCCTGGCTGCTGCAGCTCCCAGGGGGCCCATGATGTCTCCATCCCTCCTCTTCCTGCTTTGCCTCTGCTGAATGGCGCTGAGTAGATGATTGAGCGAGGTTGCGTGTCCATGTTCCATGGGAATCAGGGTGGGAATGGACTGGTCTCTGGAGAGCTTGGGTCCTGCAGGGATGGGTGTGGCAGATGACTAGGCCTTGAGTGGCCAGGAGAAGGGGTGTGTGGCTTGGAAGCAACATTCTGGAATTTAAGACCAAGAGCAGAAATTAAATCCGTGTGAGCACGAGCTGGCCCTTTTCTCCCCCTGTGTTCTTTGGGGGTGGGTGACTCTGGGGGTCGGGGTAGATGGTAGGTAGGCCTGCCTAGTTTGGGGGCTCATGGTTTCTGCTGTGTTTCTAGTACTGGGGCACAGGAATAAGGGCCTGGGCTTGTAGCCCCGGTCCCCTCACCCGTATAGGGGTCACAGTGTCCGGGGCAGTTGAAATATCGTATATTAGCCAACAGTAGGGTAACCCACAGCCAGACTCCCCGTCCAGCTAGACAGTCTCCTCCCTCTTTCCTTCTTCCCTCCCTCCCTCCTTCCCTTCCTCCTTTTCTCTTTAAACTGCTTGTACAAAGTGTGATATACTCACTGTAGAGAGTTAGAAAACACATCAAAGCCTAATTGCCCAATCTAAGTGTCCCATTTTTTTTTTTAAGTTTTTGAGACAAGGTTCCCTGTGTAGCTTTGGAGCCTGTCCTGGAACTAGCTCTTGTAGACCAGGCTGGTCTCGAACTCACAGAGATCTGCCTGCCTCTGCTTCCTAAGTGCTGGCATTAAAGGCGTGCGCCACCGGTTCCCGCTACTGCTCCTCTGACATGGCCACTGGCAGTTTGAGCTGCAGCTAATTGGTTTATGTTTGTCAATTGTGTTCTTCAAACCTTGTTAACCCCTCATGTACTTTACACCTGCACAACCTGTGGGCTTCTGAAGGCCTTACCACAAAGTAAGGATTTGTCTGTTTCTTCTTAGAGTTCTGTTTTATGTGGTTTGGAGAATTATATATGACAGCCATACTTTAGGTTTTGAATGAGTGAGTTTATTAAGTATATAACAAGCCAGATTAAAAGAATAAATAATAAGTGATAGGTAGATGGTTAGAAGATGATAAATAGAGAGATGATAGGTAGATAGATGGTAGATACATAGATACATGATAGATGATAGGTACATCCATAGATTGATGATAGGTAGGTAGATAATAATAGATGATAGATACATAGATATGATAGATGATAGAAGATAGATACATGATAGATAGATGCTAGATGATAGAAGATAGGTAGATGATAGATAGATAGGTAGATAGATAGATAGATGATAGGTAGATGATAGATAAGCACTGTTGAATCAGGAATTGGTCTGATGGACTTCCTATAAAAGAGTCCCCTCAGGTGAGGCTTCCAAGAGAACAGATAGCAGCCAATAGTGGCAGCTAACAGCCATCTGTAACTCCTGTTCCCGGGGATCTGATGCCCTCTTTGGATGGATACCAGGAACACAGACATCCATGCAGGCAAAACTACCCATACACACATAACAAGTTTTCATAAAATAGAATTTTATTCATCTTCATTAATTGATTACAAATGTCCTTGGTTTTTATTTTACTGTCTTTATTTTATTGATCAAATGCCCTCTTCCTTCTCAGAAGAAAGTATTTTAAAAGATGGGGCTGGAGAGATGGCTCAGCAGTTGAGAGCACTGGCTGCTGCTACAAGGGACCCAGGCTCATCACAGTCTGTAACTTTGGTTCTGGGGGTTCTGTCTCCTTCTGGCCTCTGTGGGGACAGAATACGTGTGTGTGTGTGTGTGTGTGTGTGTGTGTGTGCCAGAATTTTTCCTGACATGTTTCCTGAATATATGTTTGCCTATTTATGTATAGTTTTCGTGTGTGTGTGTGTGTGTGTGTGTGTGTGTATTCAGGAAAACACATTAAAATAAATCTTTTTAAAATAAAGTATTTTTCACAGAGACAAAGTTTGTCTTTTTTGGAGTTCTCTCTCCACTTTGTGTATCTTTCTGCTGTGTCGAGGGTATCCAGCTATACGAATCACCATTTCCTGCATCCTCTACCATACATCCCTAAGAAAAGGGTTTAACATCACACAGCAGATGCACTCGCATTTCTGATCCTTTCTGTCAAGTGTAGACGTAGAGTGCTCAGTGCTAGGAAGCCATTGGGTCTTTTGTTCTCAGAGACAGCAGCTGGGCAGTTTCCACGGAGGCTTCCTATAGGCCCTGTGAAGTCGTGCCTACCTGCCACCTCTGTACCTGTTTCCAGGAGCAAAGGTTCGGCTTTGGCTTCCATACGTCTGTTTTACCAGATAGTTCTCTATAGCGATCATGCCCGTTCATCTCCCTCAGCAGGGGGTGAAAAACGTGTCACCCTGTGCCTTCAACAGCCCAGGCAGTAGAACACAGCAGAAGTGGGATTCGGTCGTGGACACCAGATGCCTCAAGTGGAGTGGTAGGGAGGGGTCCCTAGACACCTTTATTCTGCTCAAGTGAAGACTTGAGCCTGTAAATGGCTGCTTCTCCGGAAGCCCCACAGCCAGCTCCTTTCCCTACACCCTCCCCAGCCCCTGCTCTGTTTTGAAAGTATAGTCACCGAGAGCAAAAGGAAGTCTCTTGTTACAGCAGTGGTACACTGTGGGAAGATGTCATGTCTCAGTTTCCAGGACTCTAGGGGCTCCTCAGGGGCGGCTGAGGCGAACACCAGGGTAGGGAAGCTTCCCAGGCTAACCACAAGGCACTGTCAGAGACCTCACACCTGGTGCTGTCAGCAGCCAGACAAGGGCCAAGGTCACAGGCTCAGAGCTTGTGTGAGAGCATCATCAAGGCCATCGCTGAGAGCTGGGCTCTGGGGATGGTGTAGTGGACCAGGCATGGTTGCAGGCTCAGTGCCGAGCTCCAGAAACACTGCTCCAGGGAGGTTTCCCATAACCTCTCTTCATGGCTGTGGCAGGCTCTTGAAACTGCATCAGCAGGTGAGCCCCAAACCCTAGGGCAGAGACCTGCTCTCAACACTCCTGAGTAAACAACTGAATTCTAGAATCCTTGCACCATGGAGATGCTCCATCTTGTTCTAAGGAGCAGTAAGGGCTGGATTTCTCCTTGCCATGGCATGTGGATCAGTGGATCCCCAGAACCTTCTCCCACATCCACTTTCTTCTCCCAGACTTAACAATCTGCCCTACGTGGAAGGTAAGGCATGGACAGAAGCAGGGAGGGATCTAACAGCCGGGTGTCTACATGGGCTGCCTCATACCTACAGGGCCCCTCCACCTATCAGTATTGGGATGGGTACGCCCTCAGTAGCTTATTGGGATGGGTGTGGGCTGTGACCTCTCTGGACCCATATGATCCATACAGTGTGGGGCCAACTCCAGTCTTCAGGGTGACCACAAGCAGATGAAGGAACAAAAATGGGAACAGATTAACATCCACGGAATGGATGAGCTTGTCTGGGAGTCTCAGGCGACTGTGCTGTCTGAGTGTCCCCTAGTGAGACAGTTGACACATTGACACCGTGCTGCAGTCTTTGTTTCACACAGGGAACCTGGGTCCAGCTTTAGTGGCTCCTGAGTGGGAGAGCCAGGACTCAAGAACAGTTTCCAATAGATGCTTTGGGAGTGAAAGCGTGTGGGTGGCCGAGGATATCCAGGCTTGTCCTGAGAAAGGCAGTCTTTGTGGCAGGAGCCCTGCCTCGGGTTACCTGCTGGCTGTGAGCTAGCTGGGGTGATAACTGTGAATGGGGAATATATTGCCCATCTTGGGTACTGTCTCCTTCCGACACTGTGTGAATCTCTCACACAGTGGCCAAGCGAGTGAGTGGGCAGTCTTCTACCCTGAACTTCACTGTCCTCCTGTCAAGCCTTAGTGATATTTGGGGAGTGGGTAGGTTATGTGCGGCCTTAGGCACAAGCGTGGGTGCTAACTGCTGTGTCTCTGGAATTGGAGTCAGCTATGACCGTACAGGAATGAGGCCCTCAAAGCCAATACCGTCCCGTCTTTTGGTGGCCACCTATGAAAGCAGGAGAGTATCAGGATCCATTTTGTAGGTGATGGTGCCTAGAAGAACTTCAAGAAAGGGTAGGAAGGTCTGAAGTGGGATCTATTTGAATCCCTGAGCGTCTACTGCAGATGGGAGGGCAACATTGTCCCTGGGACAAGCTTGATCTGCAGCATGCTACACCTACTAATAAACCCAACATTGCTGGAGAGGTGGCTCAGTGGCTGAGAGTGTTCTGTTCTCCCACTGGATGCAACTTTGATTCGCAGCACCCACATCTGAGGCAGCTCTCAATTGCCTACAACTCTAGCTTCAGAGGATTGTATGCCTGCATTCACATGCACATGCTCACACACAGATACACAGTTAAAGTAATAATGAAAATAATAGAAACAAGCCACAATACTCCTTCCTGGGTGCTGGTAGCTGGTGTTAGCATCTCCAGGCTGAACCTCACAAGTCCTGTACAAAGTTTTGAAGAAAGATAATGGTCAGTGCTGTCTTGGACACAAGATCTGGAAAGAGCTGTTCTTTGAGACCCAAGGACCTTACAGAGGGCGGGGGACACTGGGGAAACAGTGTCAACCTTGCCCCCAGAGTTGTCCCTGTGGGCATGGTGAATTGTCGCACTTTGGCTGTCTCTGGGGTTGCAGCTTTATGGAAATGAAACACTACTTAAGCACTCTCCTGACTCCCAACAATGAACAGTGTTGATTGGGACAGAAGCGAAAAGGTCTTAGTTACATTTCTGTTGCTGTGATGAAACACCATGACCAAGGCAAATTATAAAAGGAAGCATTTAAGGGCCAAGTAGTGGTGGCACACACCTTTAATCCCAGCACTTGGGAGGAAGAGGCAGGTGGCTCTCTGTGTGTTTGAGGGCAGCCTGGTCTACAAAGTGAGTTCCAGGACAGCCAGGGCTGTTTCACAGAGAAACCCTGCCTTGAAAAAACAAAAGGAAGCATTTGATTGGGGGCTTGCTTGTGGTTTCAGAGGGTTGGGATGAACAACTTGGGAAGCATGGCCACAGGCAGGCATGGTGCTGGAGAGAAGCTGAGAGCTTATATCTGATCTTTGAATTGCAAGCAGAGACTGCGCCTGGTGTGGGCATTTGAACCCTCTCTTCCTTCAGTAAGGCCATGCCTCCAAATCCTTCTCAAACAGTTACCAACTTCGGAAAAGCATTCAAACTTATGAGGCTGTGGGGGCCATTCTCATTAAAGCCATGACAGTCATCATAAAGAAGAAATAACAGCAGCAACAAAAGTTCTCATGAACTCACCATGGTGTAGGAGAAAGTCCAGAAATGTGGCTCTCTGGGGCAGGGGCAGGGATGAGGGGATAGGAGATAGGCATGGAGAAGGGATGTAGAGGTGAGCTGAGGCGAAGACAGTACAGTGTGGAGGTGGCAATGTGTGTGGGGGCCTAGGGGGGCGGGCAGTGCAGTACTTGTGGATCCCTGCACATGCTCAAAGAGCATGCTGCCCACAGGGGTCAAGCAAGGGAACAGGCCACTTACACCGGATAGCGGCTGGAGCAGGGACACATGGTGTGAATTAACTCAAGCATCATGCATGGTCTGTGCATTAGCTGTGTGTTACAAGAAAATACCTGAGAGCCAGGTGTGGTGGCACACACCTTTAATCCCAGCACTCCGGAGGCAGATCTCTGTGAGTCTGAGGCCAGCCTCGTTTTACAGAATGAGTTCCAGGACAGCCAGGGCTACACAGTGAAAAACCTGTCTCGAAAAACCAACCCCCTCCCTCCCCCCAAAACAACAACAAAAATCACACACTCCAAACATCAACAACAAGAAAATACCCGAGGCAGTCTTCAAATGAAGTAGAAAGGTATATTTAGTTGACAGCTTTCAAAATTCAAAGTCTAAAGATTTGTCACCCACATGGGGTGGAGGTTGGAGATGGGAGAGGTGCCGTCTAATGAAGGTAGCAACTGCCTGTCCTAGGCATGAGTACTTATGTAAAGTCAGGAAGCAGATCATCTGCCATGCCTCCTTCCCCTGGACTGTATCCCCGAAAACTGTGAGCCAAAATAAAGCCTTTGTTCCTTTAAAAAAAAAAAAAAAAAGTCAGGAAGCAGAGAGGCTGGGCAGAGTGCTACAGCCCTTTGAGGGATGTCCCCAGTGATGTAACAACCCCCACCAGACCCCACCTCTGTGTGCATGCTAACCTGTGCCGGCACATGTGCAGGCTGGAGGCTGACATCACAATGTTCTCCATCACTTCCCCACCGTATTTTCTGAGACAAGATCTCAGAATTTGGAACTCCCTGCTTCAGTCAGACTGGCTGCCAAGAGAGCTCCTAAGATCTACCTGGTTCTGCCCTCCAGCACTGGGGTTACAGGCGTCTACTGCCACCATCCGAGTGAGAATCCAAATTTAGGTTCTCACACTTGCCCAAGAAGACCTTACCCAGGGAGCCATCTCCCCACCCCTAAACCCCACCTTTAAAAGATCTATAACACCTCTCTGTATATCACTCCCGGAGGACCAGGTCTTCACATACGGACCCTTGTAGGGGCACTCAGATTCCACCCACATAGTGATTTTAACAAGGTAGGACCTACTTGATGTTTCTGCTAATATACACATTTCATTGTAGATATTACTGTTACCTTTCATCCCCAAACCATCCCCACCATGGTCCCCAGAGCTGCCTTGGCTGTAGCTGTTGAATCCCGACACTGCTCTACACTTCATGGTATACTGCCGAGGGAAGCAGACTCATGGCATGACAGCTTGTGACAGTGGAAAGTTGGTCCAGCTCCACCTGCTCGAGGGCCACAGCAACCACATGTGATTGCTTGTTCAACTGCCAGACCAGCAGAAGACTCCACCAGAAACCCACCCTTCCTTCCTTCCTCCCCTCCCTCCCTCCTTCCCTCCCTCCTTCCCTCCTTCCCTCCTTCCCTCCTTCCCTCCCTCCCTCCTTCCCTCCCTCCCTCCCTCCTTCCTTCCTTCCTTGCTTCCTGACAAGGGTTTCACTCTAAAACTAGGCTGGCCTCTGACTCACAGAGATCCACCGGCCTCTGCCTCCCAAGAGCTAGGATTAAAGGTGGTAATTGCTATGCCCTGTTCATGTTTCTTTAATCTTGTTCTGTAGCCATTATTTAAAGACTGATTCTCCCTTACATCTCTTTTGTAGTATTCAGTTGTTAGTTTTGAAATCCCCATGAAGAGTTATTATTAAACACCAATCCAGGCTGGTCCCATTTAAAAAAAGAAAGAAAGAAAAAGGAAGGAAGGAAGAAAGAAAGAAAGGAAGGAAGGAAGGAAGGAAGGAAGGAAGGAAGGAAAGACACACTCTGACTGGGCATGATGGCACACATCTGTAATTCCAGCACTTGGGAGGTCTAGACAGGAAGATCAGGATTTCACTATTATCCTTGGTTACTTGGGTTGATTTAGCCTGGGCTGCACAAGACCCTGTCTTAACAAAACAAAACTGGAACTGGAATAGTTTAGCATTTAAGAATTTAAGAGTGCTGACTGTTCTTCCAGAGGACAGGGGTTTGGTTGGCAGACATACATACAAGCAAAACATCCATACACATAAAAATAAAATAATAAGCAAAACAAGAACAAAAGTAAAACCTTAATCCCAGGTCCAGTCCATGCAAGCTCCCATCCTGGCTTGAGGTCAGCAAGAGGCAGGAGAACCCTCTGTATCCAGGGTATGAGCCATGGCTATAGTTGGACAGAAAACATCACTGTCCATATATTTTAGATGCCATCAACAGGAATCTTAACACGATTAGGTCCCATCACTTGCCCTTGGGTGATCATCTCACCCCTCTCCAGTGGTTCTCTCCTCTTCCTCCCCAAGTCATGTGGGTGAACTATGGGCAGGGATGAGTCATGGGGTGATAGCTCAAAGCAAGTATCATTGTTTGGGGACTTTCTTCTTCCTCTTCCTCTTCCTCCTCCCTTCCTCTTCCCCTCCTCCTCCTCTTTCTTCTTTTGGTTTTTCAAGACAGAGTTTCTCTGCGAAACAGCCCTAGCTATCCTGGAATTAGCTCCGTAGACCAAGCTGGTCTTGAACTCACAAAGATCCACCTGCCTCTGCCTCCCAAGGGCTGGGGGTAAAGGCGTGCTCCACTGCCACCCAGCTGGGGGCTTTCTTTATATGGGGATCATCTGATGCCTCTGGGTTTGTGGTCGTTTCAGAGGTAGTAGCTTCAATCCCTTATTGTGCAGATGGGACATGGCTGAGAGACGTTTTGACAGTCTGCCCTGGCCTATAGGTATACCCTTTGCATCCCTCTTTCCATCTCTTTCCTCAGGGCCCTGGTTCTGGTCATGTGGTCAGACCAACATATCCTGCAAGGTGGTAAATGGAAAAGTGGTGGAGGTAGGCAAGTGGCCATGGCAGGTGAGTATTCTTTTTCTGGGAATATATGTCTGCAGTGGATCCCTCATCCATCACCACTGGATCCTCACAGCTGCACACTGCTTACAAAGGTCAGCCTGTGTGGGCATCTTGGTCTTTGCTTTCAGACCTGGGGGGTGGGGTGGGTGGTGAACCTGGGGATTTGTGAGTAGAGGATCTTACTCTAGGTAGGCTAGTGCTCAGAACCCTATCTCTCTAGCCATTCATGGCCTTACTGCTGGTGATCTGCTTTTCTATGCCTGCAGATCCAAGAACCCAGCCAACTACACCGTGAAGGTGGGTGTCCAGAACCTCCCGGACAACAGCTCAGAGCACCTCCTCACTAGCATTGTGATTCACGAGAAGTTCAACAATCACATATCTTACGACATCGCCATCCTGAAGCTCAAGCATCCTGTCTCCTGGTCCCCCCTTATCCAGCCAATCTGTCTCCCCACCATCAATTTCAAGCCAAGCATTGGCACCATGTGTTGGGTCATTGGGTGGGGACAAGAAAAGACTAAAGGTGAGTACAGCAGAGCAGAGGTCTCAAGACACCTGACTCTGCAGAACACGTCATGGGGCCACTCACTCACTCACCCCTTTATCTACTCTCATTTGCTAGCATTTCTGAGCACATTCATACGCCCAAAGGCACACACAGTATTTGAGTAGAGAGGCAAGAGGCCTGAGAGGGCCTCGGTTTCCAAAGTTAAAATTACTTATTGTTTTTGTTTGCTTATGTACGGTATGTGTGGGAGTGCATGCCACGTTGTATCCTTGAAGGTCAGAGAGCAATCTTCAAGGAATTGGACCTTTCTCTATTATATGGACCCTGGGGAATCAAGCTTAGGCCAGCAGGGTTGACATACTTGCTAATGCGTCTCAGCAACTCCTAACATTAAGTTAGATACTACACCAAGTCTTTGGCTATTCCTAGGGGATCTGTGGGCAGGTACGTTGAGGATTTTGATTGGCCTCATTATGTTCTGAAGCACTGAGGTGGCCCCTCTAGTCAATATTCACCCATAATGCTCAGAGGGCCAGCTCTGTTGGTGTCATCTAGAGCCCTACCAACCTTTCAGTAGGCAGCAGGTGCCGCTTTTAGCCTCTAGGGTCTGGCCGCCTTTCCCAGGGGCAGCGCTCCCACACTTACTCTTACAGAACCTGAATGGTTCTCACTCATTCTTGGCTTTCACTCCACACCTCTGGGAGACTCGCTTAACTATTTTTGTTGTATGGTTTTCTTGAGGCAGGGTCTCTAGACTACATAGCCCTAGTTGTCCTGGAACTCTGTAGACCAGGCTGGCCTTGAACTCAGAGATCCACCTACCTTCACATTCCAAGTGCTGGGATTAAAGGTTCTTGGCTTAACTTTCTTCATGAGTGGGGGCATTTTTGGAAAGCGAGCTGCAACTTTTATGAATGAGTATCTCTGGACATGCGCAAATGTGAATGACTCTGAGTTGGAACTGGTTCCGAAGTTGAGGTCATGACTAGATCTTCATCTCTGTAGGGGCCCCGAAGACTCCCTACAGTCTCCAGGGTTTGGCTGTTAGGATTGTGAACAATGAAATCTGCAACCATCGGTACCAGTTCCTCCTGCTGAAGAACCAAAAGAAGTTCATTGGGAATGACATGCTGTGCACAAGCTCAGAATGGGGCCTGGACACCTGTCAGGTATGGAATAACATGCAGACAGTATGGGGCTCATGCTTTCCTTTACATGTGGCCACCAGAGACCTAGCACAAAAGTCTGAGTTTCCTTTTTCTACTATGGAAAACAAAAAAAATAAAGTTGTATTAGTTATCTATGACTGTGATAGAACACTGTGATTGGGGCAACTTATAGAAGAAAGGGTTTATTTGGGCTTATGGTTCTAGGGGGATGGTAGTTCACTCTCACTGTGGGGGGGTGGGAGGTGGCAGTCAGCAGGCAGGCCTGTCTCTGAAGCAGCGGGGGTGGGAGGGGGGCATTCACATCTGGAATCACAGACAGGAAGCAGAGAACACACTGGTAGGAGGTTCCAAAAAGGCCATAGCTCCTAGTCCTTCCAAAAGAAGTATTCAAACATGAGCGTACAGGGGCCATTTCCATTCACAATGACAGGGGTGACATGACTTTTGTCCTTGTTATAGACAGTTCTTAGTGTTTATTTTTTATTTTTACTTTTGAGAGAGGAACTCACTAAGTAGCCTTGGCTGACCTGGAACTCGCCATTTAGATCAGACTTGCCTTACACTCACAGAGCTCTGTCTGCCTCTTTTGCTGGAGTGGTGAGATTAAAGTCTTACACTACCATGCCCAATTCTACAAGCCATTTTAATGCTCCAGAGTATTAGCCACATTCCTGCAGATCTGTGTCAGGCACCGGCAGGCCGTTTGAGGAAATGGGGTCATTTGTAAGCTTCTTCTAGTTTTTGAGATGCATACTTCATTTTTTAATTTAAAATATTTTATTTATATTATGTTTATAGGTGTTTTGACCACACATATGTCTATATACTGTGCACATCTGGTTCTTATAGGCCAGAGAGGGCATGAAATCCTCTGAAAGTGGTACTACATACAAATGGTTGTGACCTCCAGGTGGGCGCTGGGAACTGAACCTGTGTCCTCTGCAAGAGCAACAAATGCTCTTAACTGCAGAGCCATCTCCCCAAAGCCTAGAACATGTTTTAATTTTTCTCTTAAAGTCCTGACTCTCCTGAATTTAAAAGACCAAACTCCTCTGGGAGACAACAGTGTTCTTTATAAGAAAGCATATCCGTTTACAGGGGAAAAAAAAAAAAAGAGAGAGAGAGAGAGAGATAAATATCTCTTGGACCAAAGGCTTATATGCCAAAAAGTATATAAGTTAAAAAGTAGTTTTAATACTTAACAGGATGTCTGTGAAAAGAAATGAATACATTGCTGCTGCATCAAAGGACTATGGGAAGTCTACCCACAAGTCTAAGTGCGGTGTCAGTGTAGACTCTGACTTTAACCTAGCTGCTTTTGTACCTGCTAACGTTATCTAGAACATTCTAGAAAAACAGCTAGTTGGGTTTAGTTTATTTACATCCAACAAACACTTCTGGGCTCTAGGTTGAAGTCAGGTCCAGGAAAAGTTCTGGTGTCTGGGAACAAGCAGTTGTCAAGTAGAATAAACCACAGAGCCTTTTTTTTTTTTTTTTTTTTTTTTTTTTGGTCTTACCCCAGTGAAGCCAGGCTCCAGTTTAAGAAGTTTAGAGATGGCTCAATAGTTATGAGCACTTGTGTTTGCAGAGAACCCCAATTCATTCCCAGAACCCACATGGTGGCTGGTAACCATCCATAACTCCAGTTCTAGGGGATCTGGCACCTACTTCTGACCTCTGAGGACACCAGGCACATATGCAATGCACAGATACACATGCAAGCAAAATATGCACATAAAATAAGCAAATCCTTTTTTTTTTTTTTTTTTTTGAGACAGGTTTTCTCTGTATTGCTTTGAAGCCTGTCCTGTAACTAGATCTATAGACCAGGCTGGCCTCAAATCACAAAGATCTGCCTGCCTCTGCCTCTAGAGTGCTGGCTGGGATCAAAGGCGTGCACCACCAACGCCAGGTGCAAATCTTTTTTAAAGGTATTTAGAATAAGTCACTCTCTTTGTTAAGTTCTGGCATGAGAACTATGGGAAATAATTTGTTCACATTTTGGAACATTTGAAATATCAGAAATTATGTCATTTTTAAAGGTTGGATTGAAGTTGCCAGGAGGACATGGACAGAAATGTTTTTTGTTGAGGGATTGTTCTTAGACATTATTTTAAGTTGTTTTACACATGGTTATTGGGTTAGTAGATTTCTTATCACTCTTCAGCCTTAAATTTTTTAGTTACATTTACTTGTTTGTGTGTGTGTGGCAGAGTGTATGAGTATTATGGTGCACAGAGAGTAACTTCTGGGGGCTGGTTCTCTCCTTCCACAGTGTGGGTCGCAGGGACTGAACTCAGGTCATCATACTTGTGTGATTTCACCCCACTGGCCCTCTGTCCCTTTTTAAAATCAGTCTGAATCAATTGCATTTTCTTAGAAGTTATTCACCTCAACCAGATTTAAATCCACAAAATAGAAGTTATAAACAGTCTGGCGGTTCTGGGAGAGAGCATTTTCTGGGTATAGACTGTCTTCTCTATTCTTATTCAAGCCACAGGGTAATCCTTTGTCGTCCCCACCCTGCCAGCTTCATTTCCCAAGTTAACGATTCCTTTGCTTTCTAAGACATGAATTATCTTTACTAATTCCTTTTCAAGGGTTTTGAGCCTGATGTTCATGGACAGATGATTGTTGATGTTAATGACTAATTTATTTTCCTTCTTTTGTTTGATGATGAAACTCCTTGCAGTCCCTAACTAAAATTTGCAACATTTAAGCCACATCTATGGGCTTTGCAATATGCGGCACTCTATGCTTCTATATCTAATTATAGGATTAATTTCTATTTCCATGGTAACATTTTTGAAGGTTAGCTTTCATTTTTCTATTGAAATGTATATGTTTTCACACTAAAAGAAAGTGTCCACACGCAGTAGATCTCTGTCTGCCTATCCTCTAGTGTCTCTTTCCACATGCTTTCTTCCTCTAGACCTCTAGCAAGGACTCCCACACTACAATTGCCGGCCTCTCTGTGGCCTGGTTTTCTCCTTTGTTTTCCTGTTATAGTCACCTGTCTACTCCCTTCAGCTTAATGTATGTCCTTAAAGATGTTTGTGTCTTCAGAGAATACTTAGTGCTCTTATATAACAATATTTATATAATGATATTGTCCTACATATCCAGATAATCTGGCATTCTTCCCGACACATGGTGGTTTATGTCTGTTTTTTTGAGACGGAATCCATGTGGTCAGACTAGCCTTGAACTCTGTGTTTTTGAGGATGATGTTGAACTTCTGATCTTCCTGTCTCTATCTGAGAACTGGGATTATAAGGATTATGGAGATTATAAGGATGCCACCAAGTTCATGAGATTCCAAGGAGCTACATACATACCTATCCCCAAATGTTCCATCTTAATTTATCATCTATTTTCAACAGTAATTGGTGTTTTTTACTTCCAGGATAGTCTCTATTTAGATGTAATTAGGCTGAACATATTTCTCTTTAGGATTATAGATTTTGAAGATACTTTTTGGAAAATATTTTATTTTTGTTTTTGGTGTGTGTGTGTGTTGTGTATGTGTGGATTTGTCTATATGACTGTAGGTTCCCATGGAAGCCAGGGGTATCAATCCCTGGGAACTAGAGTTACAGGTAGTTGTGTGCCGCCCAGTGTGAGAAAACTTGGATCCTCTGGAAGAGCGGTACATGCCTATTACCTAGGATCCATCTCTCTAGCCTATTAAAACCTCTTTTTGAAATGTATTTCATCTCAAGACATAAATATATATGTATGTTTTTAATTAGTTCTTATCTTTTTCACTTTTCATGTTTAGAGTTTTGCTCTGGAGTTTGGGCTGGGATCCAGTTTCATTGTTCTCTATCCTAAGAACCGATTTCTTTACCCTCAGTAACATGTACCAAGTCCCCTCCCGCGCATCCCTCAGGCTATGGGCTCCCAATTGTCCTGTTGGCTGCCTTTCGTATCTCTAGAGCTGTGCATATCCTGTTTCTATCATGGTAAGCTTGGGAATAAATCTGTCTGCTTGGTCAAATCTGCCCCCCACACGGAAGCTTCCGATTTTCTCTTCCTTCTCCAAAAAGTCCATGAATGGACTCTCATTCATCAGGGTTAATTCAGAATCAGATTTCCAAGGAACTAAAAAAAGGCTGGCTTTCCTTTCAACTGACTGATTTCTAAAAGTAATTTAATAATTGTCATGGTTCTAATCTTGTTTGTGCTTAACTCTATACTGAATAGAGACACAATGTTTTTTTAACTGTGTCCTCTCCCGCTGCAGGACACCTCTGGCAGCTCCCTGGTTTGCCAGATGAACAAGACCTGGATCCAGATGGGGGTGGTGAGCTGGAATTTTGGCTGTGGTCGCCGCCGGTTCCCAAGCATCTACACCAGCACCTCCCACTTCACCCAGTGGGTCAAGAGGCAGATCAGTGACATGAGGTTTGCCAGTATGGCTGTCCCTTCCTTCCTAAGCCCGTTCATCCTCACTAGCTACATTTTGCTGGTTTCCCTGGGTTCCCTGTGGCTCTTGTGAACCGTGTTTCTACAACAGTCGTTCCCAGAGGCAACTTCTCCCTCCTCTCTGCTCAGAAGAGGACACCGGAGGCTGAACAGAGCTTCAGGACAGAGGGACTTTGGGAGAAGGGTCCTAGGCTCACTGTGGGCGTTGCCCCCCAGTTGTTCAATGAAGCTGCTCTGAACCTTTTGAGCCATCTGAAGTTATCACATTCTTGACTTTGACCAAAGCCCTTTAGAACATTCCCATCATAAAACCTGGCTGTTTCTCAAGCTGAGCCTTCTCTGATGATCTTACTCCATGTCTGTCATAGTGTGCTGTGCGCTCTTGGGAGGTTGTTCCCTTGTTCCCCTTGTAGTTCCCTTAAAAAAAAAAATTACTCTGATGTATATGTCCATGAGTGTAGGTGCCTGTGGAGGTGAGTGTCCAATTCCCCTAGAGCTGGAGTTACAAGTGGTTGTGGGCCACCCCATGTGGCTATAGGGACCCAAACCCAGGCCCTCTGCAAGTACTCACTCTTAACCAGTCCATCTGTCCAGTCTGCTGTTTCCTCTCTTGCTGGCTGGGACATGAAGTCGCTGCTCTGTGAACCCAGCAGTTCAGAGGCTCTCAATTCCCAAGGTCCCTTCCCTGTGTGTCTGAGACCGTCTTTCCACAGAGCTTCCTGCACGCGCTAACTTCTTTCTAGGAGACTTCCCAGGGCCAGATCACAGGCTTTTCTCTACTAGCTGTATGATATATAAATTCTGTGACCTTCCCGGCCAACCTTCCCCTGAGTGGCTCCAGATCCCAGCTGGTTCCTCCTCTCTCTTTCTGGCAGGGTGGGTGATGTGGGCACCTGAATGAGATGTGGGAATTGACTGTCTCCTGGGCTCCTGGGCTGTGTCACTCACCTCCATCAGTGAGCTCAGGCCTGCCAGCTCGGAGCAGTGGTTTCCCTGCCCCCATTGGGAGGAAAAAAAAAAAATACAGAAGCACTGTTCCCCCACCCCCCACATTGGAGCACTAAATTACCTGCTCACATGTTTCTCCCAAGAGCGTAGGCTTTGACAAAACGGAGAACATTCCGGCTTGATCCCACTGTCCGTTTGTCTGTTCAGTTGAAAATTTCCAATATCCGTGCAGCAAAGCTTCCATAGTATTCCATACTCCTTTTCAAATGTATTAACTATGTTGCTGAGCCATCAACATGCTCCTCAAATGTTCCAACAGTGACCTTCTGCTCTCACTGTTGACCGATAGATACCATCACTTCTCAGCACTGGGATCTAGAAAGCACACGGCTTCAAGGGGTGCGGTCCTCAAAACCTATCTCCCCAGTGCTTGGGAGGCCAAGGCAATGTTGTGTCAGTTTGAGGCCATCCTGGGCTACACAGTGAGACCCTAATGAACACATTAATTTTCTTCATCTCAGTCAGTGCCCTAAGACAATGGCCTGCGCTTCAGCATGCAAAGGATGGAGTAGGGGCATTGGCAGGCTGGGATTGGCCTTCCTGTCGCTGCTGGTGGTGGGAAAAGCGTGGAAGCTTAGGAATTAGCTGAGGTGAAGCAAAGTGGCCCAGAGAAAGGGCCCACGAGTTTGATGAAAGACACCAGCCACGAGCCAGGCACTATTTGCCCGCCATTCGGCCAGAGCGCCCCAACGAGTGGCACCCAGGGGGCGCCACGCAGGCTGGGCAGCCAAGCGCCCGATGGAGGGCGCCATTGTGGAAGAACCTAGCGGTGCTATGGAGCCCTGGTGCAGGGCAGGGGTCGGTGGGCAGGGCCCTCTGGGTCCCCGTGTGCCCGGAGCCTCTCGCAGCCGCACCGGTGCCCGCGCCCTTCTGCTGCTGCTGCTGCTGCTCCTGCTCCTGCCTCGGTGGCCCGCAGGTGAGCCCACCCGCTCCCCGGCGCCCTCCCCTACACGCCCACACCCTGGCCGCCTCTGACCGGCTCGTGACCTTCCGCAGGCTGCTCGGCTGCAGGCGAATCTCCCGGGGCGCTGTCCACCACGGTCCCGAACGACCCTGGAGTCTCCTGTGGCCCCAGAGCCACCTGTCCCTCAGGCAGGCTTCGCCTTCCCCGGCAGGCCAGCGCTGCAGCGACCACCGCTCCGCCGACAGCGGCACTGTCGACCTCGGGGGTCGCTCCGATGAAGACTACCGGGTCCGTTCACTGGACGAAACCCAGCTACTTCCGCTGTGAGTACTGGGCAGGAGAGGTCAGAGAGCTCTTACGAAGGTTGGATCCTTGAGGTCGAAGGGTGAAGGGATCAAGGACCCAGGGGAGAATAGATGGAAAAGTCCCTGTACCAGTGTTTATTGAGCGCCGAAGGTTGGGCCAGGCCTTGGTCCTGCCTTCCGGGCTTACGAGCTTTCCATAGTGGTGAGGTAAATAGGGGACAAGGAAAGTTAAAATCCGTGGGGAGAGTGGTGAGTTGGGGGGGGGGCAGAGTTGGGGTACCCAGAGCCCACAACACAACTCCAAGAGGGCTGTGGGAGACTTCTTGGGCGGTCTGCAAGGCACACCGGGTCTTTCAGTGCTTTGCTGTTGGTGTGAATAAGCAACCTGGCGACAGGCAGGGACTTGGTTTTTGCTTACGCTTCCAGGTTCCACAGTCTGTCACCGAGGAAAGCCAGGGTGAGAACCTGTAGCGGAAACTGTGGAGAAAGGGCTGCTTGCTGGATAGCTTGCTCTTATAGGATCATGCTGAGCTAGCTTTTTTATAGAACCCGGGACCACCTGCCTCGGGATGGTGCCTCTCACATAGGGTTGTGCTATTCAACATCAGTTAATAATCCATAGACAGTCACCCACTCTGAATTTCTCACAGGCTGATCTGATTAGCCTTTTCATTCAGATGACTCTGGGCAGGGTCAGGTTGGCAATGAAACTTAACCAGTGCACTTTCACGTGGGCAGGGATCTGTAGCTGAGACCCACGTGAGAAGTAGTTATTATCCTGGGAGTCAATGTAGTCACCTTAACTGCCTCAAAAAGTCTAGCTGGGGACAGCTAGCAACTGTGCGTGGCACATGCTGTTAGCTGAGTGTCGTTTAAGATGCTGTGATGGGTTAGGGAGATGACTCAGTGGGTAAGAGCTCTTACCACGTGAGCAAACATGAAAACCGGAATTAAAGCCCCAGAACCTAGCCGATCTTCGGTGGCACATGCCTTTAATCCCAGCACTTGAAAGGCAGAGGCAGGAGGATCTCTGTTCCTCCTGTGAGTTCGAGACCAGCCTGGTGTACAGAGCGAGTTCCAGGACAACCTCCAAAGCAATACAGAGAAACCCTGTCTCGAAAAAACAAAACAAAACCCAGAACCTATGTAAAAGTGGGTATGGTCTCATGCTCCAGTAACAGAGCACCTTGGGGGTTAGAGGGTTAGAGGTGGGGAGCCGAAACAGGAGATTGCTGGGACCCCAGTCCCTGGCTGAGGAGGCTGCCAAACTAGCGTGGGGTTCAGTGAGAGGCCCTGTATCAGGAGAATGGAATGATGCGGATGCTCACAATCCTCTGGCCTCCACAAGCCACAAGTGTATGAATGATGCAGACAAAGAAGAACACATGGGTAACACTTACCAGGCCCTGAATCACACTCCCAGCACTACACGTGGATAAATAAATATGTAAACAAATATATAAATTTGCTAGCCACGACCCATTTACTCGATTTCATAATCCACTGACTTGTTTAGAAAATACTTGAAGCTAGATATGGCACCTTCAATTTCCTTTATTTTATTTTTATGCATATAGTGTTTTGGACACTGTTTATGTGCCTGATGCCTCTGGAGGCCAGAGGAGAACACCAGATGGTTGTGAGCCACCATGTGCGTGCTAGGAGCCCAACCCTATCTGGAAGAACAGTCAGTGCTTTTGTTTTGTTTTGTTTTGTTTTTAGAAACAGGGTTTCTCTGTGTAGCCCTGGTTGTCCTGGAACTCACTCTGTAGATCAGGCTGGCCTTGAACTCACAGAGATCCTCTGCCTCCCGAGTGCTGGGATTTGAGGCATGTGCCACCACCACCCAATGTAGCTAGTGCTCTTAACAGCTGAACTATCTCTTTAAATCCCGTCTTCAACTTCAAAACTTTTCCTAAGTGCCCTCAGCAGTTGGCATGCTCCTCTTCAGGAGGGTGCATCGTGGCCTAGAATTCTCAGCAGCATTTGGCATTACAGACAGTTAGCTTCTGTTAGATGGTTGTATGATATAGCTTAGGGCTGGATCCCCTGAGTCCCAAGGAGGCCAAGCAAGCTTCTATGACTTTTGCCACTTAGCTATCCTCTTTGGGATGTGCCTGCCCCTCATAGAGTCTGTTGGGTCATCTATGTTTATCTCCATGAATCACAAGTGGGATTCCCAGAATAGGAGCAGGGTCCACATTGGCTCAAGTGGGGGGGGGGGCAATCTCCAACCAGATAGGAATTCAGGTGCATTTGTGAACATCTGGCTGGTTATCGGGGTACTCTGGGACCCAAGCTTTAGGGACAAGGAAATAGGTTTCGGGATATAGTGTGAGGCCTTTCTAAAGCTGGAGGTATCTATGGATGGCTGCTATCATCCCACAGTGGCAAGTAGAAAAGGGTGGGTAGGTACAGGTGAGTAGCTGGAGAGGCTGGACGGAGCAGGAAGTGATGTGGGGACAGAGTCACAAGATGTGGCCGGGTGAGCTTATTGCTTCATCAAGCTCTTTTCTTCCTCTAGTCTGTGGCACCTCCCATGAGCCAGACCCTACTCTCAGGGACCCAGAAGCCATGACTCGGCGGTGGCCGTGGATGGTCAGTGTGCAGGCTAACGGCATACACATCTGTGCTGGTGCCCTTATTGCTTCCCAGTGGGTGCTGACCGTGGCCCATTGCTTGACCCAGTGAGTTGGGGCCCGGGTGGTGGGTGGAAAGGCCTCTGGAATTCTGGAGACGTGGCCACTCTTCCAGGCGACCCATCAAGTAGCAATTGCATCCTGGGTGGAGCCCACAATACTAGTCCCAGCCTTACTCCTGCTCTGAGTTGACTCTCTCGGGTCCCTACCCGGGGGTCAGCTTTCGGCATGTACCCGCCCTTTGCCCTTTTACCCACCCTTCAGCCCTGTGCACTCATCCAATAGACCCTAGATCTTCCATTCCTCCCTCTTTGCCCCCAGTCACTTCCTCTTCCCTTCTGTCAATCAGTAGTTTCTAGCTCGCCTCTAAGGGAGGCCCTGACTTAGAACCTGTCAAGGTGGTTAGAGACAAAAGGGTGGGTGTGCCATTGCCCTGGGGCCCGAGAACTCCCGAGGGCAGTGTCTGCTTCCCTTGAGGACCAACCGTGAAGACCTGTCCTAGGCTGATATATGGATTAACATAGTGACTTTAAGAGGTGTCCCATGGGGGGAAAAAAAAAAAGAGGTGTCCCATGAAAGATGACTTGCCATCTAGGCCCTGGCCATTGCACAGGGACTGTTAATTCTACGGTGCAACATAGGATAAAAACCCAGAGTTTAGCTAGTGGAAATGGGGTCCACATCCCGGTTCTGCCACTTCCTAAGTGTCCATCCCTGAGCAGGCTACCACACTTCTTTTAACGTCTGTTTCTCTCCTTCACAAAATGAAGATGATCACACACTCTGGGCAGGGCTCGGCCATGAGGAATAAATAGGCTCAGGGGGCCTTGAAGCCCAGGGGGAACTGCTTGGATTTGCTTAGAGGGCCACTGTGGTATGGAGGGCAGGGTTGGGGTGTGAGGTAGGAGCCTAGAGCTGATGAAAGACGCCCCCTCTCTGTCCCCATAGGGATGGTGTTAACTACACAGTGAGGGTGGGGAGTCCATGGATTAACCAGACGACGACAACCAGCACAGATGTACCAGTATATCAGATCATCATACACAGTGGCTACCAAGCCAGGCGGTACTGGTCTTGGGTAGGCCGGGGCAGTGACATTGGTCTCCTCAAACTCCAGTGGGGGCTCAAGTACAGCAAATATGTGTGGCCTATCTGCTTGCCTGGCCTGGAATATGTGGTGGAGGACAACTCTCTCTGCACCGTGACAGGTTGGGGACATCCCAAGGTTAATGGTGAGTCAGTGTCTAACCCCCCCACACACACACACAGCCTGGGGTGCATGGTGGGAGAAAGGACTTGGGTTGGCTGAGGTGCCTCATGGATGGACATTTCTAGAGTACCTTCTTTGAGGAGCTGATTTATCAGGAACTTGTCGGATTTCTCATCTCTAAAGTCTCCTCCCCTTGAGGGTCTTGTCAGTGAACACGTCACAGTCATTATTGCCCTTGAAGTCTCAGAACCAAGCCAGTATATGTGAACAGAACTTTCTTGAAAGCTTGCCACCCATACACAACCCTAGGACATTGGCAAGTAGAGTCAAGGAAATGGGTTCTCGTGTCTACACAATGCTTCCTGGAATAGATACAGCTTGTGTCTGGAAGTTGAGTCATACAAGGTCCACTCACTTCCTTTCCCTTCAGTTGTTCTCAATCCCTTGTCATCCCAGTATGGGGACAAGGTCCTCAAGACAGGTATGTCCTCCCATGCCCATTTCTGGTGGGTTCTGGGAATATCTACTCCCTTTATGGAGCCACGGATGCACAAAAGAGATGCCCTTCTCTGTGTCCTTGAGGATCCGATTTGCCCTCTAAACAGCCTGTTCTGTGAAGTTTCCTGTCTCCCAGGAGCTCAGACACATTTTGGGTGGGATGGAAGACAGGGCTGGGGTGGGGGTTGGGGGGATCTCCGTGGAGAGAGTCTGGAAAAGGTTAGAGGGGAGACTCTAGGGGTGGTTTTGAAAAGTAAGGCTTTGGCCCTGAGGGCATGGCAGGCACTTGGAAGAGGACTAGCAGAGCCAATGGGTGTGGACTATCTATTTTAGCACCTCTGTACAGGGGCAACCTTGGGACCTGCTGGCCGGAGGGAAAAATACCTCAGACATGGAGACATCTCTGTGGCCACTATGCAAAAGAGACAGAGCTGGTGGCTGTGGGCCACAGCCAGTGGCTAAACCTGAATGGGGGACCTGTCCCACAGACAGGTGGCCCCAGTTCCAATCCCTTCAGGAGAAGGACGTCACCATCATGAACAGCAGGAAATGTGAGCAATTCTACCACAAGTTCTCCAGAATCCCCTCTCTGGTTCGAATCATCAACTCTCAGATGATCTGTGCCTCGGACGAAAACAGGGAAAACTTCTGCTACGTGAGGACCTCTGCCCCTGTTCATGTATCCTGAGGGCCAAGGGGTGGAGAGGTGCAGGAGGCAGAGCTGAGGCTGTGGAGAGGGGAATGGGAAGGGTGGGAAATACAAGCAGGGGGGGGTGGGGGTGGGGGGAGGATGGAGGAGGGCGGTGAGGGCAGGGGTGGACTGGGTGGGGTGGAAATGGGAGTGGTGGGGGCAGGGTGTGAAGCTAAGGAGTACTGAGTGTCCCTTTGAAGAGGAGATGATGGGTCAGGAGTCCCTACCCGCTGTGTTCAAACCTGAAGGAAATGCAAAGAATCTGGTGGCAAACGCCCTGGGCGAGTGGAGTTGTCTCAGGCATGACTTCACCTCCCTGACCCTTTTAACTTCCTCTCTCCATTCAGGAGCTAACTGGTGAGCCCTTGGTCTGCTCTGCGGATGGCACGTGGTACCTGGTGGGAATGATGAGCTGGGGCCCAGGCTGCATGAAGAGCAAGGCCCCACCCATCTTTGTGCAGATCTCCACCTTCCAGCCGTGGATCTGGGACCACCTTAGTGGGAAGGCCGTGGCCCTTGCAGCCCCTTCCAGGACCTTGCTCCTGGCTTTCCTTCTGCTCCTCAGCCTTCTTGGCACTCTGTGACCCTGCCAGGTCTCCTTCCCTTCCTACGGAGTGCCGCTGTGGGTGTGGCAATCAGCAGGGACTAGCAGAGATTAAACACTTCTTTTTCCCATGTCTCCTCTTTCTGAGCTGGCTGGGGGGAACTCTGGGCTCTGATACTGAAGAGTGTAGGCCTCTAAAAGATTTGAGGCAGCTCCTGCAGAAAGTACAGGGGTGTGCGAAGGGGCACTGGGAGGATTAGGGTGTATTACCTAGGCTAAAGCTGGGGCTGCTAGGACATCCCTTCCGGCCCCCTAGATGGAGAGTGGCACGTTCCTTCTGTGAGACTTGAGTGGGAATCGGGCTCTGCCTGATCTTTTTTGTTTCTTTGCTTGTTTGCTTTTTCCAGGGGGTTCCTCTGTGTAGCCTTGGCTGTCTTGGAACTCCATCTGTAGATGGGGCTAGCCTCTGCTTCCAGGTTGCTGGGATTAAAGGTGTGAACCTACTCTCCCCCCCCCCCGCCGGGCTCTCTCCCTGCTCTTGGCTGCCTTCTGGCTAGTGGCTGGAACTCTCCAGAATATTGTCACCAAAGATCCATGGAGTACTTATACCCTCTAGCTTTGCTTCTGGCCTGGGGGCCTAGTAGAACAGACACATTTGCCACAGGCTGCACCAGCTGCTGCTCTGAGTGACCTTGTATGGCCTCCAATCCTCTGGATGTCCACTGCCTTGCCACACAGAGGGCTTGTGGTCTGTCTGGGGTGAAGGACCCCAGCCAGCTCTCTGAATGAGAAGTGGGAAGGTAGAGGTCAGCCAGCTGCACCCAGGTAATCAGAGCACTCATTGAGTTCTATGATGGGGGCCTCCTGAGCTCCTTCCTCCTCATCCTGCATCCTTCCTCCTCATCCTGGCATGCTTCTCCTTGTAGGATGCTGATGTGGGACCATGTCAGGAGGGTTCCTGTGAGTCCCAGTGCCAGAGACCTGTTAAGAGCATAGGTAGAGTGGAGGAGAGCTCAGAGAGCTTCCTCAGTCTCCCTCCCCATCCCAAGGCCACTTGGTGTGTGTGGGGTGGGGTGGGGTGTGGCTGCAACTGCTCCTCAGTCTCTAGGCTTTTTTAAAAACTTTTATTTTATGTGCATTGGTGTTTTGCCTCACATGTCTGTGTGAGGGTGTTGGATCTCCTGGAACTGGAGTTACAGATGGTTGTGAGCTGCCGTGTGGGTGCTCTGGAATTGAACCTGGGTGCTCTGGAAGAACAGTCAGTGCTCTTAACTGCTGAGCCATCTCTCCAGCTCCCCACCCCCACCCCCTACCCCCATTTTTGGGGGGTCTCAGTCTGGCACAGGGGTCAGGGAGAGAACTTCAGACTTGTATGAGGCACCTATTATTAAGAATGGCTGTGTCACCTTCTACAGGAATCCTCCAGGGCTTGGCAAAGCATAGGACAGGGGTAGAGTTCATCTCAGGATGGAGTTTTATGTGTCTGGGGCTGAGCAGGCACCCAGTTTTATTGACAGATCTCTCCGGGACACCTTTCTAGCAGGCTTCCCAGCTCTAGTCAGAGCTCCTCATTTTGGTTTGGAAGCGCCTCTTCTCTAGAGTCGGCCCCTCAATGATGTTTGAATGGTCTTCTTGGCAGCAGAGATGATGCTTCCAGTAGGGGGCATGGCAGAAGAGGATCTGCACACCGTGGTGTTCAGCAGGCAGATGGGGACACCTAGGCTTTCTGGCTCAGCCCTCTTCATCCTTCAGACCCCACCCCTGGCCCAGAAGCTCTTCGGCTCCCGGCCTCATGCCAGCCCTTCAGTGGCCCCAGGTTCATACTGTCATCTTGTTTTCAGAGCTTGGCATTCGCCAGGTCAGGACCTCTCCTGATAATGGGACCCACTTTGGCTGCCGGGGACAGACTCCTGCCAAGCTTGGGGCAATTTCCTTGCTATCGGGGCTGCCATCTGGCTACGTCAGAGAACCTCTCATGTCACAAGTTCCTCCATGCTTATGGGTTCACACACAACCTGTTCAATCCTGCCATCCCCTGCCAGTCCCTGACTCCCCACACAGGCTCCTCTGCCCCTGGCCAAAAGGGTGGGACAGAAGCCTGTCCGGGTGTGGGGTGGAGTTTGAGACCACCTCGTATCTGCAGAGGGACAGTGCCCAAGAGAGGCGCCCAGGCTGACGAGGTAAAAGGAACAGGGTCCAGGATGGACACTCATGAAGTCTTGCCCCTACACCTTTTGGGCCTTGGGGTAATGGCCATGGCCTTGGCTTCTCAGACCATAGCCCCTGGGGCCATGTATGGACATGGAATCCCGGTGCCTGGATCCTGGCCTGAACTTGGGCTTCAAGGCCTGCCAGGCGCAGCTGCCACCTCCAGGATGCTTTCCTTATTTCTCTCCTTTCTTCTTCTTTGCTTCGCTCTTCTCATCTTCCTCTACCTTGATAGCCACCGTGTCCACACTGTCCTTCTTTTTCTTCTTCTTATCCTCTGTGGGTGGGGGAGAGGCCACAGTGGTGAGACGGGGAAAGGTCCCGAAGCTCTCCTCTCCGGCCCTTCCCACCCTGCCTTCTCAGACCTTTTTTAACTTGAGGTGCGTGTGTATGCATGCCTGTGTGTGACAATGAGTGTGCACATGTGTGGGCATGCGCATAGAGACCAGAGGTTGATGTTGCATGTCTTATTTGACTCTCTAATTTTTTAAGAGGCCTGGAAATCACCGATTTGTTGACACGTAAGCCAGTGAGCAGAAGGGACCTTCCTGCCACATCTCCTTAGCACGGAGATTTACAGGTGTGTGATCGTGCCTGGATTTTGTTTTGTTTTTCGTGGGTGATGGTGATCCAAAGTCACGTCCTTGTACTTGTGTGGCAAAGCCCTTACTGACAGAGCCTCCTCTGCAGCCCCACAACTGTCCCACTACAAATAGGCTCCCTATTTATTTGCCTGGCTCTGACCAGTTTCTGTACTCCAGTCTCCTGGGTTAGTGCCCAGTCCCTTCTCTGAACCAGCTGCAGGGAGAGACGGTGAAGTAGGGCAGTGAGGCTGAGGAACGGGCCTGCTGCAGGATCCAGTGCAGACTGTGATGGGACTGGAATCTACTCACCTCCAGGGATTTCTGTGAGTTCGTTAAGGGGAGGCACTGTCTCCAGCTTGTCTGTGTACATCTTGGCCGCCTTTCGCTGTAGATACCGGGCCTCGATCTCCTTCCGCGTCCGTGGTACACGGCAGTTGAAGACGCAGCACAGCGTGATGACTGTAGGGATGTCAGAGCAGGTGTGGCTAGGATAGGGTCTCAGCCAGGTTGAGTGGTACCCAAACATTAGGCCTGTCCCACATAAGACTCCTCAAAAGCCCCAGGTGACCTCCCGAGTGACACTGACTTTACACGGTTGCACACGCCCCTGCATGCTTGGGGTAATGCTTTACTGTCAACTCCTTAGTAACTTGGACATGAAGCCTGGTACTTTATTTGTACTAGCCCCACAAATTCTATAACGAATCTTGTCTAATAGTCTGTCTGATCACACTGGGTACTGGGGGAAAGGTAAAGTGAAGGTCTTAGGTATGGCTTTAGCCACGGTTACCCAGAGTTACCCGGTGCTTCTGCCTTAGGCCTCTCTGGGTACTCCTAAGAAACCCTGAGCTTCCTTCCCCAGCCTCCTGATTGCAGAGGCAGAGGTGCCTCAAACACCCAAGCATGTGGCTGCATCCTCCCCATTCTCTCCATCCTGCCCATCTTCCCCAGCCTCCCCGGACTCCCTGAAGACCCTGGTCCAGACCCTGTCCTGGGCGTTTACTTCTGAGGACGTTATCCCAGGAGTGTTTTTCTGACTAGAGGCAGCTGTGCCCACGTCAGCTGGGGCACAGCATGGAACTGGCGTGTCTATGATGTGCAGGGCAGGGCCGCCAGGACCTGGCTGGCTGGGGCGAGTTTATTTTTCTAAGGCTCCCACAATCTGACCACTGTGGCCCCAGCCCCTGGGGAGGGGGTGGAGTTGGTCCCTGTTATAAATAATATGGCCAGACAGAACTTCCTGGCAGGCTACTGAGGTGCAGGAGGGACCAGGCATGACAAGCCAGGTCTATTTTGAGGAAATGGATCATAGCTAGGTAGTCTGGGATCATCTTGTTCAACCAAAGTAGTATCCCTGAGCCAAGTTTTTTGGTTCCATGTGTCTTACCCAGACTTTTGGGGCGGGAGAAGCAATGGAATGGGATGGATGGATGGATGGATGGACAGACAGACAGAGAATGGGAGAAATGGTCCAACAGTCTCCACTACAAGAACAGGAGTAGTTTCCTAAGTGACTGGCTTTGTGAGGCACCAGCATTCAGGAATATGCTGAGGGTATACAGGGGCTGGCCACATTAGAACCCCAGCACAGGACTCTTGGGGTTAGACCTTAGCCAACAAATGGACTTACTTTTATTACCCAAAGTGCTCTGTTTTGGTCTTTCCCAGACCCCTGTGTGGGTACCTTGGACTCAAGATTACCCTTATGCCCCAACCCTACTGGCTTGGGCCATGTGTCCTAGTTATCCTACTGACACCCTCAGGACCCTGCCTGCTCAGGCTCCATGTGGTTGGTGCCTGGTCCTGGGAGCTCAGGACTTCAGGAGAGGAACAGGCAGCTGTTGGCAGCCAGAGTAGGGATGACATGTGCACATACCGCCTGCCTTACTTAGCCAGGCCTGATTACTTTCCTTCAAGGAAAATGAAAAACCAAGGATTTGGGGTCAAGTTCTGAGGTCCAGGAAAGAGCTTGGGTGCAGGAGACCCCCAGGGGCATTTCATTCAGCCCCAGTCCCTCTCCCTGAGGGAGTTTGGTTTTTTTTTTTTTTTTTTTTTGTTTGTTTGTTTGTTTGTTTTGGGGGGGCTCCACTAATAGCTGCCCTGGCAGAGCAGACGGAAGCAGAGAGGCTCTTCCCAGCACCACTCCCTGAAGCTATGGAAGGTAGGCACTGCCGACCTGCTGCTCAGGGACCTTCTGCTCCTGCCCGCTCACATTCTAGGACATGAAGGGGCAAGAGATGCTCTGTGTGGCTGACATCCGTGCACCCTTCCGTCTGATGGCGCAAATTTCTGGTGTGGCCCCAGGCACCTCCACTCACCCAGAGTGGAGCCTGGGACAGGGCCTCAGGTTCCTAGCCGTCTTGGGTTCCTGGGGGCAGTTGCTTCCCAGCCCTGCCTTTTGACAAGGCTGGCCTCCCTCAGGACTCAGGCGCTCAGGCACACCTTCCTCTGGGGTCTGTGCTGAGCTGCCTGACTCTCTCTAGGCCTCAGCTGGGAGCACAGTCTCAGATCTGGGGTGGGGGTAATCTCTCCGAAGGACACTTGTGCTCTCCGAAGGAAGCATGTGCAAATCAGATGTCGTGTTTTGAGAGCCCCTGCCCCCCCCCCCAAGCTGGATGGTTTCTCTGTGGCCACCCAGCACTCAGGGGACTCTTGTGGGAAAGCTGCCACTAGAACTCAGATGTCACTTTGGCCCTCACTTTGAGTGCGCGTTGGTGATGTCCCCCAGGAGACCTGGCATAGACACCAGGCTCTTCCTGGCCTCTGCCTGTGCCACCCCTTCCGGGGTTCCTTCCCAGGCAGCTGAGAAGACCCTCCTCTGTGGTCCTCTGTAGGCAGAGTGGGCTCCCTCCCTCCCCTTCCCACCCTCTGTTTGCACTTGCTTTCTGCCCTGGTATTCTCTCCCGCCTGGTCTGCCTCATGTGACTTTTTTCCTCCCCTCCCCCCCCAACTCCACACTGGGAGACGGGTAGATGGGTGCATACCGAGCACTCTCAGCTACATCTCTGCATCAGTAAAGAGTCCAGACCGGAGTTGTGGAATGGACCCCCTGCTTTGAGAGGAACTAGGCGTGAATCGTTTCTGGAAAATGACATTTGAGGAGGTAGGATTCAGGGCCTGGAAGCCACATCTGGGGAGCCTCTGGCAGAGGTTGGCCTTGCTGGGGCCCCTGGGTGTGGGCTCTCTGAATTGGCCAAACTGCAAGAAAAGCATCAGGAGGCCAGCCATAGGGAAAGATGACATGTCCCGAATTCAGTGGAGTCCCCTATAATTAACATAATTGCCATGTGGCTGTTTCCCTGGGTCCAGCAGAAATCTTTGGGTCACCACTGGCCCGTCATCCCTTCCCAGGGACTTTGTATGAGTGAGAAGATGCCAGAGACCATGGTGGGCCTCCTGTGAGCGCCTGGCCTACTTGAACTGCCCTAAATTGCTGCTCTGAACTCAAGGGGTACTGAAGGGGCCAGGGTGTAGAGAGGCTGTGACCCTCCTGTGGTGGGGTGGAGAGGGCAGGACGTGGCTACTCACTGATGGATAACACGAAGAGCGAAAAGATGCCCACCACGTGCCACAGGCGCATGTCCCAGAACACCACGGTCTCCTTGGTCAGTGGGGGCGGCTTGGGCTTGGGCGGGGCAGTGCTGGGCTGTGGGTCAACAGAGAAGGGAGTGAGCCAGGCACAGGCCAGCAGGCTGGGGTGAGGGTAGCAAGGACTCAGCCCACACATTTGAGAGTCCCCAAAAAGTTTCAGACATTCACAACCAACACCCTAGACCTCAGATAGTTCCAGATTTAGAACCAAGGAAGTGATCAGAGTTCCAGACCATGGCACCAGGCGCTCGGACTAGATGTTTGGGGAAACAAGGCTCCAAGGAGACTGTGGACAGCCTGACCCAGCACACTCTGATGGGGTCTCAGGACCAAGGCCAGAGACAAGGCTGGGCCTGTTTCATGGGCCAGGTGTGCTGCCCAGGTAGCCTGACTTTGTTCTCATCTCCCAGTAGAGCTCTACTGCTGGGTTACATGGCTCCTCATACAGGTGCTCACACACTGACTCCAGTCCCACTAAAAGCCATAACCACCAGAAGGCTGGGCCAGCCAGGCTAAGCATGGAAAAATAGTAACGTAGCGCCACCAGGTGGCTAAAAGATGTAAGTGTGGCTAAAGAGGACTCCACTCTGCTTTGAGAATCTCCAGGCTTGGCGACACTATCATGTCTGTGTTTTCTAGAAGGTATAATGATGCCTCCGGTCTAAGGGAACTTGCCCCAGGGTATTGAGATAGTATAGTGCCTTGGGTTTCTAGAAAATACAGTCTTCTCTGGGGGGAATGAGGGAACACATCCTGATCTGGGTGCTTTGGTGTTGTGGTTTTGCTCTGGGTGTGTTTGTTTTGATAGATGCTGTGCTGGGGATTGCACCCAGGGTTTTGTATGTGCTAGGCCAACACTCTACCAACTTAGCTTCATTCTCAACCTGTCCTGGGTGTTTCGAGGGTACATGACTTTGCCTTGCGTGTCTACAGGACATGGCTGTGCCTTGTGGAATATGAAAGGCTAGTTTTGAGCAGAGAATATTGATCCTGTCTCTATCAGCAAGATTGGCCAAGGGACAAGGAAGGGGGTTGGACCAGGCATTTGTGCAATATGTTGTCTCCTAAATGAACAGCAAGGAAAGGCTTGAGGAGTCCCTTGAGGCTATCTGAGGAAGAAAAGCCAACTGTTAGTCCACCTCTCTCCAGTTTGGCACCTACCAGGAGCCAGGTACTTCCTCATCTAACAACCGCCAGCCATAGGGGCAGGTGGCACTTAGAGGGGATCATTGACCTATGCCAGGCACCCCAGAATCGCTGAGCCGTAGACCAGTTAGTACCTGACTCCCAGCTCTTTGCTCCTCACTAAGGGACTGGGATGGGGACTCCTTCCTTTATACTGGATCTCAGTTTCTCTCCAGGGAATTGGATAGTTCCAGCTGCCTCTGAGAACGTCCCTGTGTGATGGCAAGATCGACAGTAACACCCCCCCCCCACTAAATCAGCAACATCCCTTGGTCGATTGGGGAACCCCTGTGCTGGCAGGCAAGTGTGTGAATACACGACCTGCGTACCTATAAATGGGCAGAGAACATGTGTAGTTGGAGCAATGTGTAAGTGCTTATGTTGGTGACTGCAGCATTGGAGTTGGGGGCTTGGCGGTTACTGTTCTCTGCCTCTCAGGCCTGCTGTGTTGGCCTGATTGTCTAACTGGGAGACCCTGACCAGGCTTTTGGGTAGAGGCTAACAGGCGACAGCCACGCATCTTACGGTGGAAATTCTGACTCTTGGAGGCACAGCCTGGTGGAGAAGGGTTACTACAGGGCTGGCCTGGGAAGTGGCATGGTTCCCAGCCCTGCCCGCGTTTCTCCTGCTCCCTTGCAAAGACAGGCTAGGCCTTGCATGAGATGCAGGCAGATGGACTCCGGATGTGATTTCCTCTGTTGAGCTGGGAGATGAGCTCCTGGGAGTGAGGAGACTCCTTGCCTCACAACAACTGACTTGCCTGCTGCACCCGCCTTGGCTCTTTGGACAGCTCAGTCTGTACAGGGGCCTCGGGGCAGCTAGTGAGAGGCAGTAGTGTGCTCCATGGACCTCAGGGCAGCCTGGCTTCCCTTACAGCAGACTGAAGCTGATATCTGACCCTAACAGCCTCTTCCACAGCCCTGCTCAGTTGCAGAAGGTACATGTTACACAGGGGTACAGGTCTCTGTGCCATGAGGTGTCACCCCCAGCCCCTTCAGTTCAAAGCCATGACCCCTTAGGACCCTCTGAGTATGACTGGCTGTCTCCCCTATCCCCCCCTGTACCCTAGTAACTGCCTCCCAGGCCTCCATGATGTCCTGTCCATCCGGGCTGCAGGCTCAGCTTCTCCTTGGCCCTGGCTCTTGGGCCTTCACCCTTTTGCCTCCAGCTCCTGACTTCTAAGCCTCGTCCTCTACCTCCTACTGGAGAGGTTGCAGGTGTCCCCAGACCAGCTCCTGGCCAGCTTGCCCCAACCATCTTCCTCTGCGAAGTCTCCTCCCCACTCTCCCACTCTGTGCCGCCTTCCCATGTATCCTCTTCCTCCCAAACAGGAACTGTTCACGATGTGAGTGTCTGCTCGCAAACTGTCTACAGCTCCCGTAATTACCAGGGCCTTTGTGGATTTTCCAGTCCCTGGATCCTACCTTCAGTAGGGGCCCTGGAGGATTTATGTAGAGACAGGGCAGTTCCCCCAGCATACCCTAAATCCAGGGTCCGAATATCCCCCATTAGACTACAAGTAAAGAAAACTAAGGGCAGAAAGTCCCTTTCCCCATCCTCTAGGAAAACAAAGACCGGATGGCAAGGCTGTTTCCCTCCACACACGGACACACGGAGGAGACTCTAATGTCCCTAATGTCAGAGGTCGTGCTCTGCCATCAGATCAGGGACTTTTCTAAGCGTGAAGGGCAAGGGGCCAAGTCACTCCACCAGGCAGGCTGAAGGAATAGAGCCAGCTCCCCGCACCCTCAGCCCCACCCCACCCCACCCCCGCCGCCGCCTGGATGGTGCCCTCCATGATGCGGTGCCTCACCTCCACTAGCTGCGTGGCGACCCCCGCCAGGCAAGCCCCCAGCGCGGCGCCGCCCAGAGCCCAGAGTCGCCCGGTGCCTCTCTGCCGCCCGGCCATGTTCTCCCGCTGCGCGCTCCGGTGCAGGTCCTGGGAGCAGAGGGGCTGATGCACAGGGCTGCCAGGTGACAGCCCCTGGCCACCCGCAGGCGGTGGTGGCAGCAGAGAGTTCTGGCCGCCGGCCGCTGAGCCCGCATCATTTATTCATCGTGAGTGTCAGGTTCCTGGGAGGCCACCTGCGCCATCTCTGATGGGGTGAGGGCAGATGTGGGTGGAACCCTCCCCCACAGGCTATCGGACTTTTGGACCTCCCACTCCACTGCAAGGACACTGAGGTAGAGAAAACGCAGGGAGAGAGTGACAGGTTAGCCGTAGGCCCTTCTTGATCAACAAACAGGATTCCCCCAACCCCTCCCGTCCCTCTCGGGCCTCGGTTTCTCTACTTTGGACAAGGGGAAAGGCTGGAATCCACTGATCTAGAAGAACCTGCACATTCTGACTTCCTGAGTTGGGCCGGGGGGGGGTGGGGTGGTGGTACTGGACTTGGGAGGGGGCAGAGAGGGCATGTTGCCATGGTGACAGGCACTGAGGGATGTCCTGGCCTTTCTGGGCTGGCTTCCTGCCCAGAGGCAGCTCTGGTCACCCTGGACACCAGAGCCGGAGGGGGAGGAGGAGGGAGGGGGAATGGAGAATCAGGGATAGTTTAGTTAGAGCTGGCCAGATGTTGGCCTTGTGGAAGGACCCAGTAGCTTCTGTTCTAGGGCACAAGGTCAGCTACCCCTGGAGGACCATTTTCCGGCCCTGCTGACCGTCCTGATTTAGCTTGGGCCTTGACTCTAGCAGGCCCTTGCAGTTGGTCCCCTACACTGTGGGAACATTGACTACTCAGGGATGGAGTTTCTGAGCAGCTAGGGAGGGGCTGAAGCCCGAGGGGCAGTGGGACACTTGGAGCTTGGAGACGCCTGTGGCCCACTTCATTCCTCCTCCTTCCCAAACGCATCTGCCTCCTGAGTGCTAGGAGAAGCAGGCCCAGCATCTCTCACACCAAGCACAGCAGTGGAGGCTGCGTATGGGGTGGGGGATGCCTCAGCGAAGCCCTTACGACCGACCGACGGGGTCTAATGGGGCTCTATCCTGATGGGTAAGGACTGAGCTGGGCCTCAAAGTGGAGCAGAAGGCCAGCAGCCCTTCAGGGACTGCCGCTGACAGGGCAGGCAGGAAAATGGCTGCTGTTTGAAAAGGACTACAGCCCCACTCCGAGGGAGGGCGTAGGAGGGGTGGCTATTACAGTAGATGTCAAAATTTCGGGGTCAAAATTTGCGAGAAGCAAAACAAAATCCAGAACCAACACAGCACAATAACCTCCCTGACACCCACCCCCACCCGGTCTCAGGAATGCTTCTAAAAGCAAAGAATTAGCAACAGGTCTCTGCCTCCTGCTTCCTCAAGCCTCAGCCACAGGCCAGGCCACCAAAGGCTACAGAAGGGCCACAGAAAGCTAAATGGATGGTGGGGGTGGGGTCAGGGGTGGGGTAGGGGTTTGGGGAGGTCCAGACAATCATCCTCAGAGTGTGTGCTCAAAGAGGCAGGGTTGGGCTTTGATCAGGTGAGCCAGACTCTGACATTTGTTGCTCCTCTTTGCCTCTATGCTCTGAGGTAGGGAATGAGCAGCCAGGACTGATTGATGGTGTGTGTGTGTGTGGGGGGGGGTGGTTATGAAGGCTGGCTTTGAAAGCTGGCCATCTTAGCAGGACAGGTGAGTGCTCACAGATTGACATTTGCTGCTCAACCCAGGCAGGATTCAAAGTTTATTGGAGGTGGAGAGACAGCTCTGCAGTATTTGTTACTCTTGAAGAGGACCCATGTTTGATTCCCAGCACCCGCATGCTGGTTCACAACCACCAGTAACTCCGGCTCCCGGAGGTTGATACACTCTCCTGAACTCGACAAGCATGTGGCATACATACAAGCAAAACATCCATACACATAAAATAAAGTAAGTTAATTTAAAAAGAAAGTCAAATTTCATGGTCGTGTTTGTCCACCCAAGAAGTAGGGCAAGGCAGAATTGTGGCTCCGTGGCAGAGCACCAGCCTGGCACACACAAAGCGTTGTGTTCAATAATCACTGGCACTGAAAAAATAAAAACAGTTAATAGAGGGGGGAGAGCAGGCCACATCTCTTCAGGCTCTCTCTCTCTCTCTCTCTCTCTCTCTCTCTCTCCTTCCTCTCTCTCTCTCCTCTCTCGTTTTGATGTAGGGTTTCACTATATAGCTTAAGCTGACTTCAGACAGGGTCTTGAACAGAACTGATGGTTCTCCCTGTTAATCTCACATGCTTTTGAATCAATTATTTTTATCCAATGCATGCCCCCAGATGCCTCCTCCTATCACACACACATAGAACACACACACACACACACACACACACACACACACACACACACACAACACTGTCATACAGGTTTCAAAATCCAATTGACTTAGAATAACAGGGTACCCCAAAAGTCTTAGCATGGAAGTTTTAAGCTTTAATAACCAAAGAATTATAAAGTTATGAATTTATAAGAAATAGCATCTGATGACTAAAGTGCCACATGCCTATAATCCCAGCACTCAGGAGCCAAGGGCAGGAGGATTGCTGCAAGTTTGAAGCCAACCTGATCTGCACAGTGAGTTCTGAACCAACCTGGGCTACACAGTGAGTTCTGGACCAACCTGGGCTACACAGTGAGTTCTAGACCAACCTGGGCTATACAGAAAGACAAAAGAAATATCATTGAAACGTATTTATTTAAATTTCTTTTTTCCCCTCTGAAGTTGGCAAAAGGGCTGTTAGTCAAAATTCACAAAACATAGCTAATGTAAAAGAATTTGAATAATTAAGCTTTCAAAGTACATTTCTTTTTAAAATAAGTTTTAATACTTTATTTAACCTTTTTACTATTATTATTTTATGTGCATTGGTATAAGGATACCAGATTCCCTGGAACTGGAGTTACAGACAGGTGTGAGCTGACATGTGGGTGCTGGGAATAGAACCTGGGTCCTCTGGAAGAGCAGCCAGTGCTCTTAACCACTGAGCCATCTCTCCAGCCCCTTTCAATAAGTTTTTAAAGATTTATTTACTTATTATGTATATAGTGTTCTGCATGCATGTATGCCTGCATTCCAGAAGAGGGCACCAGATCTCATAACAGATGGTATGAGCCACCATGTGGTTGCTGGGAATTGAACTCAGGACCTCCGGAAGAGCAGCCAATGCTCTTAACCTCTGAGACATCTCTCCAGCCCCTCAACATACATTTCTTATAAATTTATTGCTTAATTTTTTAACATAATATCTGTTGTTATTAAAGCTTAAACTTAGCCCTTGGGAGGTGGAGAAAGGATCAGGAGTTCAACTCCAGCCTGGGATCCATGGGACCTGACTCAAAAAACAATACCACTAAAAGCTCAATGTTACTGACCCTGTGAGCCCTCCAGCTGGTTACCTAACATTCAGTCCTTATCTGTAAAATAGGGACCTGACAAGCATCCTAAATGCTAGTCTTTATTTTATTATCATTGTTGAAGGATATATAATACAGTGATTAAATAAGAGCAAAGCCGTATATCATATTCGACCAGTGCCCTATCATTATACATTTAGTGTTTCCAGTTTTCCAACGAAAATGAAATGTCCACTCTGACTAGAGTGCTGGCCTCTGCTTTGACTCTGCCTTCTCTCTTTCCTTTCTCCTCTCTCTCTCTTCCTTTGAGACATAGTCTCACCATGTAACCTTAATCTATTAGTGTGTGCATGTGTGGGTGGGTGGTGTGAGTGCCGAGTGCCATGGCGTGCCTGCGGAGGTCAGACGCCAATCTTGTGGAGTAGTTTGTGTCTTTGCAGTTTTATGTGGTTGGCTTCCTCAGACCGAAACCAGGTTGCCAGGCTGTGTAGCTCTTGGCCTTTCCAGCTAAGCCATCTTGCCAGATCTATCCTGTTCTCTTTTGAGGAAGGAATCTCAGGCCAGGGAAGAGCTGTGTTTGGTCTCAGGCCTTAGAAATTACAAGGCCCAACTCAGTCCTCTGCCTCTGATTCAGGGTTCTCTCCTCTCTCTGGTATTGCTGCAGCTTCTTACAGCCCCCCCCCTCCACATGCCCCTGTACCCATGCCTCAGCTGGGCCCATCAGGCTGGGGTGGGGGAGTTCCGGCTCCCTGAAAGACAGCATCCCCTTCCTGTGTGGCGGCCTAAGTGCTGGCAGCCAGACAACTACCTGCCCCTCCTGCACTATTTTTGTATCTTATGGGTTTCCTGTGGGGACCCAATCCAGCCCCCCAGGGCCTCTGGGTTGGACAGGGTGACCAGGAGAGCCTGTGGCTCTTTCTCTCCAGGAGTTTGATACAATGGAACTCAAGGCTTAGCTTTGGAGAAGCTGAAGGGGAGTGAATGGAGAACCCCTCCACCCACACAGTCCCGAGAGCCAGGCTGGGATCCAGGCCACCCCAGACTTAGCCTGGGGTGGGGGTGGGAGTTAGCTAGCCTGGGCCAGTGACACAGCAGCTGGGGTGTTCTGGGAGCTGGCTGTCCCTGAACTTGTTGGCCCTAGGCCAGGCCCAAAATAGCTCAGGGCTGAGCCCAGCCTGGGACAGACCTGTGTGTACATGAACTGGAACTTGTATACCACGAAACTGCAGGGGAGTGTGTTGCATTCTGCATGCAGCTCTCCGAATGTCTCTGTGTCAGTCTATGTCCTTGCAGATGGATGGACAAGTGCTCATGAATGGGGTTGCTGCTGTGGAGCTGTGTGGCATAGGGGCCCCATCTTTCCATCAGTGGAGGACACATGTGGCACACTTGAGTATACACACTGGCACATTTCTCACCGGTGGGACTGTATGTTGTATGTGCATGACGTGTGCTTATCTGTGGGGAGCTGAAGCAGGAGCCTGTGATGCCAGGTGGCAGGGGCAGGGGATTCAGTAGACAGTCCTTTGGGTGCTACCGGAGGGCAGAACCTGGTTCCCAGTCAAGGACTACCTGGAAGAGATGCTGGCCAGGCCTTGCCTTATTTGGAAGATAATAAAACAGGGGGTGATGACGCTTGTGGGTGGCTCAGTGGATGGGGAATTCCAGAGCTCAGTAGCCTTCCAAATGTCCCTGACCTGGAAGTCACACCTGGTGAAGGAAGCTGGGACAGCCCTTCCTTTCTTCCTGCCCAGAGCCCAGGCAGCACTGCTTCTCTTCAGACACGTATACAGATGAGGGAACCAATGCCCAGAGAAGGAAGGGGCTGCTGGGGGTGGGTAGAGAGATGGCCCAGGGGTTAAGAGCTCTGTCTGCTCTTCCAGAGGTTCTGAGTTCAATTCCCAGCAACTACATAGGGTTCACAACCATCTATAGTTGCCCTCTTCTGGAATAAAGTCACACATACAGATAGAGTAATCAATCACTCTTTAAAAAAGAAAGCAAAGCCCGGGCTAAGGTGTCAGCTCAGTTAGGTAAGTACTTGCTTGCAGGCATGAGGACCTGAATTTGATTCCAAAACACACGCAAAACAGGCAGGTGTGGTGGTGCACACCTGGCCCTCCTCACTGGCCAATCAATCTAGCCTATGTGGTAGGTCAAGGCCAATGTGAGATTGTCTCAAAAACAAAAAACAAACAAGAAAAACACCATCGGAGGGAAATACAGCCATATATGCACACACATGTACACCTACACAATACATGCGTATCATACACACACAAAAAAGAGAAGCATATACTTTTAAAAAGTATTTAAAAGAAAGAGAAAGAGGTTTTGGCCAGGTGAGGAGGGAAGACTAGGTTACTCTCTTTCCCAGGCTTCCTCCCTCTGTGCTCAGGCTTCGAAGGGTTAAAAAACAACGTGGCCAGGCTAATCAGCTCCTAGAGGCCAGGTGTCACTGCAGGTGCAAGGCTGACTCACTCGCCGACCGAAAAAGGGAGCCCGGCAGCCAGACAGCAGCCCTCTTTGTTACAGGTTTGGACCATGCTCCCTTCTCCTTCCAAGGGTTTGGTCTGGAACTGCGCTGCTTTTTCCAAGGTCGAAGGCTTTGGCAAGGAAACTGGCCAGCTTCAAGCTGTACCCGGAATGGATGCGGGGCCTTCTTCAAGGTCACACACAGCAGTAGCTGCTACCGAAGGACGCCCAGCTTAGGGGCTGGGGTCATCATGGTCGACTGCTCTAAGCAACAAGTTTCCCGAATATACCAAGGACTCCTTCGCGGGGGTGTGGGGGTGGGGGCTCGATGACTCAAAAGGGTCGGCAAGGTCCCAAGGCTGCAGCCCGAGCAGTCAGTGGGCAAGGAAATAATCGGGTGTCCCCAGACACAGCGCGCCGTCCTCGGATCCGGGAGGGGAATGTAAGAGGCGAATGGCAGCCAGGGTGCGAACCTTTGCAGTCGGCGGTGGCAGGACAGGCGCCTGTAGAGTGGTGTTGGCGCGGGGACAATCCGAGGCCGCGCCCCGCCTCCTCCGAGGCGCCCCCGCGCGAGCAACACCCTGGGGCGGGGCGCCGAGAGCGAGGGCGGCGCGGCGCGGAGTTGCGCGGCCACTCGCGGCACCGCGGCGCCTGGCGCAGGTAAGGGCGCGCTTCGGTGGGCGGGGTCCGCTGGCCCACAAGCTCCGCGGCGGGTGGGGTCTCTCGCCTCCTCCCGCTGCCACGGTCACGATCCCTCCATCTTCGGTCTCAGCGGAGTTCTTAGCTTCCTCCTCCCTGTCCCAGGGTCACCCAGCTTCGGTTTAAACGCAGCGCGGGGTCTAAACCCATGCTACAGTGAGGAGCGCTAGCTCCCCCGCAGTACGGCCTGGCCGGGATCCGGGTGCCGGTGTATCACCCAGAGGGAGAGGCTGCCAGGAAGAGGTGACGCTGGCTGATCAGGGCGGAAGGGCTGACAGGGAAGCCGAGAAGGTGGTGTTGCCTGCCTGGGAGGAGCGTTAGACAAATGCCCAAAGGTTGGAGTAGAGTAGTTTGGGCAACTCCCGGGACTGCGCCAGGGCAGAGAGAGGAAGGCGAAGCGGGGACAAACAGCACTGCAGAGACTGGGAGGCGGCTAGGGCCAGAATCTTGGACCCATGGAGAGGCAGAGGCTGGAGGGCAGGTGTGACAGTTCCGTGCACTTTCTTTCCTGGGGCAGACACTGTCCACAGCCCACTGGGCATGTAGGTTGATTAATGGGCCTCCAGCAGGGTCTAAGAAAAGGCGTCCGTAGCAGAAATAAGGTCCATACTAGTCCAGACTAGGAAATACCAGAGTGAGTGCCATGCTAGGGTGCGGCTGAGGGCAGGGAAGGCCCCCGTGACCCTGCTGGGGGCGGGGACAGTCTGGTGTGGACAGAGGCCAGGAATGTAGAGGAAAGGAAGCAGGTCGGACTACTGTTGAGATGACCACAGGACAATAGCTGACTCACCTGTGCACTTCCCAGCTTACTTGTTTGGCCTCACCCTATCGGTTTGTGAGCATCAACTCTACCTGGGGCGAGACAGAAGGCTGGGCCCTCAGGAATGCACTGGGCATCTCAGTGAGTCACCCAGCATCTCTGGACCACTTGTCCTGGTGAGCCTGGTAAGGCTGGGGGTCAGAGGCTGGGGTCTGAGCCCTGCACTTGATCTGCAGATGGTGTCTCTAGGCTCTCCTGGACTTTCCATGCCTCAGTTTCCCCCTTGGCACAGCCTGCCTCTGAGGACCCCAGAGTTGGCAAGAGGGGTCTAGGATGGGTGGTGGGCCCAGGGTTAGCGGGAGAGTATTAGCTTTCTCTGTTATTTCGCACACTCACCCTTACTCGTAGCCCAGAGACTTCCACATCAGACGACCAGTCTCAAGTGCAGTCTTCCCAGGCCCACTTCACCATCTATGCTTAATGTCTACCCTTTCCTCTGGGAGATGACTTACTATGACGCAAATCCTTCTGGGGCCACAGGCCTGAAAAGTGCTGTAGAGTTAGTGGCTACTAACCGGGGTCTGTAGGATCTATGGAGGTCCAGTTTGTGCTTTGGGGTATTTGGGGAGGCTTAAGGTTGCAGTGATAGACTTTCTATTCTGACAATTTCTGGAAGCATGGTTGAGGGCTAGGGAGGTCCAGGCCATGTGACACACTGAATTCCCTCTGCTGGTTCTCTTGGTCAGCGGGAACTGAACCAGAGGTCCCTGAATCTGCCCTCCCCTTGTGTGAGTGGACTACGTTAACAGCTAACAAAGATGGCTGCAGCTGGGTGTCCATCGGTTTCCCTTTCCTGACTCTCCTTCCCACAGCCTCACCCTCCTCACACAGCAGGAAAGGTGGGGCAGGAATGCTTTGGCCCAGGACCAGGGCCAGAGTCCTGAAGTTCCCGCCCTCCTCTCTTCTGGAGCCAATTCTCTCAGAGTCCTAGGTTCTGCCAGAGATCTGTGATGCCCCTGTAGCATCTTTGGGGTAGATTCAGGAAGACTGGTCCCTCATCCCGTTTGGTGGGGTTTGCCTGATGTCACCTACCCATCCTCAGCTGTCTTGATGATATCTCTTGCCCTACCCAGGGCTGGTAATCTCATTGCTGCAGAGTGCAAGGACTAAGCAGCGTGAGGACACTTGAACTCACCCCGAGGCATCCTGTCAGCTCAGGCACAGATGATCATCCTTGCCAAGTGAGGTCAGCAAGGGCTGACGGGAGAGGCTTTGACTGAGCAGGGCCTCAGAGAGTCCTGCTGTGGAGGGGGTTCAAGCATGCATCCTCAGTACCCTTGCCTTGTGTCAGGATGCTGCATTGTTGCTTACTTAGAAAATCCCTCGCTTAGGGTATGACATTTCAAGGCTCCAACTGACCTGGCCGCCTACCCTAGTGACCCTGCTCCTGAGTGGACCCGTCTAGCAGGCTCAGTCTTGTTCGAGGGTGCAAACATACAGGGTCTGAGCTTCCTCATTGCCTGGCCCCGTCTGTCACCTGTCATCAGGTTTGTCGTGCTGAGTCTGATGTTTGATCTGCTATGATCTTGTTCTGAAGCCCTCCATGATCTTCAAGGTCGACCGAGGCTAATTCAAGCTCGTCTGCTGGCCCATGAAGGTGGGCCATCCACAAAGACTGGGCGAGCACTCCCATGAGTCTTTGCTTTTATTTCTCCCTACTATGCTCTCCTCTTCTCCCCAGCCCCTCCCCTCCTGTAGCTGGAGTTTCTTTCCAGCCTGGTCCCTCAGCCGATTTGCCCCAAATAAACACACAGATGCTATATTAATTATAAAACTGTTGGTCAATGGCTAGAGCTTCTTATTGGCTGGCTCTCTTAATTATTAACCCATTTCTATCGATCTATGTATTGCCTCGAGGCTGTGGCTTACCCGTAACCTGGCACGTTACTCCTTGGCCAGCATGGCATCTCTTTGCAGCCTCCCTCTCTGCCTTCCTCTCCCCAGCCTTCTGCTGGTCTGGTAGTCCTGCCTATACTTTCTGCCTGGCTGTTGGCCAAACAGTGTTTTATCCATCAACCAATAAGAGAAGCACATACAGAAGGACGTCCCTCATCACCCTCCTTCTCTGTCCTTCTTTCTGACAAGTTCCCAGGCTGCCCTCAAATTCACATCAAACTCCTGCTGCCTCAGCTTCCCAGTACTGGGGGTCCTCAGGTGTCCCCACCATTCTTTGCTGCTTGTCTGTCTGTCCTTTGTGGCCTCGGTTGGAAGCCCCCAGAGGCTCTTGTATCAAGTCTTTCCTGGTTTACTCAGCTGTGTCTAGTGACAGGGAACCTGAGCCTGGCCATCATGATATTGTTGAGTTCTTCGGATACCATGTGTGTCCCTTTCCCCAATGACTGCATAGTCCCTGAGTGGGGCCTTCCATTGGAAAGGTGGCCAGGGCAAGGAATAACTATGTAGCCATCTGCCTGGGTGCATGGATCCATGGCAGGGTTTGAGCAGGCCAAAATTGAGCTTGAATTGTAGATGGAGGTTTCTGTTCCACCTGGTCCCACAGCCGATTGGCCCCAAATAAACACACAGATAGACACTATATTTATTATTAAACTGTTGGCCAATGGCTAGGGCTTCTTACTGGCTAGCTCTTAGTTATTAACCAATTTAAATTAATGTAAGTATTTCCACATGGTCTTATCTTACCTGAGAAGGGTCCAGATCTGTTACTTCTCGGCTACATGGCATCTCTTCGTGGCCTCTCTCTGCCTTCCTACCTTGCATTCTCTTCCTCTGGTAGCCCTGCCTATACTTCCTGCCTGGCTACTGACCAATCAGTGTTTTATTCATCAACCAATATAAAGAAACATAGATACAGAGGGGCATCGTACTCTTGGGTGGGAAGGGATGCATCCCCTGGTAGCTTTCAGCTCTCCTATTCCAGGGCCCCACCAGAGAACAGGGCAGAGGTCAGAGGCCAGAGGCCAGAATAGGTCTCTTTGAGAGAAGCTGGGCCCAGCGAGAGTCTGATGTGGATGGTTATGGGACTTGCTTCTGAGAACTGGGGAGGATATTGGTGACCCTGTCATGTTCTCTGGCTGTGACCTGTGCCCTTCCTTTCCGATAGGCCCCGTGTCTCACACCCTGGCTATGTGTAGCTCTGAGGAGGCAGACTTGTTTCGGCTGGAGGAGGTCTTCTCAACCACCCTTGCCCGTACCAACAGTCTCATTCTCCAGCCCCTGCTCTTAGCTGGTGAGTCAGGCCCTCCGTGGGGAAGGGAGGGGACACAGGAATGGCCCCAGGGATTAGAGTTCTGCCTTGTTAGACATTCTAGTGGGAGTGGTGGCACTTGATAGTGCCATGTTGGTGGAGCGGAGGCCTTGGCCACCGGGAACTGGTTTCCTTCCCAGATGGCCTCTGAGGACCGCACCTCTAGATACACTGCTGGCCTCACTTCTGTTCCCACTCAAGGAGTGCTTTGGAAAGGCATGACTAGAAGGCAGAACATACAGGGCTCTCACCTGGGCCGGGGAAGGGTGGGGGTGGGGTCCCCCTTGTCATCTGACCTTGGGCAGGTGCCTTCTTCTCACTGTGCATCCGTACAGTGGCTGGGGTCCACATTTTGTGTCTGGGTCTGGAGAGAAGAGGTGGAGATTCAGGGGAGACTTGGTTCCCCCTGAGATGATTACGGCTGTCCTGTTAAATAGGAGGTATACACACAACCCTGCTTATGCAAGGGTTCAGCCCTTTATCCCAGTATGCTCTGTCCCCCCCCCCCCCACACACACCTCCAGGAGCTCTAGGCCCTAGAGTCTAGGGTTGCTAGTACTGTCCTGAACACTCCAGGGCTACAGGACTTTCCGCAATACCAGCTCAAAGTGGCCGTGCTTTCCGTAGACCCAGAACCCTCAGACCCCTGTGGCAGAGAGTGCCTTCGGCTTCTGCAGCAGCTGCATGAAAGTACGCAGCGATTATGGGAGGTGACGGAGCAGAGCCTGCATTCCCTGCGGCAGAGGCTATACCACCCGCCCTCCATGGGTCCAGAGACCCTGCTGTTACTGAACAACGCTGACTGTATCCTGCAGGCCCACATGGAGTAAGACACCACCACCACCCTCCCCCCCACCCCCCACCGGGCAGCCTGTTGCTTGGCCAAAGTGCCACCTCCATTACTTGGTCCTAAGGGTCAAGTGGAGTGCCTGTGGGCTTGGGTGTTGGCTTGGCAGCAGGGCTCAGAGGCTCAGACTGCCTGCATCAGGTCTGTAAGATAATACAACTGCTGAGTTAGGGCCTGAGGGTGTCAAGGAATCGCCTGGGCTATAGGGTTCTGTCTGCGCAGTGGGTGAGGTCTGGGACCCCAAAAGGGCAGGGCCTGAGTGTTTTGGGAGCTGGGCTTTCAAGGTGATCCTGGGTTGCCCATAGGTACATCAAGTCGTATACTGACTGTTTGGTGGTGCAGGCCTTTCAGAAGGTCTCAAAGAGGAGGAGGTGAGCCTGGGGCTGCCTATGTGGGTGTGGGTGTCTAGGTGAGCGGGTTTGGGGAAGCCCACCCTGAAGGAGCAGGTGTCTTGTCCACCCATCTGAGTGTCTGCAGTCAGTGTCCCTATCTCTTCTGAGGTGAGCCTGCTGAACTAATGGTGTATATGGCTGGGCTCCTGGGTCCGACCGAGAGCTGGGAGAGGGGTTAGAACAGGGATGCTACAGGTGGGTGTGGGCTTGGAAAGGGTGAGGGTAGTATGTGGCCCTTCCCAACTGCAGTGAGTACTGGAGGAAGCAGCGGAAGAAGCTGCAGCAGCTGCTGTCCTGGACGAGCTCTGAGGGCTCAGTGGGTACCACACTGTGCCAAGCCCTCAGCCAGCCACTCACCCAGCATGTGCAGAAATATGTGCTCCTCCTGCTGAGCCTCAGGGACACCCTTGACAAGGTTGGTACTGAGAAGGGTCCAAGGATGGATGTGTGGAGGAGGAGCTGGAGGACCGGACAAGCAGGATCAGGTTAAACAGTAGGGAGGCTTAGGGGTTGGGGGTGTGGTTCTGGGGGCTTGAACCCGCCCTGTGGAATCTTGGCCACATGGCTCTGCTTTGATGGGGGCAGGTGACGCACAAAGAGCACACATAGAATTCTCTGCTGGGTGTGAGGACATATAACCATGCAATTGATGTTACTGAAATGTCCTAATCCATCTGGAAGCATCTTGGTGCTCCCTCGCTGTCCCTAGAAGAGCAGTCAGGGAGAAACATGAGTGAGACCAGACTGGGGTCCTCGCAGCCATCATAGGGACAGGGACTGGTTCCAAGGACCCTCAGACCCTTCCCACCTGCCTTGTCTCCTCCACAGCAGCACCCAGCCCAGGAGCTGGTGATGCATGCAGTCACCCTGTTTGGGAACCTGCAGTCCTTCCTGAGGCAGGCCTTGGACCAAGCTATGGCCACACAGGCCCTGTGGTACAGCCTCAGCAGCCGGGTGAGGGTGAGTCTGGGGCTTTGGGACAGTCAAGGAAGGGGGTTCCACACTGAATGTGAGGCTGTGCTGGGTGGCTTGAGCGGCTCTCTGCCTCAGTTTCCCCATCTAGAAGGAAGAATGTAGGGGGAACACGTACACAGCTGTAGCTGGCTTCAGAATGTTGGCACACAGCCTTAATCTGCCCTTTGTCTTCAGCACCTTCTGTTTAGCAAATGTAAATCGGGCCTGAAAGTTCCGGAAAGTGCAAAGCCTATGCAAAATTTGGTTGGAAAAAAAAAAAAAAACAAACAAACCAGAAAACCACCGGAATTCCTTACTGAAAATTTGCATTTGGCATTGTATCCTTGGAAGCTTGATTAAGATGTTTTTGGGGATATGGAAATCAACTGGCTAAGGTGTAAATTGGAGAACAACATAGAAGCCCTTGCCTGTCTCAGTCTGCAGAGGCTGAGTTCCCCTGGAGCTGGAAAAACCATTTCATTCTTAAGTTTGCCTCAATGACTGCTGAAGACTGACAACCCAGTGGCTGTCACCCTTAGCCATCTTCTGAGTCAGCAGAACTGACTTTCTCTCTGGTGGTGCCACCAATGACATATGCTTGTCACTCTCTAGCACAACATATAATGCCCCTGGCAGGAAAGAGAGTCCATGTGTCCCCAGAAGACATAGCAGGCTTGGACCAGGAGCAGAGAGGGTCAAAATAGCCATGGGAAACAGAGGGCAAGGGTAACAGGAACCCTCTGGCTGCAACAGGGGTACAGTATGGGGACATCCAGGAAGACCCCAGAGAGAGAAGGGGATGACTGTGTGTGTGTGTGTGTGTGTCCTGGGAGCTACCCCAGGCCTGCTGGGATGGTCTCTGGGAGGTACCTAGGGTGCAGATTTGGCCATCAGCCTCAGGGATGGGCACCTCAGCTCCTTGCCTCTCTCTTCATCCCACCAGGATGTGCTTTGCACCCCTACTCACCGACTCCTACAGGATAGCCAGGACATCCCTGTGGTGGTCACCCCGTTGCGAGCTGAGCGCGTGCTACTCTTTGATGATGCCCTTGTCCTGCTCCAGGTTAGGAGGGGATAACGTGAGGTGCGGTTCCGGGGTCAGGTTAGAAACTGAACAGGCCACAGACAGAGAGACGGGGAAGGGCGTGAGAGGTCCACGTGCTGGCATGACATGGAGATGGCTTGGTCAAGGCTTGCAGGTCAAGAGGAAGACTGACCTGGGCTTCGGGATTTGTCCCATAGCCACTAACCCTGACCAAACCCGCCTGGCTCTTAGGCTCACATGCTGTCTCTGCCTCAGCGTGGTGGCTTGGTTTGGGGTTTGTTCTGACTGTGTCTGTACCCATCTCTCCTGATGTCACAGTATGTTTCTAGCCTTTCCCTGCTTGTACAGTTCTTTTTCTTGTTGCTGCTACAGAATGCCTGGCAAAAACAGCTTGAGGGAGGGAGGGAGGGAGACAGGGAGAAAGGGAGAGGGAAGTGATGGAGGAAGGGAGGGAGGGAGGGAGACAGGGAGAGGGAAGTGATGGAGGAAGGGAGGGAGGGTTTGTTTTAGGGGGGGGCTTTGCTCATGCAGTTGTTTCTGTGGGGTTTGCTTGTCTCTCTGCTATCTTATAAACCTCTCCATTCTCTGCTTGGCCTTGGGCCCTTTCTACTTCCTGGTCAAGTGAGGGCCTGCTTAGGCCAAATGGGAGATGGTGACATTCCAGAGAGGGGCAGGGTAGCGCCTTTGGTCAGAGGAGCAATATGAGAAAGGCGAAGTGAGCATGCTTGGGGCAAGCTCAGGAGGCCGTGGTGTCGAACAACGGACAGTTTCAGCATGGAGCGTGTGAAGACAGGTGCGGGAACCTGGACGTGTCAGGCTCTGTAGTGGGCCTTGGTCCCCAGGCAAGAGGAGCCTTAGAAGGTTTGCAGCAGGGGCTGACCGTGTTTCTAGAAAACCCTGGCAACCCAGGGGAAAGGGAAGCCTGTCCAGGTGCCCGTCCAGGAGCTGCAGCTGAAGGGTGCCGGCTGACGGAAGGACCCGGTGCGCTGCTCTTGTCTGGCATCCGGGGGCCCCCAGGGCAGGCACCCCCCCCCCCCCCCGGTGGACACGGCTCTGGACAACACCTGTCGGCACTGTTCTTCCAGGGCCACAGCATCCACGCTTTTGACCTGAAGTTGGTGTGGGTGGATCCTGGCCAAGACAAGTGAGTGACTTCCTCTGCAGGTGTCTCCCGGACTTCCCTCCCTGTGCCCTGTGGGATCTGCTCACACCTCCAGGCTCCCACATGAGCCTCACCTCCGACCCTAGGAGCACTAGGGCTCGCTCGCTCACTGGTCACCTCCATGTGCCTAGGTGTGTGCTCCGCATCCTCACACCTGAAGAAGAGCTCTCCTTTTGTGCCAGAGACCCCCAGGGCCAGGTGAATGATGCTGAAGCGTCAACAGCGGGGATCAAGTCCGAAGCCAGGGGAGGGCAGAGTGCCAATGCTGCAGGGCTAGAAGGGCGTTGGGGTATGCCTAGGGTTCGGTATCAGGGTGTTAGAGGAAAAGGAATTTCCCACCATTAGGCCTAAGTAGAGGCCTGTCCCCACCCTCTTGTGCAGTCCCTGGGCTGCTCAGGTCTGAACCCATACCATAGAAGGGCAGGCAGTATGCTTTGGGACAGAATGGTGGGGAAGGACCTAGGTGGCCCCGTGAGGCCTCTACAACATTCCTGGAGCAACGATGACATGTTCCCCGCCTTCCTGTCCCCATCAGGTTGTCTGGCAATGGAAAGTGACCCAGGCTGTGTGCCAGGCCCTGCGTGGCAAGAAGGACTTCCCTGTGCTGGGGTCAGGCCCAGAGTCATCTGTACCCCCTGACAGCCGCTGTGTGGCCTATACTTTCCGCCGCGAGGGCCGGCTCTACCAGGCTACCTATGAGGGTGATTGGTGTCGGGCCAAACCCCATGGCAAGTGAGTCACCACTGCTGTGGGGTCAGTTCTAGCAGGCCATCAGAAAGGAGTGTGCTAGAAATTCCATTGACTAGGAGTTTTCTCAAGCACCCCCTGTGGTTCAAGGGGAAGGTGGAAATGTAGGTGTCAAGGGTCTCAGTGCTCAACTGAGCGGAAGTCTAGTTGGAAAAACCTAGGGACGCTGGGTCTGGGGGTGCAGCTGTCTGGGGACGGGTCTGGTGACCTGATGCCGTGGACCGCACCTTGTTCCAGGGGAACCCTGAAGTGGCCGAATGGGCGGAACCATGTGGGCGATTTCTGCCAGGGCCTGGAGCATGGGTAAGGCTGACTGGGCAGATGGGGTAACCAGAGGGGCTGTCATCCACCGGGCAGCCCCAAATCCCCAAACCTCAAACAGGAGTGGGCAGATGGCCCAGCTCCTGTCACCACTAAGGGGACCCTGGCTGGAATAGGAATGTGGGTCTCAGCCTGAGACTGGCTTCCCGTGGTGGGGGAGGGGTGTCCTCAGGATTCTTTTTGAAGAGACTAGGGGGCTTCTGAGATCTTTCTGGGGGACTCCCTGGAGACAAGGACAGCTGGGTGGCATGGAGGGATGTGACAGGGACATCTGATCAGACAAGTGGCCTGGATACTCACTTCTGACCCCACCCAACCGCACGGTCAGCTTTGGCATCTGCCTGGTGCCCCAAGCCTCTGAGGACAAGTTTGACTGTTACAAGTGCCACTGGCGGGAAGGCTGCATGTGTGATTATGGCATCTGTGAGTAAGTGACCTTTGACCTGGGGGGAGGGGTAAGGGGAGGGGCACCCTCTGGACTGAGCCCCTTGAGGTAGAGCCAACTGTTGGTGAATCTCTCCAGGTATGGGACTGAGGAGGTGTACAAGGGCTATTTTCAGGCTGGCCTTCGGCATGGATTTGGTGTCCTTGACAGTGCCCCACAGGCCTCGCAGCCCTTCAGGTACACGGGCCACTGGGAGAGAGGCCAGAGGAGTGGCTATGGCATTGAGGACAGCGGTGACAGGTGAGTGCTGGTATAGGGAAGCCAGAAGTCCGGCTGCCTCAAGCTCGGGCTCTCTCTAGCGCCCCCTGGACCCCTCAGCCTTTTGTTCTGCCCTGGGTCGCCCGCCTCCATGGAACTTCCCTCCGGCTATGCATTGTGCTACCTCTAGGGGGCTCCACCCCTCATCCCTTCTCTGACACCCTCTGTTCTCCTTGGGGTTCTTACTTCATCTTCTCCTGTCACCGCGCCGTCTCCCTGAAGCCCCTGCCGGCAGAGCTTCCAGAAGGCACAAGGAAACCATTTTGAGTCCCCTCTCTCACATCTCCTCCTCCCCTAGGGGTGAGCGCTACATCGGCATGTGGCAGGCTGACCAGCGTCATGGCCCCGGGGTGGTGGTCACCCAGGCAGGTGTCTGCTATCAAGGGACATTCCAAGGGGACAAGATGTCTGTGAGTGGTAGCCCTTCCCCGCCTGAGCACTCTGTAGCTGAGTGAAAGCCAAGCTGGGTGGGTGACAAGGGATGCTCGGCTCCGCCACCCGTCTACTCTGACTTTGGCAAGGTCCAGGTTTCTGCTCAGCCTCACTTCCCTATCTTCAGCTCAGGGCAACGGCACTTATTCTACGCTAAGTGCGAGTGAGGAAGGACCAGTGTGTCTATGGTGGTGGCATCCACAGACCCCTCGCTTACCTCCATTATCCTTCTGGGGTCCTTGTGTAACCCCTGCAATTGATGCCATTGTCCTTAGCGTATGAATGGCACATGTTTATTGATGACAGACATCAGAGACCCTGCCGAGGCTGAGATCAAACCCAGGTCCTCCAGCTCCCACCCTCTGCCTCTCTGCTTGCCAGGGGTTTGATGTCTGTATGGTGGGTGGGGCTCTGGCCAACAGCTGTGCATGGCTCAGCGGGTTTTTTGTTGTAAGAGTCCACCTTGTTCTGGAAAGAATGGAAGGAGACCTCAGAGAAAAGGGGCAGGGAAGGCAGGAATAGGCCCACAAAATAGTCAGAAACAAGTTGAACTTGTCAATGAGTTTCCTGGCAGGTGCAGGAGTAAGGGGGACTTGATTTGCCCTGAGGAGCCAGGACAGTAGCAGAGGCAGCTGAAAGGAAGCCAGCACTTTGTGAGGAAGAGCCACACCTGAGCGTGAACTAGGGAAAACAAGGGATGGGTTCATGGGACTCGGCACATCTGGGGCAGGAGGTGCAGGGCTGGCCCTGTGGGTCAGTGTCCACCCACCCTGTTTTTCTGTCCAATCTCACACCCCCTCCCTCTGTTGCCTCGCTTCCTTTCAAGGGCCCAGGCATCCTGCTATGTGAGGATGACACTCTGTACGAGGGTACTTTCACCAGGGACCTGACACTCCTAGGGAAGGTGAGAGTCATCCACTCCTCATCTTACCCATTAAGCCAGGGCTCGGAGCTGAGGATGAAGGTAAAGGATGGGCAGCTGGAGGATGTCCTTCCCACTCCATGGTTTCCAAGGGGCCCCATGTCCTTGCCACGGTGCACGCAGCACTGACTTAACAGAGCAGGCTGACAAGGGACTGGAGCATTTGCCTCACGCCCAGAGGGCACAGGCTGACTGTGTCCGTGCTGAGCCCTTACACAGCCATCAGCACCAGAGCCTTGAGCTGGGGTCACTCTTTTTCTTCCTGCCCGAGTTGATGTAGCAAAAGGCAGTTGTGTCCATGCTGGGGCCTTCGGAAACTTGGGGATAGTTCTAGATACAGAAGGATAGGTGGGTCTGTCTGGTGCATCAGGAGTGCTGTGAAAGGCTCAACTCCACACAGCCGGGAACTGCCCCTCTAGATCCCTGAACCGAGCTACCCAGCCTCACAGCGGAAGTGGGTGAGGCTTCTAGAATATTCCAGCACCTTAAATGGACAGGGAGAACACATGGTCAGATGTTTCCATCTGACCTACCCAAGTAGGCCCAACATTGACACACTTGGCTGGGCAGCTGGCGGGGCACACAGACATCCTGTCCTTTCTGCTCCCAGGGCAAGGTCACCTTCCCCAGCGGTTTCACCTTGGATGGTTCTTTCAGCAGTGGCACAGATAAAGGCCTGTACACACAGGGGGTGCTGGACACAGCCGCCACCCCGCCCAACCCAGCCAGTACTAGAAAGAGGTGAGAGCCCAACCTGTTTGGCGGTGTGCCTCTTCCCACGCAAGGCCTCAGGGCTCAGCGGAGGCCTTTCACCATAGAGTCCAGAGCCCGGGTCTTCCAGTCAGAGGTCCTTGAAGTCTAGGGCTAAGGAGGACATACTGTCGTACATAAACTGGAAGAAAAAATAGGATTTGTAAGTCTCATTTTGACCCTGGCTTTAGCTTTTCTTCTTCTTTCGAGAAAGGGTGCAAGATAGTTTCCAAGTCAAATACCCAAGGGAAGAAAAAACAAAAAAAAAAAAAAAGGAAAATTTGAGTAGATCCTAAAAGAAAGAGATAGATAATGATTCATTATAGATATAGTCATAATGTACCTTACTGGCTCTGACTTTGCCAGCAGATAAGATGAAGAAGGGAAGAAACTTGGTATGTAGAATCGCTCTCCCAAAGCAGTAGTTAGTGAGACAGATTAGCTTCCTAGAAAACAGAACCCGCTCTGAAAACTCATAGTTCAGGTGGATAACTCTTGCCATGTTTGTTGAGAATCTGGGTGTGTTGAGGGAAGAATAATGGGAAATGATCCCATAAGCATTTCAGAGGCAGGGAGGGGATAGAGCAGACTCCTCGACCTATTGTCCCTCCATGCTGCTTCTCTCGGACAGCGGGGAGCTGGGAGAGGTCTGCCCAGCCTGGCGGGGTGAGGCGACAGCACCATAGTGTTCCCTTTGTGAGACGCTGCCACTTAGACTGTACAGTTGGCCTCACTCAGCCTGTTGGCAAGGCAGGGTCCTCCTCAGGCATCTATGGGAGAGGGCAGGGCAGAGCCAAAACCTAGGAAACCCTGGACTCCCAGGCACTGGTCTGTCTTGACCCCAGTGTCTGGATTTGACCTGCAGTTCTCCAGGCTCTTTGCAGAACTATGTACCCTGCCTCTCCCCCATCTCAGAACACACGCGCTCCTGCCCTCTGCCTCATTTTCTCCTCCACTCGCCTTGGAGGTCAACTCTGTATTCTCCGTCCTGCCTCAACTCCCAGGCTGGGCACCAGGGGGCTGGCTGGCTTCTGCACCATCTCCCACACCTCTCACTGTTCCCCAATCACAGACAGCTGGGGCTGGGTGCCTTCCCTGTGGAGAGCCGCTGGCAGGGAGTCTACAGACCTTTCCAGGACTTCGTGCGTTCAGGCTGTCCCGGGGAACTGCAGGAAGCCCTCTTGGGCTTCCATGTGCAGAGCTCCAGGGAGCTCCGCGAGTCCCAGGAGTACCTGAGCTGTGAGAGGTGAGCCCGGCCCTCTGGATGTCCCTGCAGGTCAGAGAGGGGTTTGGGGAGCTTCTGAGGATGGGTGGGTGCTGGCTCGGGGGCGGGTGAGGGACACTGTGCATGGTGCCCCAGGAGCCACCCCAAGGACCGTGCGGGCAGCATGGAAGATATCCTGAAGGAGCTGCTGCAGCACCGAGAGCCCCAGGCCCTGCAGCAGTACCTCAGGAAGGTGAGGGTCCAGGCTGGGGGAGGCCTCCTGTACACTCACAGCGTGGTGCTAACTGGAGGGGGCAGGCCCGTAGTGCTCCTGCTCCTCAGGGGGCTTCAGTGTCCCTGGTCTGGGAGGCTGGTCTGGGCTCACCGTGCTCCACACCCTGGGTCTAAGCATCCACATTGTCTCTCATGGGCCCAGGCTCTGAGCAATTCCCGACACCCCTTGGGGAAGTTACTCCGTACCCTGATGCTGACCTTCCAGGCCACATATTCGGGCATAGGAGCCAACAAACACCTACAGGGGATGGCTCAGGAGGAGGTGAAGCAACACGCCCAGGAGCTTTGGATGGCCTACAGGTGAGCCTGGGCACAGGGTGAGGAGCGCTGCCTAGGGCCTGGCCCAGGACTGCCCTCTGCAAGGCGTGGCTGGGTCCAATGCCTCTAACTCAAGTCTTGCTCAGTACAGGGCTCGAGGTCGGAGAGATGATGGCTCCTGGCCAGGGGCCAGTCTCTGTCTAGTCCCTGGGCACATCCCTGCCCCATAAGAGCTCTATCCTTGCTGTAGGCTGAGTGTAACACTGGTTTTAAGATCTGTGTATCCTGTCCTAGGTAGAACCTAGATTCTGTGAGCATTACCGATAGGAGCTTCCGCTGTCACTAGAGTGCCCGGACCCTCCAGCACTCACACTAATGCTCCAGCCTTGGATGCTCAGTGATAGGAAAGGCTAGATTCGGCAGGCATCCCATCCGTATCTAGGTAGTCAGTTCTGGGAGATGGGACCACCCACTCCCCATTTTGGTGACTGGGAGGGTGGAATTCTGTGCCTGTGGGCAGCGGCTGCATCATGCTCCTCTCATTGGTTTGCAGGGGTCTGCTGAAGGTTGCCTTACAGCGCCAGGGACAGACCCTGGAGGAGGAGGACATGGAGACAAGGTAGCTGGTCAGACCTCTGCATCTGGGGCCTCCCTCTGGGCGGTGGTACTTCTTGGGAAAGCCCTGGGCATGTGTGCTATTCACCAATCGTGGTGCACTGGCCATACATCACAGTGACCCGTGACCTCGGTCCTGGGATCTTTGTTCTGAATGTGCCCTTCCAGCCTCATGTTTGATTGTGAAGGGGAAGCAGTTGCCAGAGGTCTCCTCCTCCTGTGCTGCACGAGACTAGGGCATGGAGGAGATGAGCCCAAGACACAGAGCAGGAGTTAGCTGACCTCCTGACCCCGGGACAGACTCCAGCTCTGTGCATTCAGAGACGGCCCCGGCAACAGTGTCTCCCACCCATTGTGGCCTCAGGGACCTGCAGGTGCATGGGTTGCTGCTGCCCCTCATCTTGCCCAGCTTCTACTCGGAGCTCTTCACACTCTACCTGCTTCTTCATGAGAGAGAGGATGGGTTGTACAGCCAGGGCATCACTAACCTCAGCCTGTTCCCTGACACGAAGCTGCTGGAGTTCCTGGATGTGCAGAAGTAAGCTCTTCCTTGCCCACTCAGCCAGAGCTCGAGGAGCAGGCTGTCCTACCCAACCTCAACTGTGAGCTGTACCCAGCTTTCTTTTGGGCCACCAACCAGATCCAAAATCATGACACGGAGGCTTATTGTTAGTCATGAATGCTCGTTTCTTGCTAGCTCTTATAACTTAACCTGTTTCTTTTCATCTACAATTTGCCTAGTGGTTGTTTACCTTTCTTTCCGTCTGTATATCTTACTTTCACGGCTTCTCATGTCTGGCTGGTGGCTGCCTGGCTTCTGACCTTTCTTTCTCCCTCATTCGCTTCTCCTCCTATTTATTCTCTCCGCCCACCAGCCCTGCCCATCCCTCTCCTGCCTAGATATTGGTTGTTTAGCTTTTTATTAGACCCACCAGTTGCTTTAGGCAGGCAAGGTGAAACAAATGCAACACATCTTTACATCATTAAATGCAGCATAAACAAATGCAACACATCTTTACATCATTAAATGCAGCATAAACAAATGCAACACATCTTTACATCATTAAATGCAGCATAAACAAATGCAACACATCTTTACATCATTAAATGCAGCATAAACAAATGCAACACATCTTTGCCTTGTTAAAGTAATAGCCCACAGGGGCCGGAGAGATGGCTTAAAGGTTAAGAGCACTGGCTGCTCTTCCAGAGGTCCTGAGTTCAATTCCCAGCACCCACATGGTGGCTCACAACCATCTATAATGAGATCTGATGCCCCCTTCTGGTGTGCAGATATGCATGCAAGCAGAACACTGTACACATAATAAATAAATTAAAAAAAAAAAAGTAATAGTCCACAATGGTGAGGCAAGCTCATTTATACATACACCCCAGAGCTATGGGGCACACATTGAGATGCAGCCGGATCTAGGTATTCAACCATCCCACGAAGGAAGCCACCGCTGCTCTTCCCTCTGACTTTACCAGAGCACGACACCAGCCACTTCAGGGTTACTGCCTCTGGCTCAGTCCCTCGGCTGTTGCCGGAGGGAGCTGGCGTTTCCTGCCCCTTAGCTCCAGCGGTTCTCTTGGAGCCCCTTCTGGCTTGCTGTCCTGCCCTGGGTGCTGGCCAGCCTTGGCTGGGCCTCCTGATCCGCCACGAAGGCCCATACACTTGGACTGAGAGCTGGGGAGGAGATGTCATCGTGGGGAAACTGGGGTGTCCTGGGAGCAGGCCAGACAGGTGTCTACCATACTCTAGTCACTAGAGCCACCCTACTGCCTCTTCTTTAGTGTCCCTCTGACAGTGTGGTCGATCACAAGTGTTTGATTGTCCCTGCTGGGATCTCAGCTGCTCCCACAGCAGTGGAAGGCCACCCTCCCCTCCCCCACTCTCCCAGAACTCCAAGGCTTCTGGCTCTTCCCATTGCCTGTTTAGCCTTCCTGGGAGGGACACAGGAATAGGGTGTGTCCTCCTAGCTCAGACCCGCAAGCAAAGCCTCCCATCTCCTGTCTCCAATTCCAGGCACCTGTGGCCCCTCAAGGACCTCTGGCTGACAAGCAATCAGGTGAGAGGGCTTGACCTGCTTGCCTGGGAGGAGGGGCCTGTGGTCCTGGAGCTTCTGAGTCAGGATTGCAAGGGGCAGGTGAGGGAGGAGAGAAACACCAGGCTTCCTTCCTGTCTCAAGTGGCTCCCGCCTGGCTGTGCCCAAGGGTAGTGCGCCTGAGCTCTGAGTCCCAGTTTTCTCCTCATGTAAATAGAGCTTCGACAGACCCACCTCATGAGACAGACAGCCGTGGTCAAGGGCACAGGAGGCCACCGGCTGTCTCAGGGCTTTCTGGAACCTCCTAAAGAAGCAGATTCTTGTGCTCCACAGTTTTTGCAATGCCAGGCAAAAGTTCTACCACATCCACGGTGTTACCTCACATCCATTAGAGTTGGAAGCAGAGGGTCAGCTCAGAAACCTGAGTTTCAATGAGTCCTTGGGTCTGGGGACCATTGCTATCAGCTTTGGAGTTATGTGTCACACAGTGACCTTGCTGTTAGAATGATTTTTTTTTTTTTTTTTCTGTCCACCTTGGCCCTCTCAACCTCTTGGAGCCTCGTTCCCCGTTTTATAGCTGTGTGAAATGCAGCTCACAGTGGAGCTGTGGGGTTGAGCTGGATCACTTAGCCGTCAGTGCAGGGATGCACCTAAGTCAGCTATGGGGCAGGTGTGGGTGGCAAGGGACACTGGGGATGGGAGCATGTCCAGCTGGGTGCCTGTTCTCATCCTTACAGAGGTATTCTCTGGTCCGGGACAAGTGTTTCCTGTCAGCCACTGAGTGTCTGCAGAAGATCATGTGAGTGTCTGCGCTGGTTTGGGGGAGAGGGCACAGGAGTGCTGGCCCTTCCTCTCGACCAGGAGTTGCACCCTCCTTACAGCACCACCGTGGACCCCCGGGAGAAACTGGAAGTGCTGGAGAAGACCTATGGGGAAATCGAGACCACGGTGTCTCGGGTGCTGGGCCGGGAATACAAACTCCCCATGGATGACCTGTTGCCGCTACTTATCTACGTGGTGTCGCGGGCTCGGTGAGTGGGAACTGGGGTAGAATGAAGTAAAACCTTCTGCCCTGTCTGCACCAAACACAGGACAGAGGAGGCCGGGGAACCAAGGCCTAGAGAGGACCCAGTCTCGTGGGTGCCTGGGACAGAGCTGGGGCCATTCCAGAGGTGTCTAGCCCTCTAGGCCAGGGCTGGTCCCCCGAGCTGTGGGGTATCTGTCTGTGACTCCTGTTCCTTTTCTCCTTTGTTGCCATGGTACTTTCTCTAGAATTCAGCATCTGGGAGCCGAGATCCACCTGATCCGGGACATGATGGACCCCGCCCACACAGGTGGCCTCCATGACTTCCTGCTCACAGCTTTAGAGGTGAGGGACCTGGGCTGTGAGCCCACGGAAATCTCTCCCTGACCCAGACACCATGGTAGAAAAGAGTTCAAATCTCCGCCTTACGTGTCTCCATGGAAAGGATCCCTGGTGCTGTTCCCAGGGCAGATGAGCCTCACAGCCCTTCCGGCTGCAGCTCCGAGCAGTGTGCAGACGGAAGGGCTCTGCAGAGCGTGGCTGACAGTTAGTCCTAACTGGAGCAGGGTGTCACAGGGAGGTGGGTGCAATGGCTTTCGCGGCCATCCATGCATATAGTTGCCAGCAAGTCTCAACCTCGCTCGTCTCTCTCCCCAGTCCTGTTATGAGCACATCCAGAAGGAAGACGTGCGTCTGCACCGCCTGCCTGGCCACTGGAACTCTAGAGAACTCTGGTGACATGGCCACTCTGGATCAAGGGCAAAGCTAGGGACACGTGGCTGCAGTGGACCTTTGTGGGGCGAGCACTCCCCTTTGCCTGGGTCAAGGCAGGCTATGGAGGTGCTCCTCAAAAGAGATGGTGTTTTGCTTCCTACAGGGACATGCCCAGCTGCCACAGTGTGACCCCCATAGCTGATAACTCTCCATTGGCCTCTGGTCTGGGCTCTGATAACACCCCCCACCCCCACCCCCACCCCCACTGGAAGTAGCACCGTCTTGGGTGAGGAGCCCTAGCTTCACTCTGCTCTCTCCAGGCTCTGTGCCATGTGATGTTGGAGATGATTTCCAATGTTCTTCCAGTCCAGTACACTGAGCTCTGCAGCCCTCCCCAAGATCTGGCTTCATGCAGTTCTTTGGTCGGAAATGGAAATTCTCACTGTTTATCCCATTCCTGTTCCTCGGCTCCTGGCTAAGAAGGTCCTAAGCTGGAGAAGGCTTGGTTTGTTCCATTCCTTTTCCCATGAGTATCTGCCTGGGGACCGGTCTCCTTAGCTGAGCTTCAGGCTTGAGCTGGCCTCTCAGGAGGACCGTGGGACAGGAAAACTTAGCTCCACACCAAGCTCTTACAGGCCCTGCCCTTTGCAAAGGCATGGGATGTAAACACCAGCAATTATTCCCTTCGCTTACCAGCAGACCACAGGTGGCCTGTAAATGATGTGCCTGAGACACTTGGGGGCTCTCTGTGGGAGGGATAGCAGGAATATTCCAGGCTTGCTAGTGCCCTAACAGATGAACAAGTCTGGGTACAGTGCTGGCCTCTGGGTCACTGTTTCTGGCTCACACCACTGTACCCCGTCACCCTGTGTGGGAAGGGCCAAGGGACATGTTGAGAAAGGTACACACCCAAAGCCAGGGCTGAGACCCCTGGGAGCCTCAGGGAGGACCACATTCAGAGCTTCTCAGAAAGTATGGAGCACTGTTCTCCTACCTTGCTGTCCCCAGAGCAAGCCAAGGCTTTCACTGGCTGGATCCACCAAATGCTTCAGTTTAGGGCTGGGGCTTGAGTTCTGCCAGGAGGCCTCTCTCTCTCAATGACAGCCTCAAGTACCTGTGACCGAAACCCTGCTTCCCACTCCCCTGTTCCCAACACTAACTGAACTTGGGCCTCTGGTCCTTGTGGGTCTACAGGGTTTCCATAGTGTCCTGGTAAGTTCCAAGCCCAAGGGGTGCCAGCCAGCCACCCCCATTTGGCGCTTCTGGAGGCTGGTAGGGCTGTGTCAGTGAAGGCCTCTCCCATGTGGGTTCTTTTATAGGTGTTAACTGTCCGGCCTAGAACACCTTCTTTTTTTTTTTTTTCTTCTGACATGTGAGGGCAGTCTTAGGAGTTCACGGTTGCTATCATCAGTACCCTTACTGCCATCAGAGAGAGAATCTGCAGGCCCCCTCCGCAGTCCACCTCACTTCATGTCTTCCTAGAAAGTAGGCCTGGGAGTCCCGAGGGAAGAATGTCAAAGAGGAGATAATGATATGATTTAAGTCTCTTACATCTAAGCTGGGCCTTCTTCATTTTCCCTCCTGCCTCATAATGGTTTATTTTTGTTTTTTGCTAGCTACTTCTCTGGGGGGGCGGCCACAGTTACAGTCTACTTATTTATTCGGCATTTTTAATAAATCCGTTTCGTCTTTATGTGTGTGTGCATAAAGGCAAGATTTCATATAAGGTGTCTTCCCTGATCATTCTCCACCGTATCTTGGGAGATAGAGTCTCACCTTGAACACAGAGCTCACTGATTGACCTAGACTGGCTCACCAGCAAGCCAAAAGGGTCTGCCTTTCTCAGCCTCACCGGGTCTGTGGCTGCAGGAGTGGACCCGTGTGCCCACTGTGTGCTGGGGACAGAAGGCAGGTCATCATAGTTTACTGACTGAGACACCTCGAGTCCCCCCATGCCCCATCATGGCACCTCCTGCCCGTGGGGGACAGGGAACATGCAATGATCACAAATGCCCAGTTCGCTGGCTGCCCACTGATTGAACTTTCAGAAGCAGTGATATTGGGGATACAGTTTGCTTTCACTCTGAGTGGGGATTGTGTCGTTCCTACTAAGGTATGTATTGTGGGCTGTGTCCTGGGGCACTCCCAGGAGGTCAGAGGGTCCACAGTCTGTTTGTCAGAGCTGGGTGGAGTTGGACTATGCATCAAGTGTCCCTTTATCACTCAACTCTGAATCTGGTGTGTGGGCACATTTGCCAGGGTCCCTGGCTGCACATGTTGGGTTTTGGCCAGGTTTTGAACACCAAAATATTGCTGTGCCTGTGTGACATTGTAATTGGTGGTCCTCCCACTACTTCTCATTGTCTTCTTTTGTTTGTTTTTTGAGACAGGGTTTCTCTGTGTTGTTTTGGAGCCTGTCCTGGAACTCGCTCTGTACACCAGGCTGGTCTCGAACTCACAGAGATCCACCTGCCTCTGCCTCCCAAGTGCTGGGATTAAAGGCGTGTGCCAGCACCACCTGGTTGGTTCTCATTGTCAAAGGCTCCTTTTCCATAGGCTCCCTGTGTGGTATGAATGGAGAATGGGCAGTGCTATGTTTTTCTGTGTGGTTTGGGCCTGGATCTCCTGGCTTCCATTGAGAAGTTCTCGCCAACACTAACAGCCCATTGGCTACTGGCTGTCCCTTGGTGTAAATGGACACGGTGTGTTGTGTCTGGAAGGATCCTTTCCAGGACAAGCACTGCCAACTGGACCACTACATGTGAGGCAGCTCTTTTTTGGTGTAGTTTGGGTCTGCAGAATCACCACTGACCCTCCTGGTTTTGAAGGCTCCAGAAGACATTGAGGGCTGAGAGAGGAGAGTCAGTTTCCTTCAGCACATCTGCCCCTACCTGCCCTCTAGGCGTAGTGACTTCTAATCTCACTTTGTATTGTATTCCATTTCCCTGGAGTGAGGTGATTCCCTGCTTCCATGAGGCTGGGCCAGGGGAGCATGGTGCCTTCCCAGTCTCCACCTTGTCCCTTATCCTCACCATGTTACTGTGCTCCCCACTGGGAGCACTCCATATGGTGAAGAGCTGATGGCGACTTGGAGCCACACCCGTCAGAGTGCCACTGGGAAGAGGGACTATTTCCTCTAGCCCTGGATGCTGCCACTGTCTGCTGAGCCCCAGCAGCTTTTGGGGGTGATCCTGGGGTACCCTGGCTCCCAGTGTTAGGCTTGCCAGCTCCAGTCTGATTTGTGTTGCAGCCTACAAACCCTCCACCATAGGCGGAATTGCGGCGAACGCTGCTCCCTGCTCTCATAGCCATCCACTCTGCTGGCTGTGTGGCCTCTTCTATCTTTATTCCAAAAAAAAAAAAAAAAAAAAAAAAAAAAGCATAATTTCACTGGTGTCTGTTTGTCAAGTACAGTGCATGAAGCGGTTTGTATAAAGACGGCCCCCACAGGCTCAGATTTGAATGCTTGGTCGCCAGGGATTAGTAGGTGGGACCTTGCTGGAGGAAGTGTGTCACTGGAGGTGGGCTTTGAGGTTTTCAAAAACCCAAGCCAGGCCCAGTGTATCTGTCTTCCTGCCATCTGAGGATCCAGCTCCTTCTCCAGCTCCGTGTCTGCCTGCTGCTATGCTAATAATGACTAAATCTCTGAAATGCAAACAGACCCCAATTAAATGCCAGGGCCATGGTGTTTCTTTGCACCAATAAAATGCTATTAAAGACCGTGCCTGAGTGACAGGATGGTGGCTAACACCATTACAGCTTCTTGTAGACTTGACGTATCTCCACGAACCCAGCCAGCTAAGCAGCATTGGCCCCAAATGGATTCAGTTTGTCTTTCACAAGGATAGCAGAAGTGAGACATGCACAGTGACAGTTCCCAGGACCCCAGTCCCACTTTATGACACAGGCTGAGGGACCAGGGCCATAGTACAGGCAGGCGCCTATAACCACTGGAGGGCCACTTTCAAATTATACATGGCCAGGCAATTTTGCAACCTGTAGCAAAACCTTAAGCAGTGACGATGGTGACTATGGTAGTAATGGTAATGATGAATGATGACGGTGGTTATAGATTCTGGGATGGTGGGGGTAGGGGTGGCCATGGTGATGGTTATGGGGGTGGTGTGTGTTCCAGGGGCCATTGTAGAGCACTGTACCAACACATACCAGACTGCAAGGGAGCCTTGCAGTGGTCTGCGTGAAGATACCTAAGATATGTGAGGTTCCCAGGGTGCCACATTTTCTGCTCCTAGTTCGTAAAGAGAGATTTGGGTACCACTCCCCATTCTACCCCAGAACCGAGCATCCCTTTGTCCCTGACAGGCCCAGAAAGTGCTCCCAGAAGTCCTGAGTGCTCTGTGCTTTCTTCTGCCCTCCCCAACTCTGTTCTGACCTCATCCACCAAGTTGAGTACATCTGCTTCTCTCAGTGTCAAAGGGCATTGCTATCCAGGTTGTGGTCCCCTGGAAGGACCCTGGTCTTAGCCCCTCCTGGTCCTTCTGTAGCCTCTCCTTCCCCGCTACAGTCAACTGTCCACACAGCAGCAGGAGGAAGCTTTGGGAAGCCCTGCAACAACTGTCCAGAGCTCCTAGAATCAAAAATCCAACCCGTTCACCTTGGTCTATGTTTGCCCTGAAACTCTGTCCCCCCTTCATGACTTTTGCCTTGTTTTCTGCTGGCTGGCTACAGTCGCCATCTGTTTTAGTATTTCTATAGTCCCCGATGTCCTTCCTCCACCCACTGACCCCTGCCCTTTCCAGAAGTTTCCTGCCCTGCAGGTTTCCTGATTGCACAGCACTTCCTGTAAAAGCCAGCTCCCCCCAGGGCCTGCTGCATCATCATCTGCCCGTGTCCTGTGTGTGTGTGTGTGTGTGTGTGTGTGCGCGTGTGTGTGTGCGTGCGTGCGTGCGTGCGTGTGTGTGGTATGTGTGCGTGTGTGTGCGTGCGTGCGTGCGTGCGTGCGTGCGTGTGTGTGTGTGTGTGTGTGTGTGTGTGTGTTACTGTATTTTAGGTTCCTGCCCTATGCTGGGGGAGACGGGAGAATCTTGGCTGCCTCAGTCGGTTCCTCATCCCCTGGGATTTGATCCACCTGCCAAGAATGAAACTGCGGCTCCCAGACTCCTCTGTGTCCTTCCATCTGCTCCTTCTTCATCTGTGAAGAAGAGCAGTAACAAAAGAGTTCAAAGCAGCCAGGAGTGTACAATGTGGGACTAGAGGGTGAGATTCTGTGAGACTCCAAGACTCAAACAGTCCAGAGTACTTACAGGTGACCCCAGGTTGGAAGCAGTGTCACAAAAGGATCTCATGGTCTATTATCCAAGGAGCAAGATGCATGACCTTCATCTCTAGGGAGTGGGTGCTCTCTGCACCTGTGTCCCCTGAGACCACAGGGTAGCAGCCTGGGGCCGGGGTAGCTGGTGTAAAGAAAGCACTGGGTATGCATAGTCCTAAGTTCAGGTCTATCGGGGAGCAAGGACCCCAGGTGGGAAGACGTCAGTCCTTCTGTCTCTTACCCAGACCCTTGCCTTGTTGCTCCCAGGTCTGCTCTCCAGGGCAAGGTCTTCCTGACCACAGAATTGCTGTAATCTAGGCTCTTCATGATCTTCTAAAGACAGTGCTGGAGAGAGGAGGAGAAGAGGCATAAAGGAGAGGCCTTGGCTGTTGGGAGCTGCTGTTTCTTGCTAGCAGGGATCTTTTTGTGTGGATTTCTCTGTGTAACAGCTCTGGCTGTCCTGGAACTCATCTGTAGACCAGGCTAGCCTCAAACTCACAGAGATCCGCCTGCCTCTACCTCCCGAGTGCTGGGATTAGAGGCAAGCACCACCAATGCTCAGAAACTACCCTTCTGCTCATGCAACTAACCTAGGCTCAGTATCAAAAACATAAAGATGTAACTGCAGCCAGGTGCAAGCATCAGTCTGTGCCTTTTCTGCAGACAGAAGAGCCTCTGCGGGTAGCTCTGTCTGTGGACTCCAGCACAGGACATTGTTATCATTGTGTATTTCATCCAGTGGACAGTTCTCCTCTCCAGTGCCCCACGGGACATGTACACTGACAATAAGATGAATGGAAATGAACTAGGACTTCTGTAGTAAGCTTTGTCAAGCCTCCAAACACAAGTGGCTTGGTTAATTGAGTGTCTGTAAGAACGTTTTCAGCTGGGTCTAGCTGGAGAAGAGCTTGAAAGACACTCCTAGTCTGTTCCTTCAGGGTTGATGGGTACAGGGTCACTCAGCCACAGCACCACAGAACTGCATCCATCCATCCATCTATCTATCATCTATCTATGTATCTGTCTGTCTGTCTGTCTATCTATCATCTATTTATCTATCATCATCATCTGTCTTTCCATCTGTCTGTCTATGTGTCTTTCCGTCTGTCTGTCTGTCATCTATCTTCCCCTCTCTCTGTATGGAGATGTGGAGACAAGGTGTCATATAGCCCACCTGCTAAACCTCTTTTGAATCTTCACTGCAGCTGGAAGACTACTCCTTCACCTCCATAGGGCCCAGGCCTCCTGCTTCCCTGCAGGGAAGTTCTCATCTTGTGGTTGAAATGGTAAGATATGAAGTTCTAGGGACAGGTTAGGTAGGAGAAGGGGATTTCTGTTAATCTATTCAATTGACATCAAGGGTGAAACACACACACACAATCCGTCTTTCTATCTACACAGATATAGACTAGATATTTCAAGATTATTTTCATAGACACAATTTAATA